AGCTCTTGTACTCAGAATTTATCTCGTAGAGGGCTTATATTTTGTACAAAAGGTCACTTGAAAAAATCTCATTAAAAGGATACCCATTTCTCCAGGCACCATGGCACAACACCATGGCTCACATTATAAGAATATCACATGAAATAGTGTTATGCAGTCTCATTCAGATATGTCAAAGTTTAAACTGTGCAAGATAGCTTAAATCAAATTAAAGGAAGAATTCTGCTTCTAGCTCACTGAAAAGTTCAAGAGGAAGTGTGGAATTTAAAACACTCGTTGCTATCTATATGCTGGTTCTCAATATGTTTTCAATGTAAAGACATTCTTGGCAGCGCAGTAATTCACTATCACTTATACACTGCTTTTACAGATAGTAGGGTAACCTACATTTTTCCGGTCAAAGGTTATATACTTATGTAACTGTAACTTCAGAGTATGGTGTTTTTCCAAAATTCTTGGAATATGAACTTAATTAGTTAAGCTCAATAAGAATTTCACAGACCTTGCTGGACCACCTGCGCAAGACAGAGAGACAGCAGAGCTGGGATGTTACAAATGATCAGCCAGACAAGAAGTCAGACGGACAAACGGCAAGCGGAAGGGCAGGTTAAATGTGGAAGGAATGTGACAGATGGCTGGGCAGAGCACGTTCACCTCGTCCCATGTGCTTCTGGTGAGTTCAGGTTGTCTCACCCTCCTCCCACATTCACACTCGGATGTCATGTCTCCCTGAAGGAAACAGTGTCAGTTCCGTAAGGGAAGGCACATAAGAGCAGAGAGGGCGGTGAAAACCCGGCATCTGCAGACTGTCTAGTCAAAACACGGATTTTTTTACCGTCTGGTTAGTTTGGGGGCAGGTACGTGAGGCATGACCGGAAAGGGGCCCACACGGACACAAAGTGCGAGGACTGAACCTAAATATTACGTCTATAATAACATGACCTAAATATTGAGTCTGTGGAGCAAAAGTTTCCATCCTGTCTCCAAACCTAAAGACACCTAAGCTTTTACACTTGTAATGACAGATTTTAGCACTTTTTAATGACAATTTCTTTCCAGGCTCTGTAAACTGAACCCAGAGTGACTCCTTACAGAGACTATAAAGATAGTCAGTAAGAAAGTATTGAGCGGTCATTTTACAACAGTTAATGGCTGCACTGTAAATAATTGAAGTGTCTAAAAAGTAAAGTTTGTAAAAGCTAAGTTCAGTGATCACCTCATGGTGATTTATTCAGCTGATAGAGCTAAATTAAAGTGCTCTGTTTATTTGTTGAGCTCAGGGCTTCCTGATCAAATAAAAACAGTGAGAGAAAAGTGATGATCAAGGCCCAAATGCAGAGCAGAAAAGTTCAAATAACCACACCTTTTCAAGTTCAGCAAACGTATATACAGCCAACATATTTTTTGATAGTATTTTGATAGTAAAGTCTTAAAAAAGTCTTCAAAACTACAAGACAAAAGGAGAGACACAGTCTGTCCAGCTATCTATAATACTGAAAAATACAGAATGCAAAAGTCCTAAGGCAGAACATAGCACTTCTACCTTATAAGTAAAAACAATCTCCACTCCTTCAGACACCTGATCACCAGGGGCGAGGAAACATCTTTGGTGATCTATAACAATCTAAAGAGAAGCGACTTGACGGTAATTTTCCAGCTCTTTACTCTGTCACAGATAATGAACCCAGATATGCTCCTGCGGCTCTGTTTATTTCCGTTTCAAAGATAGGAACCACAGGTGATTGAAAACAACAAGCGTTGCAGATGTTAAAAAGTGGAGTAGGAGATAAAAGATGCCGGAAGTTTGTTTGTTTTTTTACATTATTGAAATAAATTACCAAGAGACCCATGACCAGTCTATTAAGCAGACACATTACACAGAGCCGGAGGGGGCATGCCCAACTCATGGCCTGCACTTTAAATTAATTGGAAATATCTCATCATTTAAAGTAAACTAACTAGACTTATCGGATCCAATTAGTTGATACACCATTTGGTTGTATCTATTTTAACATAACATTATATAATAAGACATTCAAAATAATAGGCTGTATCCATCCATTTTCTATAGTTGCTTATTCCGGGTAGGGTCACATGGGTGGATCATATCCCGGCTGTCACAGAGCAAGAGGCAGGTGCACCCTGAGCCCATCACATCAGGTCATATCTAGTTTTCTATTCGTCCAGCTCATGGTGCAGGCAAAGTGGAGCTCTTGACTCAACTACTGCAACACTCATCGAGATAATCTCTCAGTATTTAGAGTCAAGCCTATATAGATGGTCTGGTTTTCAACAAAATAGAGTGTTTGTCAGTTCCATTTCTCACTGCCTACTACTCCCAGACTGTAATTCAAAGCTCTAAAGCTTGCAGGCAGGGTAACCTCTGGATGTCCACTCAGCTCAGTCATACATGCTCGCACTTCTTCTCAGGAGCATTGTCCAGCACTGCTGTGAGTCCAAACAACACAGTGTCACTCCAGACTATTGTCATTTTTGGATACATGATGGGGGATGGATGCTAGCATAGCTGACTTCTTGAGAATTCTTCCTGATACATGTGGACAGTATCCATTTGCATTATTTCCTATCACCCATGCAAATGTTTAAGGCCAAACTATATCACTATAACCAGCAATTCTATGCCCTGAACTTGACTAAATGCCTTTGAAGCATTTCTGTGATCAGAGCAAATAAAGGAAACAAATATCAGAACGTGTTATTTTGAGCAGACAGGCTTCACATCAGCTCAGCTAAATCAACAACCAATCATGTAGACACCATATATGTACAATGTACAATGACATTTTTTTTCCTTCTTGTGTGCAATAAATATGGCGGTGTATGAAATACTTAAACTCAAAGTCAAGGAATAATGTGGGCGGGATGGTGTTTTTCATCGGACATGCAAAGCCAAGGGGGCAGGCAGAAAACCTCAAATGTAGTCAGTAGCTCAGGGAGATGTTTTTCTTTTCATTAATTGTCATTCTGTGCATGCAGAATACATCTCAGCAAGATTCCTCTATGTGGCTGCAGTGCTGTTATTTCCGAGGTTTCACTTGCATATTTATAACCTTTCGAGCCGAGAAATTACTCTACACCCATTAGTATGTTTTCCAGGTTTTCCTGTGCACATCAAGAGCTGTCAAACATGCTAAACATGACAGAAGTGATGTGTGCCATAATGAGTTGAAAGCAACCAAAACAAGCAAAGTCATGGCAGTGTGCAGCTCTGCATTCACAGAGCAGATCTGCACCGCACAATAACAGTTCCACAACCATTCCGTCTTTTAGCCTTCCCCCTCATTAAGCTTTTAATCCACTGCTTTACACAATTATCTTCTCTTAATCCCTTCCTTATTGTTCTATAAGTCTGTGATATACAAAACTCCATAATGCATAAAATGTATTAAATAAGTGTAGATCTAATCTTTAATAAGCAGTTCAGAGAGAATTTAAGGTAACACAATACCCTTACCTCCAAGAGTGTTAAAAGATCAATAAAGGGAAGGCATATCGGATAAAGCAATATGGTTTTTGTTTTTTTCTAACTCCAGCCACAGAGTCTAAATGGGGCAAACTGGGCAAGGTTCATGTTTTCGCAGGCAGTGCTCAAAGCTGTCCTGGTCAATGATACAGTAACCAGTAACCAATGTAAACTCCCTTGTTTTGTTTTTTACAAACTCAAGATATATGTTACATTTAACACTTTAACACTTGTTTTACAATGCCACATTAAAAATGGATAACAATCCTGAATATAGCATCCAAAACTTGAGCAGTAAGCTAATAGCAATAAATGGAAAACAGAACTGAAAAGAAACTGTGGTTACGCCCGTAATGATTGGTCTCTCAAAGAATCCTGACAGTGTCCCAAATGACAAGATATTTGGCCTTGCACTTCATCGTTATCAGGATATCCAACAATGGGCTCACACCATATATTGAATCCATGCTCACTTTAATGAGAATTAATTTGCTGAAATTATAAAAAAATATTTTTCTGGAAATAGAACACAATGCAGTTCAGAAATTAGACAAAAAAAGATACTGATAGTTTGTGCTAATGTAAATATTACTTGGGTCGAAAATGAAATGCGGTCGACTAGGGGAGCTGCACCGAGCACTATCAATCAATACTTTGTGCTGCTATAATGGCTGGAGGACCATTAGCACCAGTGAGGCGAGTGAAGTGACTGATATGGATTGACAGGAGCTTTCACAGAGGCCATCTGACCGCTTCCCTCATTGTCATTCAAAATTCACTCTCGCATGAATGCCCCACATTGCAGTTGTCCTCACAGGCAACCCAATGTTAACCTGTTTTTTGGTTTTCAGAGATACATAATGTTTGTCTCTGTAGAGTTATGATAAGCATTTCCTAAATTCAATCTGCCTCATTCTCTCTTCAGGGCTTCCTACATCATCCTGAAATATCAGGACCATGAAACACTGACTGAGGATGCTCTAAACGCATCCAAACTGGACCTGCGGGATATACCACACAAATGAGTGCAGAGACATACACAAATATACATTTTTCCCCTCTGTAACATGGATCCATCAGATTTTGTGTTAAAACAAGTCATAAAAAACTACTTTAAAATGAGTGTTACCTTGTTGTATTATGATCACCAAAACCATCAATATGACTAATGCACAGCAAGTAGCCTATAAATCAAAGTAATTTATTCTTCAAATTCAGCATAAACCCAGGACCAGTCAAACCTGAATAACAAGAAATGAGAAGTTTTTCTCACGTTTGGACAAGCAGGCCTTGTTAAGTTCAAAACAGTCAAATCAGTCAAATAGGATGTAACTTCTGTCACACTGATCAGAAAAACACAATGCTCTGTACGTCGCCTATCATGCTGCCTATCCTTGCATCCTAATAGCCTAATTGCATGCCAAGTGTGCACAACGAGTACGAGTAGGGGGGGGGGGGGGGGGGGGGGACGTCTTCCCTTGCACTGTTACATTAAAGTCTTGTTTTTTTTTCTTCGTCATGTGGAATCATGTAGAAGAGGAGACCCTACCTCTCCTCTCCTGCTCTGCGCGCCGGGTCTGGTGATGAGCGCCGTGTCCCCGCACACCACGGCCGCGTCCTCCACGAACACGCAGTCCGGGAGCGCGTCGTCCGCGGGGAGCTCCAGCACCTCCAGCCCCAGCCGCGTCCTCAGGACCTCCACGTACGCCTCATGCTCCCTCCGAGCCCCGGCCAGGTCCACCTCCGCCCGGCTGCTGCGGAGCGCCTCCTTGGCCAGGGACGAGGGGATTCCCCGGACCACGGCGTGGGTGTAATGACCAAAACCTGCCATCAAACCAGCCATGTTTTCGCTTTCCCTTTTACTTGGCACGCTCAAATCTGGAGAAGGAAAAAAAAAAATACTCTGTTCGATAATGGAGCGAGTGGATCAGAAACGCACAGCTCAGTTGATTTCGATTCTGTCCGTCTGGCTTATTTTTTTCCTTGTTAGTTTGTTGGCTTTTAGAAATCTTTATTGCTACACACAATGTCAGTCAGCTCTGTTCCAGGCTTTTGGGGGGAGCGACAGCGCTTCGGTGACGCGCACCGACCATCACGTGTATTCTCCCAGTCCGTCAGCCCTCACAGGCGCGCAGCCCCAGTCCGGAGCACGGCTCAATCAGTCCGCCCTGGGATATCTGACCACAGCCTGCTGGTCAAACTGATGCTTTGTTCTCTGTAAAATGATTGCAAACTTTCTATCAGTCGACCGTATAATCACGCACGGCTGTTATGACAAATATCTGCCATTGTATATAGGGGAACAATGCATTTCTGCAGGACATTTAACATAGTAAAGTAATGATATTCCATTTAAAATTTCAGAGGGAAAATAATAAGATTACGCGTTTTACAACCAGCTACAATACGGTCAAAACCACTCTTACCATTAATACTTACTGCCATATCTTAAAGAATCAGTGTTTCTTGGTGTCTGAATTTGACTCATACACAAACAAACCCATGGGGCTGTAAGAAAAAGTACTTATTGTAGCAAAAGAATGGCTTTCCTGATAATTCACTGTGAGAAATGGATGACTCCAAATGTGTCCTGGGATATAGAGATGCTGAATCACATTTTTGATGTGACCTTAAATTGAAATGTTTAGAAAAAGAGAAGCGCGTTTTCCTGTTTGAATGGGATGTTTCAAATGCATAGCTGCACTCAGGAAAACTTTAAGAAGTAACATCTCAGGACATCAAGGGCAGAGAGTATCAAATAGGGGCTCGATGCTTCTGTGAAGTGTAGGGCAAGTATGGGAGGAATGGCAGGTGGGTGGGGGCTCCTTTTCCCTACGGTGCCATCTAAGGAAGGTTCTGGGCCCGGTGAACCTGTCTGAATGGATGGAATGTTTCTTCAGACGTCCCAGAAGCACATTCTTCCACAGCAGGTCCTCCGTTTGTCTTTTCTTGTTCCAGATTCACTCAATTATCCTTGACTGCTCTAAACATTCCAGTACATTCCATGAGCCCCACATTCCTTTTCCCACTCCAGCCAGGATCACCAAACACCAGCACCCTCCTCCTAACACTAACACTTGCCCCCATCCATCCTTCTTTCCCCCCTCCATCATTCCTCATCGTGGATGAATGTGGCTCAAGAAAAGACCCTCTATTTTATCTTTTCTTTCCATGCCGAGGAATTTGAGTTGCTTTAGATTAAGGAAAGCCTTCATTTTCCGGGCACACCTGGCTGGTACAGTATGCAAGCTATGAAATCAAACAGTGAGAGACGGACCCTCCAGCTGCACAGTCCATAAGCAGCACCTCTTTATTTTTCTGCATGATTGGGGCCACAGGGAAATTCTGAGTGTCTGACATGACAGAGACGTGTGTGATTACACAGGTGCACAACGTGGGGTGTGTAGCCATCAGCAAGCAATTTAACGCACAAAACAAAGTTAACAGAAAAAAACATTTGAATTTTCAGAGAATAAGCTATTGATTTTTTACAACCAGCTACAACCTAATCCAAAACAGTACGTTTTTCTTCTGAAATGTGAAGCCTCTCGCCATCAAGCAGCAAAAAATCAATGCATGCCGTTACATTCTCTAAAGGCCAAAACAATCTTAAAGACTAGCTCAGTCCACAAGTGAAACCTCTTCGAAAATACCATGAGCTTTCATTCAATCATCCTGTGGATCAGGTTAATTTTTGACAGCTCTTTCATCAATGATTTACACGCTCAGGAATACAGCTCAGAATCTCAGACAGGGAGTGGAGATAATGGTTGTCTGCTTTGTGTTGGTCTCTCATTGGACTGAAGACCTGTCCCAGGATGTACTTTGCCTCTCAACCAGCCTTTCAGTTTTAAAAGGGATTAAGCAGGCGTAATATGATAGATTAGAGGTTGATAGAAGTATGGATGAAACTGGATGAGATAACTCTCTGCTCTGTTCTCTGATTTGGCACTGTATGAATAAGCCAAACTGAGAACGAGAGAGCTGAGAAATATACTACACCAGGCCAAGCTGCTCTCTGCTAAACGGAATAAGTCCTGGAATGTACTGAACCTTTGATAGGCTGTGCTGTCAAATCAGAGTCACTGGTTACATTCTTGACAAAGGGGAGCCTCCCCTGATGTAATTTGCTGACAGTCAAGAAATTACTCAAGTTTATCATTCACATGACATGTGAATATTAGTTGCACAGTCCTTCGTCAGTTTAATCACATTTTCTTATTTGCTGAAAGGTACAAGGAATGTAAAATATTTAGAAAAAGAGCTTAGTCTCTACAATTTTACTTTTCATGTGTCCTTGACTCCTTACTGGTTCTTAAAAAACAGCTTATAATAAAATAATACAGTTATTTTCACAGTTAGAAGGAAACATTATCTGAAGATGTGTATCATTGTTAAGTGAACGTGCCGAGATAGTATGAAAATATGTAAAGTCTTCAAAAAATGACCTTTTCTGCCTGTTATTTATTATAACAAAGGCTCTTTGATACGTTTCCCTAAAAAATCAGATATTTGGATTGCATCTTTGTCTTTTTTAAAGAATCAACAATGATAGATTACAAAGGTTTAAAGATATAAAAGTGTCCAGTGAAATTGAAATAGTCCAGTATGAGTGTTGGTTTTCCAATTTGAAGTTGAGTCATTGTTTGGATGACCAGTTAAACTACGGGCAGCTGTTCACAAAACAAGCCATATCTCATCCGACTTCCTGTTGCTGCTTCAGCTGACAGAAAAAGGAACTTGTACACACTTCATACTAGATATGACACGTAATCTTACAAAGACTTTTACTGGGATCTACTGTTTAGATATGTTTAGCTGTCCTGTTCAATCCCACTAGGATAGAGAGGCTGACAGCTGCTGGCTGGAGACTTCCACAGGATTGATTCTGAGGGCTGCTCACTTTGGAACTGTGATCCCGGGTGAATCAATGAGCAACAAGACAATACTAAGCCTCTTAAATAATTATATACAGAGAGAGTTATCAACATTCGAGCTACCGGCTGTCAAATTACCCAGACACACACATCAGAAAGCAAGGAGAATAATCCAGCCGACCTGCCCAAGTGAAGGGAAATAAATGTGCTTGTTTAAAACTCCATGCTTGATAAAAGGTCTCACATTACCAGAGAAATTACAACGAAACGCTCATTGACATTTTTTCATCTTCCCTAGAATGAATGAGTAATACTGGAACAATTCTAAGCTGTTAGTCTTCATTGACGTAAATAGTATACATTATTTCCAGTTATCATAACAAAAAGGCAGAAGACACACGCATACACAGAATGTAAAAACTGGAAGCTTTTGGCATCGGAGCACTCACATATGACAAAGTTCATACAATAAAGGTGTGTTGTTTCTATTTTATGTTTCAGTCATGTTGTGAAAATGTCTTAAAAATGAACTAGCTTAAGCAAGTCTGGGATGTCATGATCTTTCCAAAACACACACTCTTTCTTTTAAAATGAAAATAAATTCCAATTAAAACGGTCTCTATGCTCATTATTTGCATGGTATCAGTATTGTAATGGTAAAGAATTCTTCAAACGACTTTTATATGTTTTGGTGCAAGGTTGAACTGCATTTAGCCTTCAAATCTTACACCTGACAGGTATCTATAGGTCCAGTTTGCATTGAGCTAATCCATCAGTGCACACAGGCGGAAGCACACAGCAGCCCGCAGAGAGACACACCCCCTCCTCCAGAGGCTCACACACAGACGCGCATAAGAGGCTTCACAGAGCAGGCAAGACAGAATGTCCGGCGGAGTCGGAATGAATGTTAATCCCACCACATCACCATCTGGAATCCTCTATCGGAAGTACGAAAGTATGACCACAGAAATCCCGACCGTGGACAAACGACCAGAGGCAGAAAAAAATAAAAAAAGTCTGTGTACACAACGGGACAGAACGATCAACCCCTCCAAAAAACAAAATCACACTCACGAGCTTTTTATCATCACCGGAAGGGAATGATTATCTTCGAGAATGATTAAAAAAAAACGCTGTATTCCATGTCAATATAATAGGGTGATGACCTGGACTATTAAAGATAAAGTGATCCCAAACTAGTATTCCAATCACTTGAATCTACTACAAAACAAAATAAGTCCAAACTCACCGTCCAGGCTCTTCAGCCGTCTTGTTCAATGTTGCTGTCTCACTATTTTACGCTTAAATGCTAATGCTACTGGGATTTTTTTTTAAGTAGTTAAATGTCCGATCTTGTTAAACAAATAAAACTATTTACCCTAATGAAATGTATCCTCCCTGAAGGCTGCCAGCCGTCAATCAACGGCGCATGGCGCGCCTGTACACATTGCGTTCCCCTCTGCTGATTTTGTTCATCAACCGGAATCAAAGACTTGGGTGGAAGGGACTTATTGAGACCCCAGTTTGAAAACCGGAGCCAGGTATTTGTCTCCCCCCACAACCGCCACAAGTGAAGTGACACCACAATATCTCTGAAGGAAAATTGGATCGTTCCCCCCTTCAACGGGACCCACTTTCTTCCCAAACGAAATGTGGACAGATTGCGTGAAAAAAGTCAGAGTGCCTCAAGGAATGGACGCGGAGGAATTTCCCTGCGTGGAGAACATATTTAACAAGCCTTAAAGCTGTCAGGAACGCTGACCAAAGGGAGAGAAATATGTTAATAATGTAGGCTACTGCCATACCAAATATGGCAATATTGTTACGTCTGAGCTCTGGTGCGCATCTGGAAATGCTTAGCTGCTCTGAATAAAGGCACCGGAGAGCCAGAAATAGACGCTGCTGAACGTATTTCTGCCCACATCTTTAGCCTCACGAGGAAAAACAAATTCTATCATTTCCAACTTGGTCTGAAAGGGTTTTTTAAAACTATTTTGATCAGCAAAATCGATACTGACAATAATGTTCTAAAAGAAAAAATGAACCAAAATGACTTCATGGTTGACACTTCACCGATTTCCTCCTCCCTCATTTGATCATCTCTTCTTATAGAATAATCTCAACGCTATTCTTTGAAGAAAATAGAGCACGGTTTGAGAAAAAGCTGCTGCCAGAGAAGCCCCAGCCCCTTGCTTCAACGGGAAAGTCTATTGAAGTCGAGTTGATAGATGTGAGAAGCGAGGACAGGAAGAAAATGAAAGGGAGGATAAACAAAAGAAGAAAAATATGAGACGGAAAAGTGTGTTCAGATGGGATCCAGGGGGGGAAAATCTATCTGAGCAAGAAAGAAAAAAAAAACAGAAAGGGTTTAGACAGGGTGGAGCTTAGGTCTTGGATGGAAAATGCGCCGAGAAACATTCCTGGCATAGTTTGGGAACAGTTCAGTAAGCAGCCCAGTGACGACGTCAGCTTCCCCCAACGGTATATAAGTGCGGAGGTGGCCAGACTTTATCAGACAGCAACCGTTTTACCGAGAGCCTCATCTACTCTAAGGAGCCTCTAACAATAGACTACCAGCAAACAACGCGAGAGACAAACCACCGAGAGGGAATACCTAAGGACTCCGCCGAAGACAGACTTTTCATAAACCTCGAACAGGATTCCTCTTGAACGCGTGCAAGAATTTTGTCCAAGATGCTGATGCTTACTTTAGCCGTAATCTTTCTTGGAAACCTCAACCTGGTGAGTCTGAGCTTTCTCCTTCTTTCTTAAGGATGGACATTTCTCTGATCATTTTATCCACTGAAATTCGTTTCTTTTTTGGGGGGTATGAGATGGCGTTGTATGATTTAAAATGTTAACCGAAGATTCTCTTGATGGCTGTGCAGGTCGTTTCCTCCCCCAACTGCCCCTCCGTTTGCGAGTGTCCGCTGGAGATGCCCAAGTGCGCCCCCGGAGTTAGTGTGGTCCTGGACGGCTGCGGCTGCTGCAAAGTTTGCGCCAAGCAGCTGAACGAGGACTGCAGCCTGACCGAGCCTTGCGACCACACCAAAGGGCTGGAGTGTAATTTCGGGGCCAGTTCTGCCGCTGCTACAGCCCGTGGCATCTGCCGAGGTATGAATCCAAAACCCTTCAGCTCCAGATGTGCATGCCATCCAGTTAGTCAGACTTTTTATCTCTTCATTTCGGGGGTTTTAGTCAGAACTTTGGGGGTCTGTGTGATTTCAACGCTATGGAATGCAGCTATGGGAGGAACTAGACTAAACCTCAAAGCCCACATTTAAGGGGAAGGAGAGTTTTCAGGCTGTCTGAAGAATTCCACAGTTTAACTGATCATATCTGGCAGCCATGTGATGTCTTCAGCAGACATCTTTGAGCAAAACAGGAAAGAATAACATTCCTCTCTTTTTCTGTTTTTTCTCTCTCCCCGTTGCAGCTAAGTCAGAGGGCAGACCCTGTGAGTACAACAGCAGGATCTACCAGAACGGAGAGAGCTTCCAGCCCAACTGTAAACACCAGTGCACATGCATCGATGGGGCAGTGGGGTGCGTCCCACTGTGTCCGCAGGAGCTCTCACTGCCCAACCTGGGCTGTGCCAACCCAAGACTGGTCAAGGTGGCAGGCCAGTGCTGCGAAGAGTGGGTGTGCGACGATGGCAAGGAGAAAGATATCCTAGAGAAGATCTTTGGGAAAGAAATGCTGACAGAGGATCTGGAAAGAGACCTGACCAACAGGAATGAGCTCATTGCAATTGTCAAGGGAGGACTCAAGTCCCAGCCTGGTAAGTGTGAGAGTGGCGAGCACTCTTTAGATAGATAATTATAAGATCTGAACATGAAAATATCAAATGATAGTAAGTTGCTAATCTTTCTCTCGTTCATTTTTGTCGCAGCATTCAGACCACAGCCTGAAATCCACATGTTCGACAGCCAGAAGTGCATCGTCCAAACCACTCCCTGGTCCCACTGTTCCAAGAGCTGTGGAACCGGCATCTCCACCAGAGTCACCAACAACAACAGCGAGTGCAAGCTGGTCAAAGAGACGCGACTCTGTGAAGTGCGACCATGCACCCAGTCACCTTACTCCAGTCTGAAGGTAGGCATGAGTCAGTCATGGCTGAATGTCGCTAAAAGAATGTACAATCTTAAAAACACCACGTCTGGGTCTTCACACTCAACTGATCACCACCTGGTTTGTGTTTATTCTTCTTCAGAAAGGAAAGAAGTGCAGCAGAACCAAGAAATCCAGCCAGCCAATCAAGTTCACCTATGCCGGCTGTTCGAGCCTGAAGAAGTACAGACCGAGATACTGTGGAGCCTGTATCGACGGCCGCTGCTGCAGCCCCCACGACACCAGAACCATCCGGGTCAAGTTCCGCTGCGAGGACGGCGAGACCTTCAACAAGAACATCATGATGATTGAGTCCTGCAAGTGCACTTACAACTGTCCCAACACCAACGAAGCCTCCTACCCCTTTTACCGCCTATCCAATGACATCCACAAGTTCAGAGACTGAATGGCGACGAGCATCCCGACCCCAGCAAGACAGAGAGATTGGTGGCACCACTGGCAGCCAATGGCAGTCTAGATTAATGCAGGGGTGTAAATAGACCACCAGCCAACTACCAGCTTCTTGTTGTAACTAGATTCCCAAGGAATTATGGATTTACATCATGAGGACTTAATGAAGTGCACTGTATGCTGTGACTGCATCAGCATTCTTTATACAAATTGCTTCGTATTAATGGAGCATTTGAAGTAGCTTCGTGATGGAGCAAGATGTAATTAATATTTGTACATTTACTTTAGTTGCTGTTATCAATTCACTGTGTATATTTTGATCCTTTATTTCTGACATGACCCAGAGTGAAGACTTGTGTGTGTATATGTAGATATGCACATGTGCAACTTCAATTAGCATACAATCTTATATCTTAAGAACATGGCAACGAAATGATACCTCTCAGCTTGTTTAACAAGTTTGTGGTTTCATTCCTTCCTGACGTGGGCATTATTGTTCATGTTTTGTGGCAGCTATTGATCTCCCTTCATGAAAGACAAAGCGAAACATGTCAAAGGATGAATGAATGTCTTTATTATTGTTATTAATATTATTTATCAAAAAACGTAGCTACTTTATTTGGATATTATGTGTCATACTGGAATTAATTGTAAAATGATTTAATTTTATATGCTTCAATAAAACTGATTTATTTATGAAATGTGACACTGCCTGAGCTTCATCTGTTTAAACGACACAGCAAAACAGTAACAAAGCAACCAAATGAGGCTTAAAAAGAGAGAGATGGGGAAGGATATTTAAAGGCATGGCTGAAAGAGAAACTCCTCCTGTTATATCATTCTGCAGAGCCAACAGAGTTTCAGACAGACACTGAGCAGGGTCAGTGCGTTCTTATATAACACAGCCTTGGAATCTCCCTATCCTGGCTGTTTTTGCTTTAGAATGTCATTCAGTGGTGTGCTTGCTTGCTTTCATTTGATCTGGCTCAAACATACACTTGACTGACTCTGAGAAGGGGGAAAAGATTAAGTCCAGGAGTAGCAATGAGTGTGGAGGTATGCCAAGAATCTTAAGAGCTGCTCTGAATGGGCTGGGATTAGACACTATGCAATGAGGACAATGACTATAATTGTACACAATATACTGTCGTCTGTGAATGAATTCCTGCTATTTTTTAACACATAGAATTGTGCTACCAAACTGACCTGAATCTTTAGAAGAATGACAACTTTTCAAAGTACATTATTTTAATTGGTCTTTGTTGGCTTTCAGAATGCAAAGAGCTGCTAAACAGTTGTAAACAGCTCAACATGTTCGGGGTGGGCGGTTCATTAGAGCAAGTACTGATTATTTTGTAATTACCCAAACAGTGACAGGACAGGAAACAAGGGAAACGTGGTTACTGTGTATTTTGCTACTATCATAATGCGTGACACATGTGCGAGTGCCTTTTATGTTTACCTGAGTTTAAGTCGGGGCTGTGTGCTCTCAGCCTGTCATTTTATGACCCCCTGGGTTCACAAGACCGGCGCAATATAACATTAATGATTAAAGAATACGACGAGGAAGACCGTGTGTTATTCTTTATTTCACTCAGAGATTGATGTTTGCACCTGGTACAAATACCACCGGTACAGTTTGAACTGTGGCACTGAGAGCACAGCTCAGGGGCAACGACAGGGATAGGTTTCTTTTTTGATCCAGGTAGAGGGAGCGGCTCAGGAATGCAGCAGTGGCTCAGAAAGCAGACATCCTGATGGGCGGCAGATGTTGGAAAATATTTCAGAGCAACATGTTCACTTTCGCTTAGGAGCTTTTCCAAATATGCACCAAAACTCCCAAGTACTCATTTGTTTCCACAAAAAGCATTTTATCTCCCCACAACTGGAAGAGACCGTCTATCTGAAACAACATGACACCTCTGAAAACTTTCTTGCACGGCCGCTGGCGATAAGTCTCAATCAAGGCTGTTTAATAAGAGGTTGAGCAGGACACAGCCTTTGATTGAGCTGAATGCTGCACAGGATGTACCCACTGAGGTTTTACAGATTGTACACATGAAAGACTTCTGAGGTTTACCTAATCCCAAAGATGCGTGACTGCCCCCTTGCAGCCAGAGTTTACAGTCAACACTTTCAGGGAGCCCTGTTTTAGCTCTTTGTTGCTTCCTACAGGAGGAAAATTCCAGCTTGTCCTTCAGTTTGGTAACTGCCACAGTATCAGACTTTTTTGATTTGTTTTGATACCAGAATGCAGGTTACCTGGTTATGTAATGGCATCTCTATGTTATGTGAGCAGGGATCCTCCTCATCTGTAGCAGTCCTGTGTGATGTACAGACTGGCTTACAATCCCTCAGCCTTTTTTCTGGGAGCTGAAAAATGAGGTTTATTGTCAGAATTAAACTGCTGTGTGCCATCATACAGAGCGTGAACCTATAAAAATTATCATTCTCAGACACAGGGGCAAACTAGGCTCCCCTACATAGGCGCCCTCACAATTAAATCCCTCAGCAGCTACCTCATTCCTTGAATCTAAAATGTGTTTACATGACAAAGACATTAAAGCTACATCAGGGTCTATGTAATGTGGTGCAACCAGAGGCAAACCTAACTGAAAGTGGCCGTTGGAGCATGCTGGAAGCCGCTGAGCACTGAATGGATTTACAGTCCTTTTGTCAATAACCTCAGGTTAATATTCACTGTTACAAGGAGTTCACTGGAAGAGGGCAGGGGGAGCCAGCCACTGACTTTCTCAAGTACCATCTGGTGGACAAAAGAGGAAACACAGTTTTGTGGATGTGTCTGTTTACACTTTGACCTGTGCATCTGAAAGCCCACTGCTCTCAAAGAGAAACCTGAAATGATCTAAACAGCCAAGACATGTATCTTTAATCACACATACATAAACATATATATCTAAATAATGTGTGTGTGTGTGTAGTGTTACATCCCGCAAGGGTGTGGGAACCTGTCATTTCAATCAGCAAAAACACACGCAGCAGGGGCAGTGGCTCTTCCTCGGAAATACACATCAGATCCTCAGTTTTGATTACATAAGAACAACTGATGAGCAAGTTTATGGGAAAATCAGTCATTTCCATCACACCCTGTGGGATGGTACCGGGCATGCCCAGAGGGCCATGGCCACTGCAGTTGTTATTTGGTTAAAGAAGCAGATGGCTGATGGAAGAGGCTGAAGTCAGTCTGTGGGTGTCTTGGATCTGAACTGAAGTCCAACAAACTGAATGTTGCATAGATTTGAACTTACTGTAAGTCCTTGGTAGATGTAGAGCTTCTAAGCAGCCTAGTATTCCTTATTTGATACATTTGACTGTGAGACTTTCTTAAAGAGATAAAAAAAAAATGTAAAAACAGCATTCTGAAATACATGTTGAAATGATATGAAGCTCAAAGACCACTGTTTGTGTAAAGAATCTCCGATTGTCCTACTTCAAAAACTTTAAAAAACTTCCTTAAAAAACCCTAAAAAAATGAGATCATATCAACTTTCCAAATCAGACAATACATAACTCAATCATAGGTTTTAGGAATAATGTCATAAACATATTCCCAAATATCCTCATATGTATGGTTACAATTTATTGTAAATGTGGAACCTTTCCCAAAAAATTATATTAAGTTTCTTTGAACTCCAATACAACCATTTATGAAGCACTATCTTTATATAGACATAATTTGAATTCTTTGTAGTGGCGACCCTCAAGATTGTGTTGTAATGGAACCTTCAGTGACATGGGTAATGGATTTTCCCAGACTTTTGTCTGGACCATGATGGGTAATTGTGGTCTGGTCTCCAAAATTGTGAAATGATGAGGGCTTACAGGGGCTTAGTCAGCATATCACAATGCAGTTTTCTCTTTAGAACTATGTCTTATTACCTATGTTTTTTTATGTCTGGCAGAAACCATTTCTTACCCTCCTTCGAGTGTGACTGTCTCCAATGTGATAAATAAACACAAAATGGATATTTAGAAAATAAAACAACCTTCATCATTATCACTTCTTTTCAATTTAATCACTTTTACTTACAACATGTTGAGCCTTTTCAATTCTATGTGAAATCTATTCCAAGATCTCACATCAATTGCATTCAACATCCGAACCCACTCTCCAAATGCATATTCTTCACTGGACATGTACAGCTCTACAGTAAGATTTATGAAACCAGATATAAAAGAAAAATCATATTTGCTTGGCAAAATGATCAACTAAAGGTACTGTACTTCTCCTGAGTTTTAAAAAGTACCATTCTGCATGACTTGATGTGTACATGCAAAAGTTATTCACTCCACAACTGCAGATATCTGGGTGTATCAGACTGATTCCGGAAAGTTTGAAATCCCGCTTTTTGGTTGACAAAAAGCATAGATAAATGTGTAATTTGCCAGGAGCAAAACAGCATATTTTAGGGACCATCTAAACATGCTTCACTAGTTCAAACCTGACTTAAATCAAGCAAAATAGAATATCATATGAGGATTGAATCTCTTGTCTACATTCAGACAGATTCAATTGGAACAAGGTGCTTTGCTCAAGCTTCAAAGTTCCTTTATATCCATTTTGCATTCATTTGTAACAAAGAAAAGCCTAAGAGTATAATAATACAGCCATGCATTATAGGACTAAACTCACTCAAATGTTCCTTTTCTGTTTTCTTTTGTCAGACCTCTAAATGCATCATGCTATTTGGGGTCACCCTGCTTATTTTCATTTGTAAAACCTCAACGGCCTTTGGCTCTTTTAAAACTTAAATCACTCATTGTCTACTAAGTCAAAACTCAATCAATGCTCCAGTGACTGAACAGTAGTGGCTCCTTCAAGATTAGGAAGAGCTGTTTACATCAGTGGGTGCCTTAACTATCTTTATAAAAAGATGCCCAATGCTTCATCATTATAATCCTCTCCAAGAAAACAGCCAAGTATTATGAGCAACAAAATATTTGGCATGTGCTGAAGTGCAGTTTAAAGACCGGGTATAATTCAAAATGCATCTTTTTCCATTAAAAAGGAAATATGAAGGCCTGTGTGGCAGAAGTAACAGCAGGAGTTGATGAATAATTTTCTGCCCATCCCTGTGCAAATGATATATCCTTGAATGGGATGCACATTCCCAAGTTGATCCAGAAGGCCGGGCATTGCACATCTGCACTTAGGTTAATGAGCAGCAGGCTGTGCAGCACTTTGGGTAAAAGCATTATTTAGATGTAGTTCATATACGTTTTTGACGGCAGGGAAGAAGTAACACCGGGGAAAAACACAATTGCCAGACAGGTCTTCTTTAAGTAGAGACAAATTAGCCATATTCATCAATTCAAGTGGAAGCATTACAGCTTTTGTTTCACCAAAATCAGACTATCAGACTAACACAAGATTTCATCCTTAATCCTCTGTGTACAAGTCTTTTGGGATTTGACTCCCTGCTGATCACAGAGTAAGCTAAATGTATCCAGTCAAATGCCAGTTCATATTGAAAATATGGCACTGGGAGCTGTAGAGCTGCCTGCAGATGTGTGCAATTTTAAACAATGAAAATGTTTTCCGTGCAACATGTGGCTCTGTGTGATTATGATTTTGTTGGGTAATGACAACCATTCGGTTTGTGCGTGTGAAAATGGGTGACAGCCGGCTTTGGAAACATGATTTTGTGCTTGAGTACCTGCTTCTCCAGTCTCTGGATAATCCAACCACAGTGCAGCCATGTCCCCGAAGCCATTCTCATAACAAGCAGTTCTACAAGCAGCAGAATTGAACCTTACCCACCAAATCAAGACAAATTAAGTGTAAACCAGCTTCAGATATTTCAAAGGACAATTTAGTTAAACTGGAGGCATTATTTCCAATGACTGCTCTTTCCACAGGCTAAAAACAGCTCAGTTAGACTTTTAACAGCAAAGAGGAACAAAAGCACAGCTTTTGTGTGGTCTCATTGAGTAACTTTATTGAGACATAAAGTTAAGAGAACTGTTTAAATAAAGTGTGTGGTAATTCAACTCAGTCATGAAAAAAGAAGAAACAGATGTTCCAGAACCAGAGAGATTACAATTTAAGCTTTCATCCATTAGTTGATATGTTTCAACAGCTTCCAAACAGAAGAAACTGATTTTCTCAAAAATCCCCACATATTCAAGTATTTGGGATAGTTTACTGACAACAGTTTGAGCATGAGCCCTGTCTGCCTGCAGGTTCGTGAATGCACTGCTATTAATCAATGGCATTCTGCACCAGTGAGACTAAGGACAGTTGCCACAGCACAATATGTGGAGTGTGAGGCCGCAGAGAGCAGGACCAACAGCTCGGGTGGGTATCAGAATCTAACCACCAAACAAGCAAGTTTAGTTCCTCTATGTTGTTTTTTAAAATTGTGTTGAAAAAATAATTTGTGGTTACAATCAGATCCTCCAGTGACCCAAATCCTTGATCCAGCATGGGGATTTTTCATAACCTTTGACCTTGCCATTTCCATATTCTACAGTTAGCCGTGTTAGCTTTTGCTGTTCCTCATTCAAACTGACAGAAAAAGCAGGGGTGATCCTTTCTGTTCACCTTTTCCACTTAACTTTAAATTGCATTGGCAAAAACAGTGTTGGACACCTTTCTAAAGATTACATGTACAGAAGTTGGGCATATTGAAATGCATGGCAATGTTTTTAACTTGAAAAAAAGAAGAAAACTAAATTGCTACACCCATTTGGGACAAGAAGCAATTCAAAGATGCACTTTTAAGATCTGAGATCATCAACCCAAGAGCAAAAAGGGTGGAAAATACATCATCAAAGACTAAACATCAAACAGAGCCCCTCTATTAAGGTTTACATCCAAAAGAGGTTAGGAAGGGTTTTAAAAAACACATCTATAAACAGAGGCCTCCACAGTGGGTTACACTGAGAGTTATTACTGGCACGCTGTTGTCATAACAAGCTAACATTAGGTAGGAAAATGCTACATACAGCCTCCTCATACGCAAGCACATTCACACAGGGAGACACCCCAGAGGTGTCAGAAAAAGGAGGATGTCAACATGAACTTTTATTAGCTGATGGAAAAACTAACCTAATGATCTTGCCGAAGTCTGACTCAGAGGAAATTTAATGACCGTCAAAGCTGATGGAGGCTCAGTTTCGGGCTGCTTTCTTTTAGTTTTAAAATGAAACCCCTATCAACAGATGGACAGGTTACCCAACATGTGTTAAACAGGAATGCTTGCACTATTCATCTTTTAAGAGTTCTCTTAAGGGCTTTGGGTTATTTACAATAAAAGAAACAAAGCAAAAAAACAACCTCACTTCAAAATTATTTATTAAATCACATTGTTAGTTCTGCCTTGATCACATCAGATTATTTCCATAAACAGATGTTGTAATGGTCACACTCACACAGAATAATCTTTTTTGGCATTTCAGTGACATTTTGCCTCCAGGTACACACTTTAAAGTTACACAAGATGGAAAAGGAGTTTTTTTTCTTTAAAGAGGATCCTTAAGGACAGACAAAGGTAAATAGGATAAAGTCATTGCCAGTTGATAAAGGATCCTAATCACAGTGCCACTGCCTTCTTCAAAGTTTACTGATAAAGACAGATCTAATGCCAACATTCTTCATAAGATCTGCAAAAATAATACAAATGATAAGACAAATTATTTAAAAAAAAATTATTTTATTTGAGAAAACACTTTCAACTGAATAAAAAACTAAAAATCTAAAGCTCAATCCACAAATACATGTGGCACACCAGTTTTTTCCGTTGTGTGCTGTTAAATGTTGGCTTGCAATGGTCAACTTTGTGCTGACACGGCATTTTGGATGTCCTGTCAGACAATCACTTCAACATCAGCGTGACGTCACTCCATTTGATGGAATGCAGCATCGGCGAGGACATTTCCATCTGTGCAGAGTGTGAATCTGTCCCGGCTCTGTAACGGTGTCCCCCTCAGTGACCCCTGACCTCAGCATCCTCTGACCAGCAGGAGCAGGGCTGCCTCCCCCCTCACAGCCATCCCTGCTCCTGTGGCTGCGTTCAGGGACACCGTCATCAACACTCCGTGTCACCGGTGGGGCTTTTGGACATCTCACGGCTCTCGTAACTCTGGATGCTTTCGTCGGGACCTGCTTTGTCCTCGTCTTCGCTGGAGTCTATGAGCTCGCCCTCCTCTTGCTCCTCCTTCTCTGCTCCTCTCTTTGCCCGTTTCTCCAGCGGGGGCTCGGCCTCAGCTCTTGTGTGAACGCTGGGTCCCTCTTGTGTGCGAGAACTTCGTTTGGACGGGGAACGCTGGGCCACGTCTTTCTTCTCTCGGTCCGTCCCAACACTCTGCGGGACACGTGTCGGGCAGGCCGACACAGGCTCAGCTGAAATGATATAAACCAAATTCGGCATGGCATTAGTCAACTAGACAACCAGTCGTGTCCAAACGAGTGCATGGTTTTCATGAAGAGAACCAGGCCATTTCTGAGAAAGGTCACAGTCCTAAATGCTGGAGATAAAAAAGGGCAGCTGAGGTATGGCCAATCTACCGCTTTGTTTTAAAGCTAGTTCTCCTCATAAGAAAATATCAAATAATTTAAATTGCAAAAAAAACAATGCGAGCTATGTTAAAGGAGGGCTGCAGTTCTTGCCTGCAATACTTGTGATTTGTAGGACACATTTATCAGGTCCATAACCAGCACTTCCCATCCAGTATAAGAGGAAACTAAGGCATGCTAGAAAGTAAAGCTTAAAAAATACAATGTGGAGTGTTTGAAAGCAGCCAGGTGTTGCTCTACGGCATCCTGACTTTCCGACAATCAGCTTCACTCAGACACAAACAAGCAGCTATCAGATCTCAGAATAAAAAAAGCAAGGATGAGCCTCCTTTATCTCCCCGGAGAGCACGCTTGGTACCGACTGCAACCTTCGTCAACGGATCAAATAAAAAATGGTCAGAATGTTTGGGGTCACTGAAACCTTACGACCATTCGGAAGGTTTCGAATGTACTTTTGAAGCCAGACATTTAAAACGACACAAACATGGAGGAGGGTGAAAACTTTATCAGAGTGGGTCCTGACTGCCTGAATACAGTGCGACTGGCTGCGTGCCGTACCAGTCACAACATCATTTTATCCTCTGGAGATAAGGCACTGCCACAATGCCCAATTTTTTTGTTATCACTTCCTGTCCAGCTTCCCAGGCCGCGGCGTGAGCAATTATCAGGATGTTTCTAAGGCCAACACGAGAGGAAAACCAAATGGCACCAGGGCCTTATCGCTGAAAACACGCACTGGGGCTAAAATGACCTCATTCGTCATTCCGCCGCTCTGCCGTGACAGGGTAATGATAATGGGCCTGTGTGGTCTTCTGTGATCATACTGCAGCACACACAGTCTGACCACACTGTGGACGTCGTTTAAGGAACAAAACTGATCAGCGGGCTGCTTGTGTGATACGAGACACTGTCTGCACATGACTGACACCTCTGGACCGTAAACACCCGGAGTTAGGGGAAACTGACAAGTAGGCGAGAGAAAAATAGGGACCGATATGCTGTTTTCTCATCTCCTGTCATTTCACTTGTCATGAGGTCACTGTTGAACAGCGAGTCATGTTTGATCCTCCGTTTGGCACCCGCTGCTGTTGAGGTTAAGCTGGTGCGCGTGATGCTGAGCAGAACATATTCATTTCTGTTGGGTTAGCGTGTTGCCATGGCGAAAAATAAGGCAACAGAGGGTTTGAAAAAACCTCAACTGGAGAAACCAGGACATGATACAATTCGGTTGGAATCAGGAAAAAAGAGACTGATGCTTAGAGGCAAGGGAGAGTCCAACCCCTGTCACACTATGTTCAACCTTATGCTTAACTACTCAATGTATGGGTTTGGAAAGCAGCAGTAGAGAAACAAAAAAAGGAAGTGTTCATCCTAATGTAGCCACATAGAAATGTTATTCTGTTACTACTAAAGCAATAGGTTGCACTGGATATGACTAGATGTGGTTACCTTGTCCTTTCAGAGGATATTCCTTCCAGTGGTCTTTAAGCACAACATGAAGCATGGGATATTCGATGAGTGTTTTGTAGCTCAGGTTATCCCTCAGGCTCTTCTCCAAGTCCAACTCGTAGTACCTGTAATCACATAAAAATAATCTGGTAGACAAGACAAAAGGGGGATTCCAAGGGACCCCTATTAAAACATGACTGGTCAATGATGGTATTGTTTTATTGCCCTCTTCCAAGTAGAGAGTGGTAGCAAGAAAGTGGTAAGGAAACTATTTCATTTCTCACAAGATTTGATTCAGAAGCATCCACTATCCATACACAAGAAATAATATAGAAACATTGGATATAGTAAATACCAAAAAGCTCCATCCCCTCACAGACTGAGATTATCATTGTATATAGTTGTTTTCCCCAAAATACACAAAGAGGCAGAGAACGGTCCAGGTAAACACCCCCTCGATAAGCCAATCAAAGCATTCTGCTACAATTTGGCATTTAGAGATGGTTGCTGTAAGAGGAGCCTGAAAGAAGCTGTCCCTTTTGGAAGAGTTATCCAAAGGTCCACTTGAAAAAAATCCCACAATAGATGGCAGTGTGTGTTAGGCATAATAAGAGGAAGAAGGGATAGCCTTTGGGTTTTCAGAACACATTTGAAATGTCATCTTCCCTAAAGTGGATTTTCCAATACGTTGCGTGAAGAGTGGAAATAGACGAGAGATATGAATGCGTTCATTTGCACATGTTTTAGGGATAAAAATGAAAAATGCGCCAAAGAAGGGGCAGAGATTTGGAGTTGGAACTACAGTTGGCGTGTGAAAATGAAATAAAGAAAATTGGTTTGCGCTCGGCTGCCTGATCTCTACTGGATCCATCTGGGATTTGCATAGCGGGGAATACTGTTTCCATGTCGTTAGCTTTTATGTCTAACATGCAATAAACAAATGTTTGCAGATGTTATTTTTAGCAGGTGGATATATAAACTAAACTAAAACATACCTGTACACAATGGTCAATGGGATTGTTAAAACTGAGAAGTTGGAGAAACCCGGCAGAGCTAAGAACACACAGACATCTGGTGTCTATAGAGTGTTCTGTCAAGTGAACGGACAGAACAGAGGGCATGGATGACGTATGTGCTGAGATGTAGCAGTTAAGAGGTTACAGTGTCAAAATGCCAGAAACGAAGCTGAAATATGGTATCCAAAATCTTTTTTGTGACAAAAGGTTTTACAAAACAAAAGAGAAATCTGACACAATATCAAGGAAGCAATAGTTTTGTTAGGTTCATAACTTTCCACTGCTGACACCTGATGAGTTACTTATCAGTGTATACATTTTGCTTCTATTCTGATGAGAGATTCATCCAATTTTTCAGTGACTGAAGACTGTCAAAACTCCCCCAGAATCCTTGAAACTGGTCCAGTTGCTTTTTCTAGCAGAGCTGACAGAGCCCCACGTTTCACACTGTCAGAGAAAGAGGAGCTAACCCTGCCGCCATCCTCTAATCCGCTCTGGCAATTTTTTGTACACGCTTCTTCAGAACTTCAGGGTGTTGCTCGTATTCAAGCTTGTGTACTAAAAGGTTAACTCACTGAAGCTGGGCTGAAAGGAAACAACACAAGATATGGTGAGAGAAAACAGTTTCAGTAGCAACGTAAGGCCGATCCAGGATGTGCTTCGACTCCCCTGTGTACAGAACGGATACTCCTTTCCCAAGTTGCTAAATAAAACCAAAGCATCTAATTTAGGACCGCTGGATGACCTTAGTCTGCAACATTTGAGATAATGTGGGCACATGTCAGATAGTTTATCACAAAAACACTCTATGCTATGGCCTCGAAACGAAGTTGATGTTAACAGAAATGTTCGGGGTGTACCACGAAAATCAAACAATGTTTTGAAATGTAATAACTGCAATGCATGTCTAATAAAAAGGTAATAAACCATTTCTGCAGACGGCTAGAATAGATTTCACACTTTGACTTTAAGGCAAGCAGAAGGAGAGCATCAACAAAATCAGGCGAGCTGAGGAAAAAAGGTTTACCACAAATATGTGATGCAGAGTTCAGCTCACACAGGACAGAAACATCATTGTCTCACAGTGTAACAGCACTGCTGAAAAAAAAGTACAGAACGCACACACAGATGTTTCCCTTTTAGGCCTGAAATAAAAAAAAAACGGCATCTCTGCGCCTGCTGCATCAGGAGGCGCAGATGTGTGGGATTTGGCCGGCGGAGAGGAAAGGCAGAGGTAAGGGAAAGAGAAGGGGGCATCCTTCGGATCACAGCGGTGGAATAAAAATAAACACCAAAAAACGTAATACAAACAAACATCCAGAAGTGTGTGAATGGCTCTCTTGATGCGCCGTCTGTTTCCTTGCCGGTAAGAGGATGCTGCTTACACAGCTATGTTTACTTCAACACAAGAGCGTTTTTGACGAAAAGGGCTGATTCCAGTAGATTCAACAAAACATTTAGTCATACCTTCTGCAGGAAATGACCTCTGAGTAGCCATTACTGCAGCTCCCTGTGACTTCAGAGCATTAATAATACTTGCCAAAAATTGCCTGAACCGCTTTGACCTTGATTTGGAGCCCAAAGATGAGATGGAACCATGAGCCTGAAGGGGCTCTTGCTTTTTATTGGACAGTCTGTAGGGTTTAAATTAGCAACCACAGGCCTGTTACGCAACTCCACAGTTAAAGCAAGCAATTCCCCTGGAAAAGCATTCTAATTTTGCTCATATTGACAATATTGAATTACAAACCGGGCAGATTGTTGTGCAACTAGTCGTGCAGGGGTACCAAGCAGGAACAGTTTGTTGAGTGCAAAAGTAAAGTAGTGTGAGATGGATTCCTACCACTCCATTACTCACTGGCAAAGACCTGACCAGACACACAAAACATTCTTTCTTAACTGCCGGTGCCAAAGCAATGACAGTATTGGGAAAAAAGCCACGAGGAATCACCTATAAAACTGATCTCCATACGTTTTATCAGGCCAAGGGAAACGACTCATCATTACCAAAAGCACCTAAGCAAGAATCAGCAGGAAACCTCAATCCTCAAGTTGGGTTTTATTTTCTGTGTATTGCTATACACATTTATACACATATTAAACTTTCTATACACTTTTTCATACTTTAATAGATTTGAATGAATAAATAAATAAATAAATAAAATCTGTTTACATAGACATAAATAGAAATATTTTAAGTAGTTTAAGTTTTATTATTATTTGGTTGTGATATGTGCTCGTCTCCAACAGTCTATCTATCACTTCCAGGCCACCAGGATTGTGCCCATTTCACCACCGGAACAACACTATCTGGTGAGGGAAAAACTTACTTCCAACAATGGAACACTGATACTTTAACATCAGCTTGGCATAAATCTACAAAAGCCTACAAAAATGGGTGCCTGCATTGTGACCATCGTGCACCTTCAATCACACTTTATGTCGTGTCACCAGTAGGCTCTGTCTGAATTCCTCTTCCATCTGTTGATGCACTTAACAAGCACAACAGCTTTGCACATTTAAGCAGTGGAGTACATTTCCACGTGAATGCATGACGGGAACTGCTGACTGCGGCATGTTTGCCATACTTGGGGGAGTGCCTATGATGATTTACATGTGGGATGACAAGACAAGCATTCTTTAAAGAGTCTCGTGTCTATAACGCTGGTATTGAAATGCAAATTTGCACTACAGTACTGTACGCTCATTAAATCAGTGGGCATTATTATTGGCGATTTGAAAACAAAAGACACTATTCTCGGATTTATCTTCAGGCTGAGTTTCTGGAACCAAGACAACAGCCACAAATGTTTGAGAAATTCATGAAATTGCTAAAAGGTTAGAAGAAAACCACCCTTGAACTGTCATTAAATACACTAAATCATACAGAACACATTTATGTTTTGTGCATTTTTCCTCTTCTGGTTCCTGAGTTAGATGTGTGCTGTTACAGTCATGCGTATTTAGCCATCAATGCATCCATAAATTATTGTCCGTCATGTACGTCAATCTGAGCCATAGGCGGTTATAGAAGAGGGGATTACTTAGGCAGGTTGCCTTGTTTGTCTGCGTTTGTCCGAGTGTGACAGTCAAAGAATCACTAAAGCAAAAGGCAAAATCTATTATACTGGAGATTTCCTTCATAATCAAATAAAATTACTTTTTATGGATGATTTAATGAAACAATAATCGAATTAATCTCTATAACTGTTAAAAAAACTCAATAAGTCTGGCTTGGAATGACCTAAAGGTAATGTATAGTGGAGAGAAAAGCATCATTTGAATCTCATTACAATTCTGAGTTTTTAGTAATTCTTCCCACAATGTTGTCATAAAACATTCTTCTGACACACACTTAATATGATAAAGGATGGGATTCCATGACGTCTGATTCGGGCCACGGGGTAATGATTATGAGCTCCCAGGATCATCAATCACTTTGTGACAATGTGAAAAAGGAGCATGGCCAAAAAAAAAAAAATCTGAAAGTAGGTGAGGCAACTGAATGCCATCATGACCACGAGAGAGAGAAACAGAAAAAAAGAAAGGTGGGGAGAGAGAGCAACTGGGTGGATGTACTAAAAACGTTGGCATTCTCGGTGCTGGAATTAAATTAAAAAGGGGAGGAGAGAACCCTCACTAAAATCTTCGAGCCAAAGACCTCGTAGGTCCACAAGAATTTATGAGACGATGATGTCACCTCAATAAACAAATTATTTCGATTTCATGCTAACTGAACAAATCACTTATGGTTTTGTGAGGGCAGTCGAACTTTGAGCAGGACAGGATGCCCGAGGACTTAGACAGACTACTGAACCATCTGACAAAAGCCGAGGCCCCTGAATAAGGCCACTTTGTTTGTTTTCTTTGCTTTAGAAGACTAAATCATTCACAGATTAAAATAAAAGATTGGTACGTGAACTGGAAATAATTATGTGATTGCACTACATTAAAGTTTAACACACCATTTTAAAAAATGAAATCTCCTCCAAGCAAGAGTTTGTTTGGTTCTCATTTCTAAGTTCATAGGAATGGCAAAAGAAGACCAAGTGCAACTCTAAAATACAACTGATCATCCAGAGACCTGCTAATCTCACCTAACAGAGTTGGCTTTTCTCCCCTCTGCTTTCATGAAGACTTTGACGTGATCAGACGGAGAGAGCACGTACATCTTCAACCTGCAACAGAAGTTGACAATCAGCACCTTATAGAAACATGTAGGCAGCATGTGTTTAGATCCTCAAAACTCATTATGGACACATGCAAACATGGTGAAACAACCAGAGCACTCATCTATTCTAAGGAGCAGACCGTCCCAACAAATGCAGCAGTATCAAAGTGGGCCTACTGGAACCAGATCTGTGCTGAGCTGGAAGGTCCGTTAAGAAAATTACCAGCCGTTAAATAAATTGATTTGATCCATCCATCCATGTTGTATACCAGCTTAATCTAATTTAGGGTCACGGTGGAACAGGTCAGCCCATCACACAGCAGATTGATGAAACTCAAAACTACTACAGATAAATGGTTGATATGAGAGATGATGATAAATGTCCCTCTTTTGGGCTTTTCAAATAAATGTTTCTATTCATTTAGTCTTAAATATATTGAAAAATGTATCGTATAGGCCTCTTTTCATTTCTCTTTTGACCTCATTTGCTTTTCGGTCAGATGTTTTAGTTTGATCAGTTTCCTGGTTAGACTAAAAGTGAGCCTATTTGTTTATAGTCATGGACCAACATGACTTCATGGGCTTTTAGAACTGATCACGATCCATTTTAAAGGTCACAATGCTAATCTGGATATTAGATGTTTCGCATAGCTGAAAGGCAACGTTTTCCTCTCCATTGATTTGTGATGCCAAGAGGATTTTGACTAAACATCGGTGAGTAATGCTGTCTGTATCAAACGTCTTAAAAATGGGCTGGAAACACAGATATGAGTCTGTTTGCATTTTAACAGTAATTATTGGGATTTATCCACTTAGCGTTTTTCCTACACTCCCCAGCTGTTAGGAATACGAGAATCTATTTACAAGAGTTCCCTTTTAGATGTTGCCAGCAGAAAAAAAAACTGCTGTTGAAATGTTTCAAGCAAAAACTGCAAAGAACCGTTTTTGCCCTTAAACCTTAAAGACTTTCAGGCCAAATATAAATTTTGTGTTGAAGTCAGGATCCACTATCAAAATCAGCATTTTTTCTCAATGATTCTCAGAAAATCTAAGGAGTTTTAGCAGACACAGAAAATCTGCTGATACTAGAAGATTATGTGGGAAAAATAATCATTTGAAAATTGTTTTATTACTTATTGCAAAACATATTGAAACCCCTTTGAACAAAAAAACTGTTACAAAATAGATGTAAAAAACCTCCACACAGAAGAGCAGGGAAGCCGTGGGTCCTACAGTTTAACACAATATTCCCAATCTATGGGAAAATGCAATGGAAAAATGATCTAGTTTGTGTATTAACAGTAGACAAAAGTTTGTGTTGCATCTCAGTTCTAATAATGTAAATGCATACATATGTTATATAAAACATAAGAAACACAGAAACATAAATGCATATAATAGACATATAACTGGATTTTTAACTGAAGGAGTGAGAAGGTTCAGAGAGAAAACTTGAACTGGCATATCCCTAAAAACAAGCATGAATGTCACTGCTAATGTGAAAGGGTAAGATGCTTACTTCTGACGAATCACAGGGTCCGAATCTGTGGGGTGAATATAAGGTGTCAGGATCTGCATCAAGGTTTGCCTCTCAGAAACCCTGCAGCCAATGAAAAATTAAATCATTATCGAGTTGAAGGAAAATATTAAATCAGCCAGATAGAATGAAGTGATATCACGGCCCAATTCATATCAACTGCATTATCACAACTGTTCACAACACAACACTGGAAGTTCAGCAGAAATATTTCTGTATTGTTTAGGCTGTTGTGAGACTCACCTCCTCTGACTGAACTCTGAGCTGCTCTGAGGGAATACGAGCTTCAGGTGCCACAGGAAGAGTTTCTCTCTAAAGATAAAAGACAGTCACTTTTAATCAAATTTTTTTATTTGATTTCTTAGAAATTCTTAGATTTCTTAGAAAAATAATTTCCCCCTGGGATTATTAAAGCATTTCTGACTCTGATTCTGATTATTCTTGAGTGTTTTTTTAACACAGAACAATGACATCATGTTATCTCATGGTACCCCCTTTAAAACGAAAATACACACACACAAAAAAACACAAAAAGCAGCCTCCAAGGTCGCGCCTATCTGCATGACTGTGCTTAAATGTGTGAATGTAAACAGAAGGGAACGAAAAATAATAATAAAAAAGGATATCACTTTCTTCCCGAGTGCTGCTTTTGCCAAAAACAAAAGTATGTGTTCATTTTTTTCTGGGTTGTTAGGTGCAATCCAAAAAGAAACAGTTATAACCCAAACAACTGTGTTCCTGCACTCTGAAATGGCCAAACATATTAATTGATTCTGTAATACACTGCTTTTTAGATGCTCATTTACTTATCTGAGAACACTGACACTGTAATTATGCAGGGGAAATATTTTTGAACTGTTCTTACAAATATATGTTAAAAGAGTTGACCAGCACAGCAGTTCTTGATAGCAGGAGAAAGTCTGACTTAAAACCTGAGCAAAAAAAAGGTTGGAGGCTCATGATGTTTAACGGGTTTCCGGTGCGAGGATGACGACGCAGTTAGTAACACAAGCGGAGTTCGTGGGAGTGTGGAAAAGCCTTTCACCCTGAGTCAGAAAATAAATGCGTTTGCTGAGTTTAGGCTGAGTTCCGTTGTTGGTGCATCAGTACGTCTGCATGTGTGTGCAGATGACTATGTTTGTACATGCAAGGAAATAAAGGTGAGGCACCAGGTGTGATGAAGCCATTACCGTGTCATTAGAACAAATGGAAACTATGTCTTTCAGTGGATAAGGGGCTTGTCCGAAGATGCTTGCAACAATTTCAGGCATGGCCACGACGCATACCGAGCATAAGTGCCATCATGCATTAGTGGAAAAAAGTTTTAAAAAAAGAGATGGAAAAAAAAAAAAAAACGGGAACAGCACCATAATAGTCAAAACAGAGGCCTTAACAGAGGAGCATAGCTGTTCTGCACACCACGAACACAAGAAAATCTAACCTTCAGAAAAGCAGAAGCAAGTGGTAAAAAGCTAATTATGCCAGACAGGTCTCTTATGTACTTCTCTCAATGCAATCCGATTAAAAAAAACAACAAAAAAAACATGCCGGTTTGAAAAGAGTAAGCTCCTGAAGTATGCAAAGATTATGTTGAAAAGTCTGTAAATCCCAGCAATGAGCCATCTGTGACCTTAAATGGTCTGGATTAAAGATCATTTTTCCTTTTGAAGGATTAATCATCAAACAGCTTGTTTGGCAGCAAAATAAAAAAATCTTTCTGAATAAAATAGGATTGGTGCACTGAAAAAGGAGAGGGAACAGAGTATTTCACACGTCTTTCTTTACCAATACCATACTTGGGAATACTGTTTCCTGAGTTCAGAGTTCAGATTTAGATGATGCCATTCAATAGAAGAATAGTCCCCAGACTCTAAAGGTCTGAAGACTATTCTTTCTCACAAATGTTAAAGGAAAACAGTAAAACTTTGAGATGGACTGATATGGCTTCTTAATCAGATGTAATTACACCATTTTTACGTGTAATGAAAGTCACATGTCAGGTAGAAGACAGAAACCAAAGTTTTGGACGATTCCATTCTCCCATGTACTCCCTTTCCGAGCTTGTTTATGTTTTTCCAGAGCTGCTATGCTGGTGCTAAGCTGCAAAGCTCAGAAAAAAGCAGAAGTTATTTAGTTGCATTGAATAAATATTGTTTCACTTTAAGCGGTCTGTTTGCCAATCTCATCTAATAAAGTTAAGCTTTTCTAATTCAAAAAGCTACCCATGAGAAGAATGCGGCATTTAAAAGAGTTTAGGGGGCATTTGGCTCTAACAGAAAGGCCACATCGGAAGGCAGGAAGCAAGGAGGAAGAGAGGATGTGAAGGGCATTTATACCATTAGGTATAATTTCAAACACCTTAAAGGGTACCTCAGGAAAAGATGAACTTAAATAACCTCTATGTAAGGTGAACAAATTGGGATTTAAAGGACAAATACATAACTCTTCTCTGTTTAACGTGAATCTGTATTTCATTTCAATAGATACGGTTCCCAGGAGTCATTTCCTGGTTTTATAGCTCTTCAGCATTTATTATTGGTGCACAAAGGAACCTCCCTTTGAGTGTGAACTCGCACTTTAAACTCATTCACTTCAAGAAAGATAAGCTGAGCAGTGTTTCATGGGACAAACTTTGAAGGAATCTAATGTAAAGTCTGAATCCTTCAGTGAAAAGAAAGTTATACAGACTAACATGAAGATGGATGAATTCACTGACAAATGTACACTCTGTTTATTAACAGGGTAATTGGACTTTCATGTGCCATCGTGTCTACATAAGCTGGAGGCCTGACTGGTAGTCTGGCCCTAAACAGCTGAAATCCATCTGGCTGAATTAAAGACAGGACGGTTCCAAGAAAAACAGAGCTACATGTGAAAACCTGCGTCCTGCCTTTTCTCCTTGTCAGAAACACGTGCGGGGATTTAGGTGGTTAGTGGGTGTTGGTGGAAAGTGGTGGCAAGGCTTTTGAGGTTGGATGCAAGAATAATTCAGAACGCGAAGCAATGGCTGGATTCACAGTTCAAAAGGGTGGAGTGGCTGAGAGAAGGATTACAGGCAGCTACATCTTATGGCTTCTGATTCAAGTTCTGGCGTGATCACTGTTCACTGAACAGATGCTGTGGTCTTACGTCATTGCCCTGCTTTTTCCTGAAAAGGCATAAACACAAAGATTCTAACACGTGAGGGTGTAGATATGTCTGCATACAGAGCATGACTATTGGACAGTGTATTTCAATTAAATCAACATTAAAGGGAAAAACAATCGATTTAGATTGGATGAATGCTCAGACTTCATGTTGGACCTCTGGAAAGTGGGACAGCCCATAGTGCTGGTATAACCGGGCTGATCAAAAGCAGTCGCCTAGAAACCATGAATATCTGCACTAACTAAAGACAGTTGATGCTGTCAATATATTCAGAGGTGACCACTTCTAAATGATCATGGAGCTTCAAAACACCAAAAGACAAACACACCACTCTCCGTGGCAACATAAACAAGAGTATAATGCGAACATACTGTTCAATGTCTTATAAACGCACAAGTTTATGTTCTATCAATTCGAGAGCATGATAAACGTTTCTGGTTAAATTTCAGTTTGGAATTTTGCTGAACAGCATGTAGCCCAGAGTTAATTGGCCAATTTAGATGACTGTGTTTGCAAAACTGATGAAACTGCTTCTTGTTAGTCTGATGGGAGCTTTGCCTCGAATGGCAGCCGACAGAGCCTCTGCTCTGCATCACGACTGGTCCATCAAGCCAAAAGCAGCCAGAAGCCCGCCTGCTGGACTATAAAACGCATGAACTTTAGTCGCTGCTTGTATTTTCATTTGAAATCAATTTGTGGAAAGAAAAGGTTGCGCTGCACGAGGGTGACCTGATGAATATTCACACCGTGCTGTGAAGTGTGGGGTGAAATATGGTTCCCCGTGCTTTAATCAATTTGTGCATTCATTCATCACAAGCAATCACTCATACACCACTCGGGTTTCAGCAAACCTGTGATGAATAGCATAGCTACATTACACTATTTTCAAAATTGCATTAATGGTCTAATGGAGTTGCTAAAATTACCCCCCTTTTCCATGGTCTCAGTTTGGCCGTGTCACGTTGTGCATGTACAAATCCACTGTACACAGCGAGGGATAATTGCTAATCAGCGATGTTTTCGGTTTGCTTCGGGCGATGTGAAACAGCACGTTTCAGTACTTCCTCCTCTGTCAGGATACTGCAGCAGTAATTAGCTGTTCGGTGTTCAGCTGACGGTGGAATGCTTTGTGACATGATTCTGTAAAATGTGTGCGGAAAATTCTTAAGCCCACATTTCTTTTAAAGAACGATAAATAAAACAACCCTGAGAACCCTTTCTGCTGGACCAACTAAGCATCTTACGTGGCACTTGGTTCTAGTATTTGAAAATCAAACCTATTTAGTATAACCCAAATAAAGGTTTTTAGGAGAATACTTGTATAACCAGGCCTGTTGAAGTGATATTATAACCACAATTATCTGGAAAGGCTTTAGTCATTCTGTATAATTGTTTTAATCACCAGTGTGGGCCATCGCCATTCCCATATAATTTCTCTTAATTTGAGTTTTAACTGATACTTTATTATTGTTCGAAACTTCAACTGCTATGATGTAATGAGAAGCAAGTGGGGCATGCTCTTATTGTGTATCTCAAATGAAAGTCAGTACAGATGCATTGTACTTTAACCTTGTCTAGGTTCTACAAATTGCTTCACAGTAACTCATTCTGCCATTTATGAAAGGCGCCTTCTGATAAAATATATGTACTCCATAAAGCAACACTCCTCATCTCTTAATGCAACCTTCAAAAGAGAAACCTGCATCCTGAAATTCATATGGGTGTAACTTCAACATGTCATTTTACAGACCAGCAGTATTAGACAGAAAAGGACCCCTCAGCTCAGAGATGTTCGCCCTGGGTTCAAACAAGTCAGATGTTTATCAGGTAGGATCTGATGGTATCTGTGTAAAGCAAGCTGAATCCACAAAGACACAAAGAATCCATAATTAACTGGGTCCAAAAGCTCTTTCTCAACCATCACGGACACTGTAGCACACTTTGAGTTGCTTGATGTTCTTTATCCTGATCAATGCTCTTTCTGCAGCATGACCAACACTGTCATTTATGGCTGGTCAGTTTATATATCACACATTCATGCATGCTCCAAACATTAGCCCTAAGTGACCGCAGAAGGAACTGCTATATCTGGCCCTGTTGCCTTTGCTTTATGTTTCTACTTTGCAGGTTGCCACTTGGGTCCTGTTGGGGATTATTGTGCTGCAAGGAACCTACTCAAACCATGATGTGAACAGCAGGGAGAGAATGTGTGAGCTACAAATCTAACCATTAAACGACAAGATCTGCTATGCACTGTAGCATGACATGAGACGCACTGTCCTAAACACACAAGTGCACTCGAGTATGACGAACCTATGAGTTGCTTTAACTTCAAATCATTTGCAGGATCATACTTCCCTTTTCAGACTTCTTCAGCACCTGTCAATAACTGGAGCTGATTTCCATCTCCTCAAACCATGAGCCTCCTCTAATCCAAAAAGCTGGGTTAATTGAGGCCGATTTCCAGTTTATGGGAAATTATATATGGGGCACAAAACCACAGCGGCTCATGTTACTAATTATGTCAGGTTATTATAGAAATATGTTCAGTCATTATGCACAGTAACTGCTCCTGCAGTGCATTGTCCATTCCACTCAAGCTGTCTCGGAGGAAAATGCCCGACCATGCCAGACTACGGCTGAAGAAAACATAATTCCACCCCAACACAACTACCCAGGATGTTCTGCCAAATGCCAGCGAATGTATACTTACCTTCCAATGGGCTGAGCTGCGAGGTACCAGCAACCCTCTTTACTATTCACGTCTGTTTGTTTTGTTTTTTAAAGTAAAATGTTAGCAGGGAACGTCCAGCAACAGTACAGGCAGCGATATTGTTTTGCATACAAACATTTAATCAGAGAGAAACTTGTGCACACCATCACCAGACATAAAAGCCCTCCAGTCAGCTGTCTGCCATTAAAGATCCTTCTCTGGCAGTGCAGTGCATAGCATGAATATGTCGCTAACCAGCTGCAGTCAAACTGCTCTCACATCTGCTTTTTATATTATGTACTTGGTACATTCTGAGGCACATTCTCTCTTGATCCCTTGCTACTAATTGCATACCTTTTTATTCCAGCCCTGACGTTCATATGTCTTTGTGTGAAAATGACAGTCATTTGGGAGAAAAGAATCAACAACAAAAGAGGCTCCACAGCTGGGAAATGACTCCCCCTCTGACAGGCATTCTGCATTAACTTACTGCCACAAACAGAAAGGTGTTAAACTGGTAAAAGGGAGAAACATGTAGATAAATCCTGTGACTAGAATTTCCCGAAACGCTTTCCCACTTTGAAATCTAAACACAATGAAAGCACCACCTGCAAAGACCAGAGACAGACGTGACAGAACAGTACCCTCTGCAAAGGGAAAAGAAGGTGGTGAAAGGCAAAGAAACACCGTAAAACCAGCTGGAAGGACTGACAAAGCTTTCTTTTTGTGGCAGCCCTGATTGGCACAGACTGCCGTCCCTGGCCATTTCAGGCTCGTAAAATGTTAATATGCAGTTCAATAACCATTTTCCTCCTTTTCCCCTCCTCTATTCTTCCACTGTGGGATTAGAGTGGCAGGGCTCCGGCTCAAAAGGAATGGTAAAGTGAGTGGCAGTAGGTTGCTCGGAGAGAGAGCAGAGAGCTGCCAAAAATGACAAGACTAACAGTGGAATTGAGCAAATTGAGAGAGAGAGAAAAATAAAAAAAGAGTCCACGTGAAAGCGTTGCTATTTCGGCGTCTAACAGCAGTAATGAGCCACAGTCTCTGAATCCCAACACCTACTGAACTAAATCATTCTGAAAGCAAGTCTTAAATACCTCTACCAGTACCGGCCTGGTCATATATCCATCTCACTCGTCTGTCTTTTTGTCTGAAATAACACCCGTCTAAAACACAGTTACTGGTGCTCAGAGAGTCATGTGCACGTGCACAACTGGATGGATGTCTGGAAGGTGCCAGGCGTCATTAGAGAGTTTGGGACGGACAAGCTGGCGAGTTAGCCCTGCTACAGTTTTACAGATGGTTCCATTAACAGGGTAACACACCGAAACCGACCTGCAACACAAAGGCGCTCTGACCATCTGACCTTCGGCTCAAATTATACATGTGTCTGCCTTGGCCGGAATCTGCAAACGCTCGTATGCTCCAAAATTAACCTATCGGCTCATCTGCCAACTGGCAGCAATTTCCTAACATTCAGCTCTCATCCAACCTGAGAGTCCTCGTTTTTGGACTGAGACGCCTAATAGCAGATAATAAAATGGCAGCGCGCCATAAAATGTAAAGTTTGCCTTCTTTAAACATAAAATTATTGTAAAGCTATATCTATAGGTTCCCATTTGGGAACAAATAGCAGACAGTAAAAAACAGTAAAATATATTATTTCAATGATCTCCAATAATCTTTGTTACCATGGGAAGAGCAATAACATCGAATGGCTGAAGAGAGCTTATTTCTTAAAGATGTGGGAAGAAATGTTATCACCATGTTAGGGCTTAACAAGAGTGCCATCCGGTGGCTGAGCAGCACATGAGTTATGACTCGACTTTATCAGTCAGTCTGAAGGGTTATCTTTGGCAGAGACCGAGGGAACGCTTATCTCTACCATAAACTAATTGGGACATCTGCTTGAGGTTTTCTTCAGAAGGATTTTTATGTTTGTCCCCTATATTCAGAAGGAAACGTTCATTAATTTGATTTCCTTTTGAAAGCAGCGTGCATATTGGTATTGGCTGTTAAAAGTCGTAAAAAGGAGGAGATATCAATGGGAAAAAAAAATGTTGAGTCTGAGTAATTCATCCACTCTTCAGCATTGTCAAAACTGACTTGTACTGATCTGTCCTGTGTGTTTATCTTGAACAATCTGGTGCTGTCAAACAAGCCAAAGGCCATAAAAATAAGGATCACTTTGCCAGTATTGGAAGGATTGCCTACTTACTTTGTAAGGAAAAAGGTGGAGTTTTCTCTGCTCTTGGTGAAGGTGACGGGAAGGAATCTCAGGGTGATGTTCATCTTTCTGGCGTGGGAGGCCAGTCGCTTGGCCTGGACAACAGAAAGAAACCGTGCAATAAATAGTCCTGGAACTGCAAAGACTTTGTTTGGATGAGTGGACAGACGTCCAGTGGAATACACTATGAGAACAAATGCAATTATTTCCTTTTAGTGAGGATTTCACTCTATGCCATGAGACCACCTATACCATTCATTTGAAGTCAACACTTTGTTTGCTACAAACATCGTTTAGAAAAGAGCAGCAGACTTCCACCAAAATGACAGAAAATGTTACAAATGGCTCTTAGCCTTCAGTAAATTTGTGACATTTGAGTTCAGCTGTAGTCAGTGGGTGGGTATCCTCTCTAGGAATAAATACAGAGAAATACCGAACAGTTTTATAAACAATTAAACCAAAGATTCCTCGAAGATTTTTCCTTTTTGCCTCCTTCTAATGTGAATGGCCAGAACCCCTCCTTTTCTGGCTGTTGCATAACTTCAGGTTAGTGGCGAGAGATAGTTTAAAAGATTTATGATAAGGGAGGTTTATTACAGACAAATAACATATTACTGCACTTGGATTCAAAATCTCTAAACCAATGGTGTGCATAGCATTCATCTATGAGCATAAACCTTATTACTGTGATTGATTTTTGACCGGTGCAGAAAGTTAGTGCCTCCAAAAACAATCCCATACGAGTACGTCAATGACTCCAAACTATCAAATGTCACTTGAGTTATTCTGTAGCAGCGGTGAAGGTAAAAGCTGGCGAGAGCTTTTACAAAGATAAATATGTGTGGTTTGGAGAAACAGCAGAAGATATTACATAACTGTAGCCGCAAATTATACAAGCACAGAGACAGAAAAAAGAGCCACTTGGATGATACTGATTCTTAAAGGTGAAAATGCTCATTCAAACCATAACTGCATCCATTTTTAGGGTACATTAAAAACAAACCTAAAGTAATCTTTACATTTTGGTTTTCCAGCACTTGTAAGAATGAGTCAGACTGAAATAAATCACAGACTTACTTTAAAAGTGTTTCTGGGAGTGCGGATGAGGTTGTCTCTACTGGCTCCATCAGCAAATCTTCCAGTGTCTTCCAGAAACCTGTAATCTATAATAAAGGCAAACAGTGACAGGGAAAACATATGAGGAAACTATTAATTTATTTTTTATGCCATAAATTTCTTAAATATCCAGAGTAAAAGGGGTATGTGAAAGGAAAGACCTGCACACATCTAAAATCTAATGCTAAAGAGTCTGGGTCCAAAACTGAAAAAACTGCAGGCTCCATAAGTCTTTTTTGTTTTGGTCATTGATCGAGATTTTTAAAACGCCTAAACGGATTTTCGATATCTACCTTTCAGAGAAAATAAACTATCAGGGATGGGAAAAAACAACAACAAATAAGCCAATATTCACTTTGCATGAGACACGGAGAGATTAAGGCAACTTAATGGCTCTGAAGGAAACAAGAAAAATCTACTGATCCAGTGATGTTACTTAATTCATGCCATCCCTGAAGAATAATCTGTGAACTGGGAAAGGGGCAAGGAAGGAAGCGAAGAAAGAAGGATCAAATGAGATAAGAGTATATAGAGCAATTCTCAGTTAAAAAAAAATCTTCAAGACAGACTGTTAAGACCTACACAGAAAAAGCAGGAATGGCCTTTAAATAAAGATGCTCACCACTAAGAAGTGCCATTTCATCAAAATGCGACAGAGTCACAAAGGCAGTTTTATCCCTAACGCCGCTGCATCCCGAGTCATCTTTGTGTTTCTTCACACACAGCAAGCTGGAAAACAAACACAATCATATGTTGGTTATGTTTATTATGTACAAAGCACAGGGAATAATCTTTCTGAGGATAAAACACTCAGAACCATCAACACATGTCTTCACATGACAAATTAAATAATTAGCACAGCATTTTTTTAAATAAATAACCTTAAAACACATGTCAGAACAATTTAGTTGAATTTAACGGGTGAAATTATGAACTAAGGATCATGTCCAAAGCTGATGTTATGTTTAGTGAGAGCTGAGGGACGAGTGATGAGGCTGAAACCTTCCGGCACTAACAGCTGTAAAAACAGCAACAGAAAACAAGCTCAAAGGGATTCAAAACTGAACAAGAGGAGTTATCCAGGGGTCACGTTTCAGAGATTTCTGCGGGGCGACTGCTGGTTTGATCAGCAAATGCTCGTTTTGTTCCGTGCTTGCAACCTGTACGACTCTGGATGAAGCTGTGAGCTAAATGAGCAGCATACAGTGTAAATATAATCATTTCATGCAGTGTGACAAATCTGTTCCATCACTTTATGTGAAGGAAATTTCAAAAGATAACTTAAGTGTTAGACTTTTAAATTAAACAAACTATTTCTTCCTTACTTTCCCACTCACACAGGACAGACGCCGTCCTCAAATAAATGACTAATGCCGACATCTGAAAAAGTGCACGCATCTACTTTTGAAAAATCGTTGGTGAAAGATGAGCTGGCGGCCGTGGGACTTCATTCCAGCACAAACAGGCCATGTTAGGACTTCTGCTGAGAGACAGGTATTCAGCCTGTGTCAGACAGAGATTGTGTTCCCGTTAACTCTGCCAAGAATGTCGAACGGTGCCCAAAACAACATCCAACAACAGGAGAACAGGAATGACATTCGGCTGTCCTTTGGAGAAGATTTATTCAAGTCTTCAGGTTTGACCTTGGTCTGATATTCAGGTTGTGTTTGTGTGGTGAATGCTTCAGCCTCCAGAGGACTGGAGAAACAGACCATGAGGCATTCCCAGAAAGCCAGCTGAAACCAGCCAGGACACAGGGAAAAGTTCAGTCAGTGAAAACGAGGCTCGACCATGAGTCGGCAATACATTGCAGGAAGAATAAAAATAAATAAAACATAGTTACCAACACAGAACTATGATTTTGTTAGTTTTTGTTATGTTAATAGACATTGAATCTAGGATACGTTTATAAAATCAACTTATTTCCTCTTAGGGCACAAAACAAGACCAAACCTGTGTACAAAGCTAGGACGTAAAATCTCCAGAGAACTCCAGTCACCTGGAGAAGACTGTTTTAGAAAATCAGAGCTTTAGAGCTTTCAATAAAGCCATGATTGGGGTTAAGAAATCCTTTTTTTATGCATTGCATGTTTTATAACGACTCTGCCTCTCCACCCATGACACCTCTCCACACAGGGTTTTCAACTGTATAGGAATTAAAAGCAGCACTGCACAGGCCATTAATATTCTACAGATATGATTATATTTATGAATCGTTCGGTATGAAATCATCTTGAACGTCTGAGCTGCTGGATCTGAGCATTTTGGGCCGTATTACTGTCTATGCAGTTACCCTTTTTAAAATAAGATTTGTTAGTATGTGTCTGCAGTAATACCGTGCTTCTGATAATAGACAAGAAGCCCCACTTTTATGTCATTTATAATTCACTGGACGTAATTAGAAAACTGGAGAATTTATTAAAATGAGTAAAATTCCATAAAATATTCATCATTTAAACACCCCTATCTGCACATCACTTGTGTTTTTTCTTGTTTTACAGGATATGGGACATTTCTGGGCTTATGTAACATGTTTCAGTAAAAACCTCTCACTTCCTGCATACATCCTTGAAAGGCCAGAGGAAAAGCATGTTGTGATTAAATCAATTTAATTCGCTTGACCTTTTTCTGATGAACATCAAACCTTGAAATGAAGGAAAACACCTTACCTGCAGGATTGCTTCAGGCAGGCGGGACACCTGTATTTTGCCTCTCTGGATCCACAAACTTCACAGCTGCAGGAAAGACAACTCTTAAATGTTATTTTACTATTCATCTGTTTGTTTGTTTCTTTTAAAAATAAATTAAACTAGGGATAAAGAGAGGGAAGAAACATAAACCTTCATACAACTTGACAAGCGAGTTCTGTTATTATGAAGCTTGGATACACTTTTCTGGTGCGTTTACGTGTAATTATGCATATAGAGAAGAAGAAATATTTTGCCAATGAAGAAGAGACAGGAGTTGAGTTTGAAGCTGGTGAAGTAATAGGGAGAACACCATTCACAACGATTGCTTGACCCCCCCAAAAAATATATATGTGTGCGTGGGGTCTTTAGCCGTTTCACAAAAAACAACAACTAGTTAACGTGACATTTACTGAAATAACTGCTATTTTTAATTGAGAGGGTACAAAAACACTTACAAAAAACGTAACCTTCAAAACTATCAAACTTCTCTGTCTCTGAGCTGCTTACCTGGCAAGAGATATCTTTCTTTTCGTGGCTGTATCTTCTTCCCCTGGACAAGACTCGTCGACTTGGCTGTCGACGGAAGACATTTTATGAGCTCTGAGAGTAACTATTACACACTTGGATGGGATATCTGTGAAGCACGTTTGATAAAACGAGTAGCGGCACCAAAACAAACCTTCTTCCGCCCGAGGTGGCACACGTGGAAATAAGTTCCGGTTGGAAATATGCTCACTAGCGCCCCCCAGTGTCCGTGAGGCTGTTCTACAAGCCACCAGTGACGTCAGCACGAAAAGCACCCATAGGTTAGATAACTTCAGTTATTCAGTATTTTATAGGTTCACCAATACAAAACTATGAGCACATTTCCACTGATTATTATAAGTTCTGTTAGGGAAATTTGTCCTGACTGAAAAATCTTTTGAATCAGGACTTTGTTGTTCATAAGAATGAAAACCACTTTTTTTTTCTCTACAGGGAAAATTCATTCTCATACTTGGAAAGCACTGGTAAAACCCTTGCCATTAATTGTCTCTTAAAAAACAAAAGAGTAGGATTAACCTGTTCCAAGATGTCAGTGATAACTGTGCATAAGAGTTAAGAAATATGTAAGCCTCTCGTCTTAATTGCATCCTGCTGGCCTCTGGTGTTAGAAATGACATTTAGAATCGTTCATGCATCAGACTAAAACTGATCTATCAGTCACATTGCCGTATTCTGCTTATTTCAGTTGTGTTTGTGCACTGTCTTTTGTTGGGATTTCAAAATCACATTGCATTAAAAAGAACAACATACTAGTTGTGGATAAAATGTTCCATTTATTTGTAAAATATCATTTTTTTTATTTACACATTTGCAACCAATGCTATCCTCCACAAATTGTAAATAATAACATTTTGTTGAAGATAATATAACTTAAAAATATGATGACTGCTTTGTGTGTTTTCTGACTCTGGCCTACAATAGCTGCCAGTTATGAACCAACTTGGAACAAACTGAGATTATCAGTGACAGATGTGAACTCACAGATTTTTAAACATAAATATTCACTGGACTGAGTTGTTATTTGCCAAAAAAGTTCTCTGAGTGTATAACTTACTGCGATACAGTAATGTGAGCAAAAAAAAGAAAAAAAAAAGAAAAAAGAAAAATGCTATAAATAAATATATAATATGAGGGCATATGCTATCAAAATATACACAGGAAATTAATGATGACTCATTTTTTGCTGCAGCACCAGGGATAAGTTTAGAAACCTATCACATACAGGGAAAAGCCACAAACAAATGTAAGTGTATCAAAATTGGTTCATAAATAAGAAATGACCAAATTAACATTAGTACTCATTAAACATAGCAAATCTTAATGTAACCGGTACATACAACATACAGTCAGAAGATTTAGTGTTTTTGACATCATGCTATATTCTAGAAAGCAAATAACCAGGAAGAGGTAGAACCAGCAGTCAAGATGTCCAACTGGACTGGACCAAAGACAAAAGTATCAATCTTACATAAAGCCATAATTGGTAAATTGACATTTTTTAAGCACTCGCACATTATCCACATGCTATTGCACTTGTATAAACCTTTAGTTGGACAGTGGCCAGGTACGATCCTTCGAGTTGGGCCCCTGCTTAGTATGATCTTAGAGTGTTTTAGGGGAGGGACGAACGGAAGATGTGAGTTTTGGGGTTTTCTGCATCATGAGGCCCTACCCTGTGATCAGGGAGTAACATGGGTCCATAGGCAGTGAACCTAAGCACCATAAGAATTAAACAAAAAAGTAAAAAACAAACTTTTTTACATTTAATTGATAAATATCAGTATGCACACTTCTCATTTTGCCACTTTCAGCTTGAATGTTGCAAAGAGATAGAGTTTCTCCACATAGGTCTGCCTACAACTGAACATAGGGCAAACAAAGCAAATGCTCTTGAACACATCCTCTATCTTAATGTCGAATCTTCCTCTTTGGTATAAAGCCATTTTTTAACATTTGGAGATGTGAGTGGTCAAAGTGAGCAGATTGCAGGATGACACGAGTGTCAGAGGAAGCAAACAGGACCAATTTCTATGTGTTGCCGTTTGTTTAACCCAGACGTAGGATATTCCTGTATCTCTGCTATTGGTAACTGATGACTGTCCTGAGTATGGAAGAAGAAATGAGACTGGTGCCAGCTGCCATCTTCAATCTGAAACGTGACAAATGGAGAAAGAAAAAAGTTAACAAATGTGTTTTATGTTGAAGACATTCAGAATTAAAACTTTAATATCGGGCTGATTTGTTAATTTATTCTTCAGTACAATATACATTTCCATTGAACTGATACTTAGGATAGGTTAATGGGCATCATTTTGTGTGGGGTTTGCACCAATGAATGTAATGAGTATCTCGTAGAAGCATATACAAACATAATAAACGTGCCTCCAAATGTATCTGTTTATTACTCATCTCCATAACAAAAGCCCTGTCTCCACACTTTACCTCGCATTCATCTAGTAGTACATGTGGTTCAAGATATGTGTCTCTCTCAAACATCTGCTTATTCCAGCCACGAAACCGAAGTCTGGTGTTCCCTCTGTGAATGGGTTTGGTGGAGCTGGAGTTGTCTTTGATGCTGTAGGGTGGATCACTTAGGCAATGCAGTGTGATTCTTTGGCTCGCCTCAGAGCTCAGCAGATGCAGAAACTTCATCTGGACTTTCCCAACACCAAAAACCATCTGTTGGGGGGGGTTGCAGACAGGGTGTCATCAAAACCACAAAGCCAGAATCACTTTAAAACCACAAAGCTAGGATCACTTGAAAATCAGTTACAGCCTTAATGGGTCATGCAAGTTATTGTTGGATTTACACTATACATTAACATTTATATTATCTACATTTGTACTTTGTTATTTTAAAGCCTTCTGAATATTCCTCATATAAGAACTTAAGCATGACTGTTGTCATTGTTTTACTCCTTCATAGATACCTTATTAGAGGCCACTGGATGTAAACAAGTCTGACCTCCGGCAGTAAAGTTGCAGAAGACCTCAAAGGCATCAGAGGTACAACCCAGATTTGGATCAATCCAGAACCAATCTGAAAACCCCAAGTCATAGAAAGAACTGACAATGTGAGAGTCGCTCCATCTATACTGATCATAATTTATCCTCTCTTAACATCTCTTTAGTACATGTCTGTCCAAACTCACCGTCTTTCAGCTGCTGCTGACAGTCTAGCAGGTCTTTACAGAGACGAGCTGGGTTCTCCTTGGTGCCCAAAGGCTTTTTGATGCTTTCAATCACACTGCTCAAGTAACGAAGAGTCATAAGTATCTCTGTACTCTGATCTGACAGGGTCACTTCAGAGTTCTGGAAATTCTAATTACAGAAGGAGGGGAAAAAGGACAGTTCATACCCAAATTCCACAATAATACACGTGGCAATTGTTCATCCAACTGTGCAATGTGGTTCACCTCTGTCCTCAGGTCAGCATTGGATTCCGATAGACTGTAGTCAGCTGAGTCATCATATATTTGTATCTGTGGATTCAAAATTCAAAATCAATATACTGTGTTTAGAGAAAACAAAATCCAAATCAATTGCTTACACAAAATTGAACTAAAATATTTTATTCAGGCTTGTTCACTGATTACAAAGAACAAATACACACCCAGTTTACAAAGAAAACCTGTATGCAGTCCAAGTACACTTACATAGCAGAGAGCTATTAAGTAAGTTTAGTATCAACAAACCAACTCATTCCTGGCCTTAGCAGGGAGAACAGTAACAAACTCCAAATAAACCCTACACTGATCACTTAATATGTGTAGACAATAGATTATGTGTTATACTGTTTTAATTTTATGAGTAATTCAAACACGAGACGTTTATTCAGAGGGCAAAAATGTGATCACAAAGTTACCATAAACCCGAGACATCTACCTTTGTTGACTTTTCTATCAAATTGCTTTATATTTAGACACTAAAGCAGGACTGTACGCAATACTGACGCCAAATACTTACTGTTGGACCAGGAGCACCAGGTGGTCCCTGAGAAGGAGAAAAGAAACAGAATGAATGAGCTGATATTGGTCACCAATATTTATGTTAGTGTCACTGTACTGCCACATTGCAAGTAGACATTACAACATGACCACATGACTCCCTCATCTGGACTGAAAGAGCACATTCTGAAAGAATTTCAAAGCTTAAAACGGTAGACCTAATGTCCTGAACATAAAAAAGTGTCTTAATTGATCTTCAATTGAGAACAATGTCATAGCAGAGGATGTTCATGAAACCATATGAAACTGAACTGAACACTTACTCTGGGTCCTGGACTTCCTTGTGGTCCTTGAGGGCCCTGAAAAAGTTACACATGGAGAAATGTGCATTTAAAAGTGCAAAGATACAGTATATTGTGAATGTTTTAACACTGATGTCCACTGAGAATTCAATAAAAGTTAAACAGGAGCAGAAACTGATTTTAAATGTAAGTAGAGAGGCATTGTTCTTACTCTAAAACAACTGTAAAGTCATATTGTGGGCGACTGGCACATCCCTCATTGGGATTTTATGTAGTTTATGTTCATGAAAGTATGCACATCACTAATGCTAGAATGAAGGTTGTGTAAACATCTTCTGAATAGCAGAGGGATTCGGGTTGAGCTGAGAAACTAACTACAGTTTACATAAAAAACAGGGAACTGGTATAAAAAAGTAACTATGCAGATTGCTTTGTGGTAAGCCCTGCAAACATTTTGACAAGATGTTTCCTTTAAAAAATGTTTACCCAAGAGGGCATGAGGCCTCACGCAACCCAAGACATTCTGACTCACAGCTATACTTCGTTACTTTAGGGCACTTGAGTAAAACTACTTTTGAATTCCTGCACCGTTTCAGCTCGGGTCAGCCATAATCCCTGTTTCTACATGGCCCTGTGATGCTTTGTCAGTCAAGACTTTCCCTGTTTCACGCATAGGAAAGTGTTAAATAAACATACTACATAGTTATATAGTATGTAACACATACCAGAAACCATTCGGCCAATTTCAACAGAGAACCATCTAAGTCTTACCATTTCACCATTGCTTCCTTTTGGACCTCTTGGCCCCTATGGAAAAAAAAATTGTAACTATAGATACATATACAGTTTTCTATAACATTTTGTAGTGTTAAAATAAAACTTACAGGTCTTCCAAATGGGCCAATCATTCCTTCGGGGCCTACAGGTCCAGTGAATCCCTGGAAGAAAAAGAAAGGTGGATCGAAGATAAATAAACCATGAATGTCACAATGTCCCAAAACACTTTAATTTCAGTGGTCCAGTTCTTCCCAGCGATAGTTTTAGAAAGGGGAGATAATGACACTGCTTTCCTTGATTCTTGAAGTACATTTAATAGAGATTTTATTTTTCTCTATTCCATATAAATGCATAATTAAACAACCTTTTTTTCTGTTCAGTATCCTGAGAGAACTGTGCATCCAAATATAAACACATAATAACATTTTGTATTCCATCTAAAGAATATTCTTCTACTGTTTTGTCTAGTAAAACTTACCACTGTACCCATAGGTCCTTTAGGGCCAGGGAAGCCTGCCATTCCAAAATCACCATTTGGCCCCTGTTTGAAAGAACATTTTTAAACTTTCTTTACTGCTATATGTGATAATCTTCTATACTATCATAACATGTATAATTCTTAAGCTATTCCTTTTCTTACCTTTGGTCCTGGAAAGCCTTGTAAACCAGCCATCCCCAAATCACCAGATTCCCCCTATGGACAAATAGAAAGTATAATATTATGTATGCCTGCCCTTATATTAAAAAAGAACCCACAACTGCATATGTAATGTTCAGTGAACACCACATTATTGGTTAAGATTTTGCGGTTTTACCTCAGCAGAGACACGAGAATGGAGAATCTGCTCAACATCCAAAGCTTTTATTTATTTGATTTTTTTACCATTCAGACTCAAAATTGTTAATGACAAAACAGAAACTTGCCTCATAAAATTTGAAAGGAAGTTTGACCAAAGAATGATATAAGAGTGAAAATTAACACATAAGTACATAAGGGTCATTATTGACTGAGATGTAAAAGACAAAAGGCATGGCAGGGTAAAGCACCTAAATTTGAACCACAGAACTTGACTTTTTTTCCAATCTAAAAGATATAACATCTCAAAAATGCTCTGAAAATGCTCTTAACTTGACAGATTCTGGCGCTGTGTAGACGGCTGCCTCTCAAGTATCTTCTGGTAACCTTAATTTCCTGAGGGAGTCTTCCCAAGGGATCAATAAAGTTCAGTCTAAGTCTAAGTCTAAGTCTAGATCTTTAAACCTGAAGTAGTATAAGCTGCCAATGGGGTAAAGCAACTCAATAGACTTCATGAGATGCCCTGTGGCCTCTGAGCACTTTAAGGGCTTCATGTTAAATGTGTACCAGAAAGGATATTCGTGTATTTGTAAATCCATCTATTCACATGGAGGATTGATTGTTGATTCACTTACTCAGTTCTCTCAACCGCATTTTTAAAAAGATGGCTGGTCTTGGACTTGATGCACCTTCGTTAAAAATGTATAACACCGAGTTACTGCCCACAGTACCAGGCACAAAAAAGGGGCTTATGTATGCTGGCTTTAAAAGAAAAACACTCTTGTCCTTTGAGGAGGAATTTATACAGACAGAGGCTTTGTATGTGGATCTACAGTAGCCCCAACACGCCTTCACATACCTTCCTGTTCACAAGCACTAGAAAAGGTTGTCTGTATCCTTTTCAGAGTCTGAGTGATGTCTGTCATCCAGGTGGGCAGACAGCGTCTTTGTACAGTCAATCTTTCACATCCTTTGCACAGCTCCATTTTCAAACCTGTGTCTTTGACTAGGGAAACTGTATTCACTGAAAAATGTAAAGTGATCTGACCCATGGGCCTGAGTCCCTTTTCTGCTTAATGAGTGTCAGTACAGGAATCTAGAGGAAGGGAGGGAGAGCAGGGGCTTGAATGTTGTGTTTCTTTTTTGTCTACTTTGAGGAGTTACATAAGTAAATTGGAGCACCAAGACGTGTGCAGATCTTACATAACTTGGCCTTGCCAGGTGGAACGTTTCCATTCCCGGCCTAGCCCAAACAATTTTTTCACCCATTCAGGGTGAAAGGTATCAGATGCACATTTTACTCACTATATATCAGTTACATGGACTCCAGAAGCTATATTTAGATAGGTGTTTAATAAAACATGCAAGCTAATAAAATATGTTTTAACAAGTACATTTGAGGGATTGTATAATTTGAAAAAGTGGACCATGCTATGGGTGAAAGGTGTGGCATCTAAATTACTTTTAGCAATAGCTATGAAACTTTAAATAAATTTAAAAAAAATCACACCATGGAAAAATTTCCCCAGCATGCATCGTATCTACTTTGAAAAGCAGAGACTTAGGTCATTTTGATTATGATCACCCAATAACACAATAACACACTAATAATAAGAGATTATAACATTAACATTTCTGTAAATAGCATTAGGAAAAAATAAATCCCCATATCAGGCAAGTGCCTGTTATTGATTTAAAGTTATTCTGCACTATGGAGTCTATGTTTTAATTGAGTAGAAAAATACTTGTTGATACTTACAGGTTGTCCTTTTGGTCCTGGATCACCCTTCTTGCCCTGGTCACCTGCAGCCCCCTCCATGCCTTTATGTCCAGGGGTCCCTCTGTCTCCTGGCAGGCCACGTTCTCCCTGAGCAATAACAAGTCAAGTATTAAACAAGAAACCAGAACCTATGAACATTTTTTCAGAAAAATAAACATTTCCATCCGTCATGACATGCAGGACAAGAATGTCTTGGGATATACTGGGTCCTCCTCAATATTCTTTGTTTTACCTTCTGACCAGGTGGTCCTAATTCTCCAGGTTGTCCAGGGAGTCCGATTTCTCCCCTGGGACCCGGACGACCAATGGGACCTTCTTGTCCCACCAAGCCTCTCTGACCCTGTCAGGATCAAACAAAAAATAGAAAAAAAAAATAATTCAATTGTGTTCTGAAATACAAACAGTTTACATCCATCTACATCATCTTTCTTCTTCAGTGCTGTTGATGTTGTACAAAATTTCCATTGTGGATGTTGTGAAGCGGTATGGTGACACAACATCCTGAATGAGTAAAGATGGTCAAAACAAAGCAACACTTTGGTCATTAAACTATGCTTATCTCGATGCTTATTTGAGTTCAAGATTTGGATGTCACCTCTTTTTCAGCTTCAAGTAGTCAGTAACACCATATATCAAACATGGACTTTTAAGAATAACCGTAGGTATATGGAATACTGTCACCAATTATTTTCATTTGCTCTATTTTGTGTATTTCAATCCCTTTAAACACATTTCTAAATTTGTCCAACAGAAACATCTGTTACCGTGTGCCCACTAAGTGCCCGACATAGTGGTGACTGCTTGTCTGAATTGCCTTCTCACATGGCAGACCACAGCAGTTTCCTGCCCCATCAGCAGTGTGATGAGGCAGAGTGGAAACACTGATATAAGAATAACAGACCAAGTGGGCCGTCGTCTCACATATGGCTTTCCTTCCTCGATCACTTTGAGGGGAGCTGACAAGTTAAAAACCAGGCTGGAATTACACCATTGCAGTTTTTCTGGATTGCATCCAAAACTTGCAGGTGCTATGGGACAACTGCATAAGAAAAAGCCACTACCATTAAGCTTTATAAGATCAGAGAGATTGATTAAAAATACCCTCACATGTAACTACTTAAAGAGGAGCAGTGGAAGATGTTGAGGAGGCGACCAATATGAGTGGTTTACTGGAGGGCACACAGAGACGGGTATAAATATATTTGTTGAAGAAGGTCTTGTTATTACATTTTTTATTGAATTTGACACATATCTGGCTTAACATATTCTTACACAAACCACATCTAAACTTGTCGGAAATAGCTGAGGGGAAGAAATATGTTTTATTTTTCTCAAAATCTGCTCAAATGTTACATACTTGTATCAAAAGCTTCCAATGACAAATTGAATTGCCGTGCAATAGGCTCAATGGCACTAACAGCTGCAATGATATGAATGATTTGTCCTTTTTGCTGTGCATTACAAGAAAAAAAAAATAGTCAGAAAATAAGAATTCTATTTGTATTTGTATTTGTATTAAATTCCCCCAGAAATGTAAAAAATATGAGGGTTGTTATGTTATCTAATATAAAAAACATTTTTTTGTTGAATGGCTGGCACATGAATAGGAGTTTCCAACAAATACACATGACAAGGATAAATTACATAAACATCTGGAGCTGCTGCTAGGTATCTGACTGATTAGATGTCAACTACATTTTTTTTTTCTTTTCATAAATGCAATCCATTTTCTGTACCAGCCTACTCAAAGTACAGTCGTGGAGGGTCTGGATCCTTTCCAAGCAGTCATTGGGTGAGAAGCTCAGTGCACCCTGGTCAAGGTTGTCAGTCCATCACAGGGCCACACAAACCCAAAGAAGACTGACAAGCACACACACTTGCACTCTATTATAAGGCCAATTTAAAATGCCCAATTAACCTAACATGTTTGTTGTTGGACAGTGGGAGCCTGAGAACCACAGAGGGAGAACATGCAAAACTCCACACAGAAAGGTCCCCAGCTAGGATTCGAACCAGGAGGCAATAGTGCTAACCACCAGACAACTGTGCAGCCTACTGCTGTAAAGTTTTCTTTCCTCCTAAGACCAATATGAATGGTTTGTGAAAAGCTCTACTTCACAGTGCCTTAAAAATATAAGACTAACGAAGCGAACAGTTTGCCTACAAAAACCTTGCATTGCCAAAAAAATCTAGTTATCTGAGACTGAAACAAAACAGAGAATTTTTCAAATTTACAGTGTCTGCACTTAATGTGTCTTAGGAAAGGTAAAGTTATGAAAAATAATTATGAGATAAAACATCATTTCAAACCAGTGGAGAAACATGAGTGGACAACATTTATGACAATAAATGAAATGACAAATGAAATCCACACAGGAGGAATGGACTTTTCCAGCTTTTGGCTGCAAAGGACCAACACACTGAGTTATGGAATTCTCCACTCCGTCTGCACACTTAATTGAATAAACCTACAGCTTTGCAACCAGGAGAGGCCCATAAAATCAAACAAGGCATCTCATCATTACACAAACATAGACTTTGTCATAGAACAACAAATCTAAGCAGCTCCAGTAAAGGTTATGTGCTCTCAGTTAAATTGAGGACCTATGCTAAGGTTATTGAGTAGGCTAGCAATGGATTCATAGTAAAGTGTTCCATCAAAGAAAAAATAAAATTGATAAATACAAAATGTATTTCACATGTCCACTTTGAACGGTCTCTGTTGGGGAAAAAGCCCTGTTTAAGCAAATAGTTATGATCATGACTGTGTGATCTATATTATCTTTCTATAAGAAAACCTCATAAATGTGTTTTGTCCTCTAATATTCAATAGATAAATTCAATATTATGAATAAATCTTGATCTGCCACTCACAAATGCTGTATGTAACTGTAATTACATAAAGAAACTATTATGTCAGCTGAGCTTAAGGAGACTTAAGTTTTATTCACAAATTAGCTTAAAGACAAAGATAATATCAGGGATTACCTGTCGCCCTTGTTTTCCTGGTAGTCCTGGTAAGCCAAGCAGTCCCGGGGGCCCATTGGGCCCTGGAAAACCCATCAATCCCTTGAGCCCTGGTAAACCAGTAGGGCCCTGGAAAATAATGTTATTCAAAGTCTGTTTCAGCTTACTTTTATCCTCTGTCAAGTTAGGCCTTCCACCTAATCTTTCTTAGTACATGATGGATAACTAAAAATGTAACACGGTTTTTCCTCAATGTTTCTTAGCCAACACACATGTTGTCACTGTAAAAATGCTGTTCCATACTGTAGTTTCTCTATAGTTGAGGAATGGTTATAATTAACTTTACACTCACTTCACTGCCAGCGGTGCCTGCAAGACCTCTTGCTCCTTTCTTTCCAGCTGAGCCCTTAAACACAGGCATGAAAGAGAAAAAATAACAAATACAAGGAGATTCACAAATATATACAAATCAAAACTGCCACTCTGGTTCAATATTAGAGTCAGCGTCCAACTTCAAAGTGATTCTAAACATTTACAGTATGCTTAACACCTCATGGGGACAAGTCACTAAAGGTATCTGTCAAATAAGTAGTGGATTCAAAGTCTCTGAAGCATAAAAACACTGTTCTTTAACAATAACTTTACAAATAGAATGAGAGGTCTAAGTTTCCATAAACACGCTATAAAATAAAATAACTGTTAAAGATGCTTACATGAGTAATAACTTCATAAACATCTATAGAAAGTGTTATGACAAATAAAATAATGTATGACAAAGTGGATACATTTTTTTTTCCCCATTCTCAAAGTGTAACTGACAGAATCTTACTGCCACCTTGTTTTGGTTATCAAGAAATTAGACTTATCAAAGGTTGTTCTCATCTGATGAACTCCACCACAAGTCAGCCGACACCTGTAATGTATGAGAAATAACTCACTGGGGGTCCTTTTTCTCCTTTTTGGCCTGGTTCTCCAGGGCGGCCAGCTGATCCCTGAAATGTGAATTTAAAAAAAAAATCAGTATCTTAGTTCTATTTTTTCTTTCATTATGATTGCTCATAATATTGATACACAAAATTAAGTCCAATTTATAATTTTTTATGTACATTTTGAATCAACCTAAAACATTATCTAAATGTGTTTTGCTGTGTCTAATACATTCAATTAATATACGTCGCAAGTTATTGTGGGAATTATTTGACAAATAAAAAATAGATGCTTGTACCTTGTAGGGCACAAACTCTATATTAAAGACAGCTGCTGACTTACCGGTGGCCCTTGTGGTCCAACTGGCCCACGAGATCCAGTAGTACCGATATGGCCCTAAAAACGTAAAAGATTTGCCCTGTTAATAAATTGAAAATTGGATACGGTGATCTGCTGATAAGCTCAGAATCTAAGTAAAACAGGGAAAAAAGAATACAAATACAAAACAAAAGCAAAAATGTGGAGCTCTGAAATTCTCAGTCTTGTTTAAACTACAGATGAAGGATCCCAACGTTACACATATAACCAATCCAACTTTTGAAATCAAGTTACCCTTGCATCAAATGAATGAAAAGCATGGAATAATGAAATGCAAAAAATTATTTTGTGGAATAATTGCAAAGCATTGATTTTTTTGTTTATTTCTCAACACGTCTACAGTAATGATCCAGAGGTATTTGTAAACCAAGCAGTTTGGCTCACCTGATATCCTTCACTTCCTGGCTCTCCTCGTTCTCCTTGTTCTCCTGGAGGCCCCTGTGTAGACATAAATGCAGACATACTGTACATGCATGTCTTCTTTTTACACGCCCAGCCTCAATTGGTCTATCTACCTAATCAAATACATCAATTTGAGACATGACATTAAAAAAAGACACTGTCAGTGTCTGGGTCATTTACCTATTGCAAATCTTGACAATCTAGATCTAATTATATGTGAATCTATAATATGTAGATCTCTAATCATGATACAGCAGACCTGACACTCTGCTTAGACTCACTGACATGTTCTTATCAGATTTTGATATTAGTCCAAGAATAAACACTGAACATAGATAAACAGGTAGAGCATAGAGATACATGGGGGCAAAATGAACAATGGCCACAAATGTGCTTTAAGTCTTTTCAAAGATTGAAACATTTTTTAAATGATGAACAAGAACAAAGTTTGGATGTGAATCCTTCATTTTCTTGGTTACATATGACTTAGCTTATTCAGAACTGAATCCATTTGCATCACAGATTTAGGAAAGGAAAACGTTTCTTGTATTTAATATATTCTGTTGAATAGTACAAGGAGTGAAACAACCCAGAGTTTAAAGGAAAGCAAGACCTACTGGTTCACCTAAGGGCCCTGGTGGTCCCGGTGTCTTATTGTCCTCGCCTGGATAACCCTGGAATATGATTTAAAAAAACAAAAACAAAAGAAAACATGTAGACAATCGCAACTACATGTTTATGCTGTGAATACGTTATCATTATTCTGTGTTGAAACAGTACTTAAAAGCAAAGCTCATTTGTAAATGCTTCCTTTTCCAAGGTTAGTTCAGGAATCATATTACCTTTTCACCCTTGGGCCCTGGAGGACCAATGGGCCCAGCTTTGCCAGGGTGCCCCTAAAAGTGGAGAGGAAAGCTGTTTATTGCACATCATGAAACCACTAATGACACTTTCATTGTGAGGACTGTCAACATAGTAAACAGAGCATTTTTTATATAAACGATACTTTTTACAAAGCCTAAATGATTCAAAATTTGAGGATTTGTGCGGACTCAGATCATACTTCAAAGTCAAATTTAAGAGGCCTTAACTAAGGCCTGGATTCTTAACACTTATGATTGTGTTAGTAGAGGTTTATGGAAAACCTCAATAGGGGAGAGCATGAAAATGGCAGGGTTGTTTTCAGTTGGCTGGACAACTGCGATTTAAATATGAACGTAAAACTGAGAAGCCAAGCATAGTAAAGCATGTGCCATGCAAACAAGGTTTCTCCATTCAAAATTAGATTTATACAATCCCAGTTTGTAACATATGTAAAAAAAAATTCAGAGACTGAGATCAGAATTATCACCAACTTATGTGTGAATAAATGCATTTAAATAACAAACCTGCACGTTGAGTGTATCATGACATATTAATGCATCTGTACACTGTACATTTTTAGAGCAACCTTCTTAAAACTGTCAACATGAAAAACTCACTGGGTATCCTGGCAGTCCTGGTTGCCCTTCCATGCCCATAATACCAGGCTGACCCTGGAAGCAAAGCAAAAAAGACTAAATAAAGTAAAAAAAACAGTGTCTCTTTTGTTGAGCTTTTTTTCATTATTAATGAGTGTGAAATTTATTCATCACCAGATCAGATCGTGTGATAAGACAGAGGCCTAACACATTACAAGGATCTAGGAATCCTCTCTCCATGGCTATCATGGTTGTTGCAGGTCTGTTGTGAGGATTGCATACCCACCATCACCACCATATTTTCTTCTCTCCTTTCCTCTCTGGATAATCGCTGATTCGACCTCACATGAGTCCTCTTTGTTAGTCAAAACAGACTTTCCGCTTCTTTGTATTTTACTATAATGCAATCTCTTCATGCCTCAAAATGTAAAAAGATAGCATTTTACACCTCAAACAAAAACCATTGATCACATTAGAAAAAAATGTTACAAAATACTTTAAATAATATTTCAGCAATTGTTATTATCATCAAGTTGATGAGATGGGTCTTTTAAATCTGTTTTGATTAATATCACATTGTTAAAATTTGTGAATTTTCTTTGGAAAGTGTCTTGAAATAATATGAAAAATAGAAAGAATAACATCTATGAGAAACATATTTCACTGTTAGCGTCAGTATCTTGCATAATCTCTCTGATGGTGATCCATCACTCATACTTTCACTGCTTAATAAACATAGCATCACGTGTCTATTTTCTGTGAAAGAAAGGGTATGAATGGAAACTAACGGGTGTGCCTCGGGTTCCTCTGGCACCTTTCAGCCCCGGCTCTCCTGGCTGGCCAACATCTCCTCGAGGGCCAATCTCACCAGCAAGGCCTGGAGGACCCTTCTCTCCCTGCAAATATTAACAAGCTCCTTTAAGGCTGAAAAGAAGTAACACTGAGAAGTACATATGATGGTAACTATCCCTTAAACAGAAAACAGACAGTCAATAATACAATTTTATAATATAATTAAATAATACAATGGAGATGTCATCAAAATGGTCAAATACAATTTTGTTCAACTGTCCTTCCATTTTTTTTTTTTTTAATAGACAAAAAAGTAGCTTAAAGAACAGAAACTCACTTTCTTTCCATGTCTGCCTCTGTTTCCTGGTGAACCAAGTTTTCCTTCTGGTCCCTATAAAAAGCAGACTAATTTAATTACATACAAACATTTTTATGAAGAGGGATTCAGCGCTTCATCTCCAAACTCAAACCACTTTGTAAACAACTTTATATTTTTCATTCTTTTTTGGTTTGTTTTTGACCTTCAGGTCCTTGATTTGGAGATCCTGGGGAGGTACATCATGAAATAACAACCAGCAGATCTCAACACCGCAAAAGTGTTTTTAAACATCATTAGAATTATATAACTATATTCATATTCAATCTGGGCTGCTTTTGGCTCATTATCTGTGCTGTGAAGTGCACATGGCAATAGCTGCTCAGCATTTGAATTTACAGAGGTCATGAATCAATTCTCTAGCAAATAATTTGATACAGTACCTTTTATTCACCCTGCAGTAAAACGTCATTGTTGAAGACAACTCTGACACCTACTGGGGTGTTCTTGCAAGTTGTGTTAAAACTGCTAGATTTGGTTACGTATAGGTGAAAGTCCTTAAAGTTCGAAGATAAAAAATGTAACTTACACGAAAGCCCTGTTTCCCAGGGATTCCGGGTGGTCCTTGGGGCCCGGCGTCTCCTTCTGTCCCTTTGTCCCCTGGTTCTCCCACTGGCCCACTCTCACCAGGCTCACCCTTACAGTGTGACGAAGACAAAGAGACACAGAGAGTGAAAAGCCTTCACAATGTAATGGTTTAGATTACAGCAAAGAAGACTCAAAATTCTATCTCAGTAGAGTATTTTACCTTAAGTTATTTTTAACACTTCATCAATACAGAATTGTTATATGGGTCAAGCAGGGGGTCTGTATTGTGGGTAGATTTAATCGTCTTTATATGAAAGTGAAGATAAAACAGTCAGATGTTTCTTTGCTTACCTTGGGTCCATCTTTCCCTTGAGGCCCATCTTCACCAGGTGGGCCAGGAGCACCCTATGAATAAGTTACATTTTTACAAGAAAATAATTTCCCAATTGCAAAGAGGAACGCCGTTACTTGAGGAGCAGCTGTCAGCAGTCAAAATCACAGAAAAATATAAGCAAGACAATCAGTGGTTTTTGTGTCACTAAATTTACAGACATGCTCAGTTTTATGTTCATGTTTCACTTTATTTGTGTGAGCAAACTCACAGATAGTGTAAATATGCATCTGGCTTATATTCAACCAAACAACCTGAATTATCAGATAAGTGCATAATTTCAAGCCACTCACTCTGATTCCTTCCTGCCCCTGTTCCCCTTCAGCTCCTGGAGGCCCAGCTTCACCCTGCAGTGACACAAACATTTTACAGGTATATTAGCCTTACTGGACATTCTACTGACCACATGAACAGCTTTTTTAACCTGGCTACAGTTAAGTCAAGATGGCATGGATACCATTAGAGAGTGATGGCTGCAGAAGCTAGTCGAGTTTTTACAGATATGACTAAACTATGGCAATATGTGACTGACCTTTAACCCCGGCTCGCCAATGACACCTGGTCCCCCCTCTAAGCCTGGAACACCCTGCAAGGATCAGACAAAAAGGATGAGAGAAATTTTTCGATTAAACACATATTTTTTTGTGAATAAAAATGTAATCTTCAAATTCCCTAATCAATTGATAACATTAATAATGTATACAGTAATTGTTAATATTTCAGGATAAGTACTTCAGGTCCTTGTTCTCCATCAGGTCCAGCCTCTCCAGGAGGTCCTTTTGGTCCCTGAACAAAAAGCAAAATCAAAATAACTATAATTTCCTACCAATAGCACACCAATGAATCACTAATCACTGAGATCATGAATCACCAGACAGACATAACACACGCCTCAGTTACTATTACGCCTCTGTTACTATTAATACAATTTGAATAATCTGAAACATTTAAACAAAAACTATAAGACTGTCAGCAGACAGTATACTTACTGGCTCACCGTGAGGCCCCTTCTCCCCAGAGCTCCCTGGAATACCTGCTTTACCCTGAAATCATATACAACCAAGTGACAACAGATATAATTGTGTCTCAGTCAATCACAAAAATGACAGAACACAAGCATTAACAAACCTGGCTCTAATCTTAATCATCATCATTTCAAAAGTAAAAACAAAAGTAAAAACACACACATTATGTAAAACATTATGTAAAAAATGTATTACTCAATTATTATTTCAGTACTCTTTAGGCTATTTTGGATAGTGGCTGAACAAATTCAACCAAAACCAAACACAGGGCAGAAGTAAAAAACAAGAAAATACACATAGTATTTAAGGTTTCTTCAGATGTAACAGAACATATGTGAGGAAAGAGTATTGTTTAAGAGGTTATATTTATTCTATAAGTTTATCATGAGTTTTGATTGTGCAGCTTTTTAAACCTAAAAAAAAAGCACAAAGGCCGTCCACATAAATATGGATGGTATTTTGTTCAGAAGCCTTGGACATCCCTGACTATTGAACACGCTTTCACTATTCTTTACATGTTTACTTACCAATTAGTTTGCCTTTACTTTGTCTTGAGCAAATGAAAAGTATATCCGGTTGACATGAAAAATCACATACTTTTTTGAAAAGCACTTGTTGAAAATCATTCAGTTAAATTGGCCCAAGAAGTTAATATTTAGGTTGCACTGCTTATTTTGCATCACTATCCACTAGTATTTTATAATGCAAACAGTTTTGCAGCATTCAAATCTTAATTTACAGTTTAAAGAGTTCAAATCTGAAACTAATTAATGTCACATGAAAAAAGGAAAATAATACTGATGGAAATGAAACCATATAACAGTCACTTGTGACAATAATCAAAACCACTGGCAACTCCATTAACTTCAAAATAATATTCAGCAATGAACTTTGCCACATCTTAGGAATAATCATATACACTGAAAAGGGTTTCTTTAGACACAAGAGGGTGCTATGATTCCACAGAAGGCTAAAAGAAAGGGTACAAAGCAAAGGCAAGCAGAAGTTTGAACAGATAAGGTTTCTCAGAGTGGTGTGGTTTATGGTTGTGGCTAAGTTTTGATCAGAGGTAGGTGTTCTTTCCCTGCCATTAGGCAGTGACATTGGATCACTAAACAGAAACATTTGGCTGTGAAGTGGAAACCAAAGTTAGGTTTTACAACCTCATTTAATGCACAAGGTCTGAGTTTATGACGGATGGCGTAAGGAGTGCAAGAGAACAAGAATGCATTATATTGTGTGGCTGGCTGAGTGTGAGAGCACAAGCCTGCACCTGTCAAGAGTAATTACCTGCAATTCAAAAATGTATAATGTAGAGCCAATACATGATTAGTGAATGTGCAAAAAAGCTCATTCATCACTGGAAAATAAGACAAGCAACAGAAGAATATTCCAACAGCAGCAGTGTGTAACCAAACCCTGCCATTAAAAAAAACAGCTTTCAGCTTGAAGTACATATCATTGGTGTGGTGTTTTGATTATCAATTTTTCTTGGTCTGTCTTAAAAAGTATGATCCTTTGCAGAAAAGACTTAAGTCCCAAGTGCAATTTTTCTACAATTAAAGTGAGACCGACAAAACTCATTCATGAAATGAGAAGTTTTCATTGAAAACATTGGAAAACGCACAGATTACGCACAGTCTTATTAAAGAAACCCAACATAAATATTAAAAGGATCTGTTTTTCTCAAATGAATGTTTATTCTATAGTCATTATGAAAAACCTTAGGTGATAATTACATGTTCATCAAAGTCCTTTACATCCCCACCAGATGAGTAAGGGGGCATTCACAAGCATGTGTGGATAAGCTCAGAACAACCACGAGTTCTATTAACAATCCTGTTAGGTAGGTTTACTGCTGTGGACTCTCACAATGATTATACACTGTGTATCACAGGTGGAAAAAAGGATGTGGATCTGTTTTACAAGTTTGTTTTTCTGCTGTCACCAAAGAAATGCATCTTGGTAAAGTGAAGACGATAATTAAAGCCCAGAAAGAGAAATTCAGCAGGAAATAGGCACAGGTTGGGCATTACTTACAGGCTTTCCGGGAGGGCCTCTCTCTCCTGGACTGCCACTCTTGCCCTTCAAAAAAAGAAATCAGTATTCAAGAGATGAAAACTAATTTCAAATCAGTTCAACAGTGTACAGTTTATAGAGGGTATAAATGTTGGCTTATCAGTCTTTTTTTTGCATTGAAGAGTTAGAATTGTCGTGATACACTCTGACTGTTACAAAATCATGCATCTTCAAAATGTTATTTTTTCTTTTTCATGACAAAGATTATTCCTAAAATGTCAAACAGGGAATCCTAACCAATCAGCATCAATTACATAAAAGGTTCAGTTTACATCTAGATATGTTGAAATGCTTTACAAATGACTTACTATGAATCCTGGTTCCCCCTTTTGTCCAATTTCACCCTTTTCACCCTGTGAAAAACAAGATTTTAAGCACAACAAAAGCTACATTTAGTGTGCTTATAAATACAAAACAGATACAAAGAATTGGTACAGAAGTGCTTTTTCCCCCACAGCCAAACCACAGAGCGATGTAATCGCTTACCTTGATGCCTTCAGGACCAGGTTCTCCAACCGCACCATCTGGACCAAGGGGCCCCTGCATGACAACATCAGACAAACCTCTGAAAATTACACAGCATATTCACTGTACCATGCATGCTGAAATACCACCATCAAAGAGGTAATTAGTATGTATTCATCGTCTGCTTAGGTAGGCTTCCACTTTAAAGCCTTGTACCCATGCAAACATGTTATGAGTACAACAGAATTGTGTTGCTACCACGCACACAAAGTGACAGATAAAAATCTCTTTCACATCTAAATACATCCTGAAAGCTTTCTGTTTTTTTCTTATGGGGCATTTTCCAAATGTCTGTGGTTTGCATTTTTTCTCTTTTCTTTTATATTCCACCCTTTGATGATTTATCTGTTCCAACTCCGCCTGAGGTTGCAGCTGATGGTAAGACCACCATAGCTGTTTGCCTTCCTGTGGTATATCTTTCCATCATCACAACTTTGATTTAATGGTCACTTGCAAGTATTTCTACCAAACCTTTTTCAATTTAAGTTTAATTATATTATTTTTGTTCTTTTTTTTTTGGGTAGTGCCAACTTACAGCACAAGCAATTTCAGGGAACTTAACAGAGAAAAAAAAACAAGTTCAATACAAGTAAGTTAATTTCAGTCATGACGCAATACAGTTGAACACTTTCCAATTTGTTCAAATTGATCTTTGTGTGTATCCAATGTTATTCATTTTCACATAGAGGGGGTTTCTATCTTCCAGCAGTTGTCTGGGTTTGGAGAGGAGAAACAAAGGTTTCCAACTAAATAGATAACACAGCAATGTGTGGCTATTGTTATTTAGCGTTTCTTTTAACTTATTAATTAAAAAAAGGAACTTCTCGCCATACAATCATGTGATCACGTAAGACACATTCACCATGGTTGCATAAACAGTTGAGTTGATCTCTGTTTACAGCTTTCCTGCGCTATTCATTTCAAAACCATCCGTGTCTTAGTACAAAATGCACAAGAACAAAATGAAGTTATTGGCTATTGTATTCCTGATCTATTCCTGTGATGTGGTGTCCTTTTTCAATTTTCTTCATGGGAAATGATCAAATATGCAAGCATAGCTGAATTCTCTGTTGACCTCAAGTAACAAGAAATGATTTTGTCTTATGAGTCTGCGAATATGACATCTGAATTTTATTAGAGCAAATCAGCAGTCTGGAAATTTCATTGTTTTTAAGAGACTCTTAATGGAATGGTGTTAGTCACTGGAGAGTTCAGCCATCTTACAAATCAACAGTAAAATATGTGAATGAGAGCAGTTTTATTGGATATTTGGATGTCGTAAACTACTTTAGTTATAATATTCACAACATATACTACAGGATATGCTAGGATTTGAACTATTTGTAACTATCTTAGGTGTAGGGACAAATACATTTAATGTTATGTAAAGCTTTAAAGCATCATTCAGTCAAAAATAAAAAATAAAAACTCTTCTTTGCTTGTTGATCCATTGGGTGTTTTTCTCCTCTCAGCCACAGGGTGTCCTACGAGTATTACCTTATCATCCACATCAAACATCACCATATCCTCAAACCTAAGATTTATAGTCTTCGTAAAATAGTTGCATGTTTATCTACAAAGATACTAAGGCTGAGCAAAATGGCAAACACATGCGTCTAACTACTTTAGCCTCTGGTTTATGGGAACAAAGCTGTGATGTGAAACAGAGGACTGAAGGTCTGATAAAGTTTTAATGGGATGATTTGAAGTAGACTCTCATAACATACCAAAAACTGGTACAGCTCAAATGCTAAAGACAACACTTACCATCCTACCCTTTGGCCCAGCTATGCCTGAGCTGCCTCTCTGACCCTGTGGACCCTGTGAGCAAAAAAAACACATAAAGAAAGCATTCAAATAAAAATTAGTTGGGAAAACAGAGGGAGTAAAGTTATTCCACAATGCTTTCTTTAACCATTAACAGAACATGTGAGTAATGCGAAATAGGGCACAAGGTCCAAGAGCAATTGTAATCCCAAACATCCCTCTATTTATGTGTGAAATTGTTGCATTTACCAGGATGACTTTAGCAGAACTCCTGTATCATCAGTCAGTCAGTAAGGACACAGCTTTAACATGTCTAAACCAAATCTGTCGGCAACAGGGACGTCAGTGCATGACATAACCCCTTTAGACATGTCTTTACTCAACTTAGTCTGTGAGTTCAAGTCATTTTAATAATTAAGGCATTTAGGATTTCCAGAAAAGGCATTGAGCAGGAAGAAATGTTCAGCATCAAAGTCATTGCATGCTAATTTCTATATGGATCAAATGCAGGAGATCAAGAGAAGATTATTAAAATGATCATTTAAAAACAAAATACAAAACGTAAAGCACAAACTTATGTTTTTGAACAAGTGCATTAATTATAGACTCACACTGCCAGGTTTGCAGTTTTTGGTCAAAATGATTGTGAGGGGGTATGACACTTACAGGCGCACCTTGCATGCCAATGTCTCCTGGACTTCCTGGCACTCCTGGATAACCCTTAAAGAAAAAATATATAAACTGTACTGACACATAGAGTAGAAGTTTGTCTAGATAGTAAGGTTTCCAACTACCCAATATTTATCACATTAAGGTTTAAGACTTATCAGTTACTTTAGAAGCAATACAGCAGAAATGCAATGCCAAGCAATATAAAGTGGTTACAACTGCAGCTGGAAATGCTCAGGTGTTTCCTGAAAAAGAGTGTTTACATCATTTTGTCTGTCAATATGGTTCAGACCTTCCAGAAAAAAAGAGACACTAACAGTGTCCAGGTGAAAATTCAAAGCATCCGCAATACGGCTTTAAAAAAGCATTGCTCAATGACGAGAACTATTCATTTGTGATTTGGCTATGTTACAAAGCAAACTGGTACACAACGGTTTTGCCTGTTAGACACACAGCACAAAACTCGGTCTTATTAACACAAATACTGACACACACTCACAATCCAAAAAATCTTTACAACCAGCCATCAAATTAGTAATCATCTCTTCCATCCAAACAGTCATCCCGGTAGCTACAAAGGTGGCCAGTTAGATCAGAAACACAAACAAGTTATGCTGAGGCCCAGAAAGAGGTCAGCAAGACACTCCTTCAGGATATCAGGATACAGCAGAAACAACGTTTTCCTGTATGAAACAGAGGAAACACTTTCCACTGGGTGACTTAGCATTTTTAATGAAATGTGTAGGTGGTGTACACATACACAGTATAAGACTCATCTTCAACACATAATCTGCCCTATAATAGCCTTGAGAACCACAACCTTCACTTCTATACATATTTTAAGGAAATACCTTTATTTTCCATCAATATCAAACGAATCAAAAAGTACACCTTTGAGTAACCTTTGAAAAACTTTCAAATTACAAGTTGGATATTGCTGGAATCTGACTTTTTAAGTTCATAAAGGAGTCGAGCATCTGTCTGAGTTATCAGAGGAAATACAGTATTTTCAATTTGAATTGTAAATTTTAACAAGCCTCTCCGGCTCATAAATGGCTCTCATCCCTGTCATTTTATAACAGTGGAAAAACAAATTTATAGCAGCTGAATATGGCAAAAATTAGCATCTGAAAAGGTTAGTCTGGAACTATTTAAACCTCTAGTGGAGCTGCTTTTATTTACATGAACTGAGCCTTGCAGTGGCATAACGCCTGCCAAAGCTTACAGCCAAGATTGTTGCACAATTAACTTTTATATTCCTTAAGCTCAGATGTTATTTTAAATTATCACGCTTGATAGGTTTTTGTTTTGCCTATCTTTTGGATCCTTTCATTTAGTACACATTATGGTTTTACTGACTCCTAAACAAGATTCAGAGTTAAATAGATCCTCACGAATGCGTCCTCTTACCGTTGGCCCCTTCTCTCCAACTGGACCTGTTGGACCCGGAGGTCCCCTGTCACCCTGGTAACAAAAATTAACAAAAAATCAGTCAATCATTAAACCATAATCTAAAACAATACAAACATGAGGATATATACAATATTACCAATAAAAATTATTCATTTGAGAAGAGCTACTTAAATGTAAGAGTCAGAGTAACAGCTATCTACCATGAGAAGAGCATCTTTAAGATTGTGTGTGTGAATCAGTGATCTATGCCTGTGTGGGTGGGTATTAGGAGAAAATATATAACGTGGGCTGTCAGGGTAAAACTGGTGCCGACATTCTGAGTCAGAATTGGGTACGAATATTAATAGTAAAATAGTAATAATTAGACAAGAAGATATTCCCTATCCTGAGAACATGCTCTGACATATCACCCCCTGGACAGGAAAGAAAGGGAAACAGGTGGAAATAGAGGGATCGACAAATAGAGATGGATGATTAAAAAAAGGGTAGACTTTTCTGTGTGCTAAATAAGATGTCAAAAATCAACAGCCAGTAAACTGTTAAAACAACCAAACATGTAGAATGTGAATTTGTTATTGTTGGGCGCGTCTTAAAAAAGGATGTGAATTTTAAAAGTCCATTTTATGTATAAAATATAATCTAAAATTCAACACCTTTTCAATAACAGAAATAAAAAAATGATCTCAGATTCTTAAAATAAACTTATATACATTCATCCATCTGCATCCCAGTGATCTTTACCACACAGCCCACAAGAAACTAAACAAAATGTTATTCCTTATCTCAACTAACAAATGCTTTAAGAACAGTAATGATGACACTGGATTGACAATGTTGTTATTGATATGGATATGAGAGCATTGAGAGTTTATACAAGCACATGTGGTCCGGGCCTCTGGGGCCTCAAGTCAAGGCTGCTTAACATAGGTTTAATTATAGTGATCTGCCAGTGACGAGTAAGCAGTTGATGCTCTCTGACAGGCTAATCGCAGAGAAACACACTCCTTACCTTTTCACCAGGAACCCCCATCACCCCAGCTATGCCAATTAGGCCTATTGGACCCTGGAAAAAAGACAGGAGTAAGCAGAACGGTGTTAAGTAGAAAGCTAAGCCACCCAGGCTGTTGTGAAAGCTGTAGATCTAAATGTTATGTTAGCAAGAAGAAGGTGCTGCCTATTTCAGGAGAAACCTGAAGTGGGTATGACCTCAATCCCATCACTGTGAGTCACAGATTCATGTTAAATCAAAACATCAGAATTGTTTCACTACAGCATATGCATTGCTCCACCAGGGACACTTAACATCACTTAAGATGCCTATGAACATGACAGGATCAGTTAAAGGTTTATCTCCATCTTTTTCTTATCTGATTCTTTGTATCCATTTACCAAGAAGAGAGCAAGCATAAGTCTGCATGTGAGATAAACTGACAGACCAGAAAGTAAAACATAATGAAACTTTAAAGTGCTCCTTGTTTATTATCCAATTACAATTATCCTGCTAAATGCAAGAAAATCCACTGAGGAATGATGAACAGTGAAACCTCGCAGGCTGTTCGCATGGGAATGAGAGGTAAAGTGACCACAAATCCCTTAATTGGGACATGAAGTGGGACAACATGGTACCTTGTATCATAAAGCCGATGGAAAAAAGCTTTAAAAGGTTTTCCATGTGATGGGGCCCTGACAAGGAACTGTATTCTTTTAAAAGAGATCTGGTTTCTCAGGCTGTACAACCCAGATCACTAAAGTAATGACATAACCATTAACTTTACAGTTAGGAAGAAACACAGCTAAGGTCACACTAGGTCTGGGGTTCTCGCCCACACATACCCCTAATGAACACACTGGGTCAACAACATGGAAATCAAAGCACACAGGTTGACATGTGTGCAATATTTCAAGGCACACCTGCAGTTGCTTTTGGTAAATCCGTCCTGATAAAAGTTTTATATTTTGTAGACATAAGAGTGACATGAAAATTGAACTCTCGGAAGCTAATCTAAATTAGGTAAAATGGCTCTAAGCTCTTAAAACCTCCAGTAAAATTTGACTTGAGACATTTTATGGGAGGCCTCAAAGTAATACAGGGGCACTCAGCGAGTACAGGTGGATTAAAGCTTTAACGCATCGAGATTGAGGTTAAACATTTTCTCATTTCTAACACATTTAATTTATCTAGAAAATGATGTAATGGCATTCATTAGAGCCTCCATATGTTTTGGAGTCCCCCCCCCCTCTCTGCATAGCTCCATGGTTCCTGTTTGGCTTCAAAGGCCCTCTGCTCAGTAACTGCCTAATGCCTCTCATATGTGGACTGCGACAACACAGTCCAGCATGGCCCACTTGGTTGCCTCTACTATGCACAGAATGCAAATATTAACATTAAGGGGCCTCTGTGAGGGAAAAGCATACTTTAAATGTTCAGAGCAGTTGTTTTCCTGAGGATTTCACAAAGAGGAAACATATCCCTGCCCCTCTTCAGGGTACGGTTGCTACAAAAGCATTAACTGAAGCATGTCAGAGATATAGCACTGCTATTTTTGCAGCCCGCACACAAATGTTTTGGCAGACATAAAACGGCATTTGAGGAACTGAAATGAACATTTTTCTTTGCTTTTTTTCTTCTTCTGACATTTAGTTGTTTTCATACATTAACAGCACATGCTATGGAATACAAATCAAGGCAAAAGTAGACTTTTGAGTGTTTTACTTCTGTCTATAAGTCATAAATAACAGTTCTTTCTTAATGACATCACAACAAGGTTTTTGATCCAAATCGTTCTTATCAATAAAGATGGGCCAAAAAACTGAAAGAAATAAGCAAGTTCCCCACTGCTTTCCACTGACACACACTCAAAGGGATTTAATCACAAGCTTCCAGTCCATCCAAATAAATGTGAGTGCCTTTCAAACTATGGAAATGACTTACCTGAGGTCCAATTTTTCCAATGCCTCCAATGTCCCCTTTCTCCCCCTTCAAGCAGTAAATATCAAACAGTGTACCGATTAACTGTTGCTATTGAATAGACCACAGATATTCTACTCACATAATTCTAAAACCTTTAAAAGAAACACACACATTATCAGCATGGGTCTGTGAATAATTAAGGGTTCTGCGTACTTAAGGATGGTGGCCTTGGAAAAAAATAATCCATCTAATTAAAACCATCATTACCGCAGCGAGTAGAAAATTTGTGGGATAGGAAACTGGAGACAGTAGCATTGTGACATAAGCTGTGATTCATAATTCAGAATAATAGCCTCCTAATAATTTCCATACATTGACAATGTACCTGTGCTTGTGATTAAATGCATAACTCTTGTTATAAAAATCAATTATTGTTATGTTACTAATAAAGTGCATAACTGGCACTGAAGCTGTTAAACCAGTAAAAATCATTTAGGAATAAGTACAATCAGTGAGGCTGTGATCGACTAATCACAACCAAGACCAAGTCGATGCTGTTGGTATTCTTAATATTGAACTGCTGAAAGTTGAGAAAGTTCCAAAACTGGATGTTACTTGAATAAGACTACTAGAAGAAAAGACTCACTTTTAAACCTTCAGGACCAGGTTCTCCGATGTAGCCTTTCCTTCCAGGTCTCCCCTACAAACATTGATGATGACAAAAATGGAGGTGCTTATGAAATTTTCACCCAGTACTTCCGTAATGGATCCACCAATTTTCTTTTTTCTTTGATGACCAAAAATGTATGATTCCACACGTAAGTCTGTATGTATTTGAATATGTTTAGAATGTGACATTTTGAAGTCTTACAATTGGGCCTATGCCGCCTGGTGGGCCGAGTGGTCCTTCATCACCCTATAGAAACACAACATTAATTTATAAAAAAATACACACATAAACCTTTAAAACTACAGCAACATAAAAACCTGGTGTCGATTTTAGGATTTACGTGACAAAATGTGTAGAGTAGGCATACTCTATAGCAACCGAATGTGAACATATTTAAAAGAAAGGTGCTAATTTCCATTCCATTGACTGCAGCTGTCAGTGATGTGTCACTGCTGTATTGCACATCGGTAAGTGTGGTTTATGTTTCCACCTCTATGTTTTTTCATACCACACATTGTCTCTTAACTCACTAGCCAACTTCTGGATTGTGTTCCAACTCTGCACTGCAAGTTTCAGTATCAAACAAATGTGCGTGTTGTACACTTTCCAAACGCTTCTGTTCTTTTTTCCAAGACTGGAAAAAACGTTTGGTCTTGTTTTCAGAAGCATTGAATGGTTAATCATGACTTCACCTGGTGGAACATGCCCTGGGAGATATCACAGGGGGAAAAAACTCCACTCTGATCTGAGTTGCGACTGATTGAGATATGACTATGAGAAGCACTATGTTAATAAATCTTGCTTTACTCTATTGATGACATGGAAACCCTTTTATGAGCCATATTTTCCACAATGTTCTGACAGTGAATCAAGTACTGTTCAAATGTATAGAATTCATTTGGGTGTTAAACGATCTCACCTCTGTTCCTTTAGGCCCTGGTGGGCCTTGAGGACCTCTTGCACCCTGCAAGCCCTTAAACACAGACAAAGGAATCTATTTGAAAGACTGCATGATTTAAAAGATGAATAAAAGAGAGATGGTAGAGAGATGCTACCTTGGGTCCAGGAGGGCCATTGGGCCCCGGAACTCCAATGTCCCCAGGAAATCCCTTCCAAAATCAGATGGCAAATTACTATCATTGTACATTAATGTTATGCATTTAAATCAGGAGAATAGACCATTATATCATGCTCAAACTAAAAAGCCAGTTTAAAACTGGCTTAGATATGTGTTGATATAACATAGGAGCGAGGCCTTGAAAAATAAGTGAGGGCATTCTGCATTTTGTAAGGAGTAGTAATGGACTGCCAAAGTGCTGATGGAGACTGCATACCTTTAGGCACGCCTGCCATAAAAAACCCCATCATTACAGCAAGTTGTCCTACAAGCAACGATTTAGCAGTGGTGATACTAAGTATAGATTACTGGAAGATTGTGGCATAGCAAATAACATTTAGTACAAGATATTTGTAAGGCAAGATAAGTCTATTTGTATAGCACATTTCATGTACAAGACAATTCAAAGTGCTTCACAAAGAATTTAAAGGCATAAAAACAAAAAGTGAAAGGTGCAGGTAATATGCACAGTTATACAGAACATTGTTAGAGTTGAGGCCTGTCTCACCTCTTCTGGAAGACTGTTCCAGATTTTAGGAGCATGAGACTTAAATGAAGCCTCTACTTGTTTAGTTCTTACTCTGGGCACTAGCAGGAGAACAAAACCGGAAGTTTTCAGAGTCCGAGCTGGTTCATACGGCTTTTACATGTTCATAAATTTAATTTGTGCGCTTGACCATGAAGAGACTTGTACACAAACAGAGCTTTTCTAAAGTCTATTCTCTGAGTGACAGTGAGCCAGTGCAGAGACCTGAGCGCTGGACCGATATGGTCGTATTTCCTGGTTCTGGTCCGAGCAGCATTCTGGATGTTCAGCAGCTGTCTTACAGCTCGTTTAGAGAGCCCAGTGAGGAGTCTGGTTTTATGTCTGGTTTACACACTATCCCTCTGATTCTGGCAATGTTTTTGAGATGGTAAAAGGCTGCTGATGTACTGTCTAAATGCAGACTGGCGATGGTTGTACCCCACTCTTCACCCATTGTCAGATGGGATGGGCTTTATATTGGGGGAGGCTCCAATCTAAATTTTGTCTTCAACACTAACTTTCAAATAATTTTGTACTCCAGAATGTAGCGTAGGCAGGAATCTGAGTTTAAAATGTGATTTTTACAAACAGTAACCATTCACTGTTGTGTTACATATGAGTACCAAGTTAAAGATTCTGTTGAAACATCTATGCATTTCCTACCTCTGGTCCTGGAGGCCCAGATGGTCCTTGTGGCCCCACGTCTCCAATTTTACCCTGACAGAAATACAGTAAAAATATAAAGATGGGTAAGAATTATTCATATCTTTTCTATATGCAATTGTATGATAATATTTTTGTCTTTTTGACAATGCATGCTATGAATTTATTTTCTAATCGCAAATAAAGTTTTCATCTTCAAAACATTGCAGGGTGGCATTAACTTTCCTTCTTGACTATTCTAAAAGGACAAGCTAAGGGCAGGAGAAAGGTTTTCCTGAAAGGCAAGAGCTCAGACCAATCTAAAAGTGATATTCTTTGTTCTCTTTAAATGTTAGTCGGCTTTAGAGCTTAATTCTTCTCTGTCAGTCATGAGCTGCTTAACCCTCCTCAATGTTCTCTTTATCTCACTTCATATTTGGCAGTCCCTGGTAGCTGAAGGCAATCCAGACACAAAGTGTTTTAAAAAATGTTTCTCACATCTGTCACTCGTCTGTTTCACAGGCCTTGTGGGTCTTTTGCTTTAGGCCTTTGTGACAGATGTTCAAATTACTCATTTCTCTAGCTATTTATTTTATATTCGTAAATACAGTGAATTGGACACAGAATATAAACTGAGGCCATCATTATTGATAAAATAAATCAAACTCCACAGTATCGCCATCATCGTGTTGTTGAAAGTCTTATCACTTATTAAGTCTTCATACTGGAAGTGAAGCTAAATTACGTTTTTTTTCATCACACTGAACATGGTCCTTATTGTGATTACTTACTAAAACACACAACTTGTTCAGAAATGTCCCTAAAATGAAATTTTCAGTGTTTCTTCCATGTTTCTTGAGCTGTTATCTTCATCTCTAAACATAATGATTTCACTTTGTCCCATTAGATATTAAGACAGTCTTGTGGTTCTCTGTTTTCTTGACCTAGCCCAAAAAAGCTAAAGGAAAATACTTTAAAAATTGTACAGAACCACATAAGCATGCAACTGTTTAAATAAGCACATTTTCCTTTACATGCATGTATCATATGTACTCAAACAAACATACCGGTGGCCCTGGTTTCCCTCGGGGCCCAGTAGGACCAGGAGCACCAGCAGCGCCCTAAAAGATATTACCATAATACTCTTTCAGTGTCAATTTTCATTTAAAAAAAGTGCCTCTCCCCATGCTTATAATTACATATAATTACAAAGCTATATAAAAAATATGAAAAATCTTTAAATAATGACATCATATGATTCATGTCTGAACATCAGCTTTTCACTGTATTCATGTATTAACTGGTTATTTCTGTAATATAATCTTTTCTTCACCTACCTTATCACCCTGGTAGCCCATCTCGCCTGGATCACCCCTTTGTCCCACTTCACCCTAGATTTCATAGTATCACACATAGATATAACAGCACGGCCCTGCCACATTCATCAGAATATGACAATATTGACATAGAACTTTATATTGGGATGTGTAGATCATAGTCACAGTTAAGAGATTCATTTTGAATATAAGCTGATAGGATGACAAAAACTGAAAATATCATTTTAATTCAAATGACCACACACTATGTAACCAACCCTGTTGTTGACTTGCAAATTTCACTTGTTTTGTTAGTTATACTATATGTTTGTGTATGATTTTTTCAGGTTGTTTTCAGTTTATTTATTTTGCACTCTGCAACAAACCATCCTTTACTTGATGAAAAAGTCATTTCATTTCAGGAAATGACCAACTTATTGATCAGAAGTTTTTATTTGTGACTCTGTATCAACAGGGTTTCCGAGGTCAGGTTAAAGAAACTGCATTACTAACACATTATTCAAATATACACTGCAATAATATAAATATTTAGGTCACCTTATCACCTTTCAATCCAGGCAGACCAACTCGTCCTGCTGGACCCTGCAGCAAAAAGAAGAAGGAAGTAAAACAGTTGTGAAAAGGAAGGATGCTGATGGCACCTAACCCTGACGAATAGTTTGTTTACTTACTTTTTAATATAAAATTGTTTTCACAAATGAATTTATCATCCTTACTAATTGTGACTTTGATTAAACTAATTTTACAGATACAAAAAATCCCCCAAAATTCAAAACATCTGCAGGTGCCAACACATAGCCTACCTGAGGTCCCACCATACCAGGTAGTCCTCGTGGTCCCTCAGGTCCTGGGTCCCCCTGTGGGGAAAAAAGACACAATGGAAATTATACATAAAAAACTCATTGAAGATGTTTCCGATGCCAGCCCAGGGCTATTTCATGACATTGACAAATATGTCTTTCTCTAAATATTTCCTATCCCTTGTGGACATGATTTTGGCATGAACATCTGTGATATCCCACACAGAGCATTCTTTTTTGTCACAATCTTTCAACAGAGCTACGAGGATCTTACATTGTAACCAGTTGTTTTGCATGGGTCTGAGCTTTTACCCAGTTACCATTCAAATATGTGCAAAAAAGGTAAAGTCTGGACATAAAGTACGATGAGAGTAAAACCCACATTTTGGATCTGAATAGAATGATTTAAATAGCTTTAGAAAGATCCCCTCCGAATATAATTGATGTGGAAACTTTGAATGATCAAAACTGTCAAGAATTGCAAACCTCAGCAGATACAGACGTTTCCTCTTGTGTAATGCTGTGTCAGCAATTCACTGCAGCTGTCATTCATTGTTTTTCTTTCTTGACTCCTACATCCTTTTGTTTTTTCTCAGCATGTGAACCTTTAAGTTGAGTTAAAAGTATTCATTGGCAAAGTTGAATCTGGTCTTTCTTTCCTATGACACAATCCCAAACTTAGGATATATTTTGTTCTAAGGAAATATTGTTACGCAAGACTTAAGTAATGAGGTGCTGACAGAGACTACTGAAAAGTGTTCTTCTCATAGACCTTGAAATTAGCACTAAATCATATCTTATGTGAATCTCCAAATCTTTCTGTGATAGTGATCTCATCAATGGATTGCTTTTTTTTTGCTGTGTCAAACTGCTTAAACACAAATTTCCTGCTAATGCTATCTTCATTTTTTTTTTTTTTATAGATGCAACTGCAGTTACATAATAATCAGTATCAAAGGCTAACAGAAATGTCAAGCAACCAAAATGCAAAACAGTGTAATGTAGAGCGGTTGTAGCTCTACCTCAGGCCCCTTCAGGGCAGTTTCCTTCCCACTAAAGTGTCTTGTGTTCTGTACTTTTTGGATTAACGAGACCTTTGTAACCTCAGGAAAACCCGATCAAACATAAAATAAAAGCCTAATTACCATTATTTCAGGTCTACTTTTTCACATAAAAGCCAGATCCTATTATTATTTACCTTAGTCTTAGCCACACACCATCATCTCACTTAGAAACATTACAGTTACAACTGGTAACAAAGTTAGGTTGGAGATATAATGAAAACAAGGACAGCAAGAAACATCTAAAAGCACAGGCAACCGACAATGTCAGAAGTTTTGGCAGTCAATTTAAACCAAAATCTAATATTCCTGACACTATCTAATTTTTCCACATAACTTATTCAAAACATTGTTTCATTCTCTCATAGTATCTATGAAAGAAAGCATGAAGGGCATAGGAAAATATAAAAAGAGGAAACAGAAAGGCCTTGGACTTGGCCACACAAGGTTTTAATATTGATCCGCCTCTGGTAAGATTATTCCATTTATGAAAAGATCAAAGCTTTTCTGCCACAAAATGGTGCTGTAAACCTTTTGTGCTCTCAGACTATTCACACATTCATAAGAGCTGAATCTGTAGTCGTTATCAAAGCCGTGTTCAAATTGTGTACTGCATTCAGCTCTGGGTTTTGTGTTACACATGTACTCAGAATGTAACTAAGTTTCAGTCAAATTTGCTCCTCATCCTCCGTGTATGTTTTCTTCCTTTCAGCCATCGCTTAAAACCCCAAAAATCCAATTTTGCAAAGTCAACAAACAAAAGTGTAAATGAAGATCAGAAGAATGGCAACGTGGGGAAGAAACGTGCCATATACAGTTGTATCAGTTTTGCTGACATGAACATCTGGATGTTTTAGAGGTCTCTGTGAACTCCAACGATATTACACCGCAGTAAAAGAAAAAAAAAGGGAAAAAAAGGGAAAAAAAGAGGTTGTTCTCCATTACGTCTACGACTGTCTGGATTTTTCCTCACTGGGTAATGCAACAGAAGGAGAATGCAGGTGGTACCATTTAGGGCTGTGAGTGTTTTCTTCCGACACAGCATGCCGGTAGGTGACTGACACTGCTGGTGTTAAATTACTTTGTTTTTGTGTCTCCGCACTGCCTCTTCTCCTCACAAAAGGGAACCACGACTCATATTGCTGTGAGCTAACAGGCTTCTTGCTCTGTTCTTACCAACACCACCATGCAGCCCCTCAATGAGCCATTTCAGTGGATTACTGTTCTTGTATCCTATATGTGTGATTAGCACTTCAAAGGATTTATTGACTCAACTATATTCTACAATTCAGCTTTTAAATATGCCTCTTTTTAGGCAAATTGTTACAGGGTTTTTTTTTGCTTTTAGTTTGTACTTTCACCATGGTTACCTGTGCTTGAGGTGCCTTGTCCTTTGAGTTTCTGATCATTTCTATAGTTAAATCCTTCCGAAAGCTCAGTTCATTCTTGGTTTCTTGGTTTTCACTTTGTTCTAAGTTGGGATTTGTGTCTGAGCACACAGTTTATATCATGTTAGAATCCCGTTCAGAGGTCATTGCTCCCTGTTATCCTCAGTTCCCTATTTTGGTTCTCAGCTTCGTTACACACCTGTCTCCACTTAATCAGCCCCAGCTGCTGCAATTGCTTCCTCATATGCTCCCGTCAGTATACATGTCTAGCTTGTTTAGTCTCAGTCCTTGTCAGATCCATGCCATTACAACCCTCTGAAACCATTTGTTAGGCTGTCCAGACTTGTTTTTGTTTTTTTGTGATTGTAAACTATTACATTGTCCTCCAGTCTACTAATCTGCTTATGGGTTCTCTCCTTTCCACCACAAATCATAACATAAGTAGAAGCAAAACACCTGGCTCACATTGAGATTCATGAAACCATTACATGCTGAAGGTTTAGCTGGATTAACACAATAATTTGGATGACAAAACACATTTCTGTTCCAACCAGTCATTTTTGACTGCAGTGTAGCAGTAAGCCCCATCACCACACAGTAATAGGGTTGGCTGTTTGAATCCCAGCCAGGGTCTTCCTGTGTGGCGTTAACATGTTAACGGGGGGGGGGGGGCATGGAGGTTTATCCCGTTTGCGTCTAAACTGGATTTAGCGGGTTGAGCTCCAAAAGCTAAACATGCATGGAATGGCTTTTCACAATCAACTATGTATCAACAATTATAAACAATGAGAATTTAGCTACCATTAAGAAACTTGATCGTTTCTTTGGTGACTAAACCAAAACAAAGCTGGCTTGGACTTTGGCTCTGAACAGAACACGGAGTATAAGCTCAACACCAAATATGTTCACAAATGTGTTTTACAAGCTGTGTTCATGAAAATAATTTCCAGACAATCAAACATAAAGAAACCTGCCAAAGCACTGAAAACTGTCTCTGGAGCAGTTTCTGCAACAAAGTATGTTTGGCCCTTTCCCATCATCTCAACACACACACACACACACACACACACACACACATATCAAAAGAATGGGAAATGGGAAATGTAACATTGCAAACAAAATATGTCAAAAGTCCAGACTCACTCTCAGACCAGGAAAGCCGCTGATGCCAATCCCTCCAGCAGGGCCCTGGGGAACATCAAAGCAACATCTTCAGTTCTCCAGACACAACATTTACAGCAACTTCCCTTAGAAAGTTAGAAAAACTTTCTGCATGGAAAACTTTTATGTCTGATAACCTAGACTGCTCATTCGTAAGGAAACAAATAAAAAGTATGTTCTGCAATACAGATGCATCCAAATGGTTTAAGTTTAAACAACTGGACATTAAGATACCAACTGATGAAGCTGTAAGCAGTGAAATATGACCACAAAACTGAGATTTGATGTTGAAACAGATAACAGTTATTACTTCATGAAATGGACAATGCATGAACAAAGATAATAATACAACAGATTCTGCCAGGCAGCACAGAATTCTCACCTCATTTCCATCTGGTCCAGGAACGCCTCTCTCCCCTGCATCGCCCACCACACCCTGTGGGAAAAGGACATCCGATTTCAATATATACGTTTTGAGGCCTGCATTTCTTCCCTGTAATTGCTCTCAGTACCACAAATAAATAGCTCTAATTTTTTTTTCATTCATTATTTTGTTCATTCTACATTAAATCCTGTGCTTTTCTGTCATGGCATCCAGTCTTTAATTCGTGTATGAAAATGTAATCCCAATTACTTTTCATAGTCAGGAAGATAAACTGGGGAATAATTATTAAAACAAGCCTGTACAAGTCTTGTTATGCCTAAAAATGTTAAGTAAAACAGACGCTGGGACTTTTGCCACTTGGCAAACTCAGCCCAGCGAAGGAAGCTTTGTTTTTAAAAACAGTCAATCTTCACAGCATCAAGGTCCAACCCAGAAATTCCATTATTCTGCATCTTTACCTAACAGTATAACATTTTCAAACACAATCCCAAAACCAACTGTGTTGGATAAAAGTCTCTCGATTTAGTAAATTAGTATGTTGTTTTGCACCCAGGAATCCCCACTTAATCTTTCTCTCTAGCAACACTGGTTAATTAGTCAATTAACCAGTGTTGCCCTGGTTTAACACATTCACGGGAGCAAATTAATGTCTTTGAGATTATTTTCAGGACTCATGTGACAGGTTTTTCTGATATGAAGATCTAATCTAAACAAATATATGAAATCCAAAAGTCAAAACCTAAAATCACAACATATTGATTATTACATGTCTTCCTTTGGGGCCAGGTTTTCCAACAGGACCAGGAATGCCCTAGAAACAAGAAAACAAAAATAGAATACGCTTAATGTAACTTTATGTTTATTGGGTTAACACAACAAACTGACCTGGGGTGAAAGAAAGCCTTTTAATTAGAAATAGCATTATCATTAGATAGTAAAGACGACTCACTTTCTCTCCTTCAGGCCCTGGTGGCCCTGCAACACCCGGAGGACCAATGAAACCCTAGAATCGAGAAACCTTCATATTTAATATGCCAGTTCTTAGTTGCTAAAATGAGAAAAGGTCCAAAACAAAACTGATAAGGTTACCAAATTCTGTTCGGATCGATGTGCCGCAAGGCCTTTACAATCGTGTAGTAAAAGCTGCATCACATTTCCCTGCATTTAACTGTTTTTATGAGCTGGTTTGGGATTTAGTAACCATCTATGAGTCATTTGTGCATCTGTCTCCTAACTTCTCTCCTTTCTTGCTCACACACACACACACACACACTTCAACCATATCAGAGTCGTGTCTGACTGTGTGACTCCTTCTCATTAGCCAGCCCCAACCTGACATGGTAATCCCAGCTATCCTCTTTCTTCGAGTTGCAATGCTCCACAAAAAGTCCCTTCTCTCACCAGCTCATTTGACCCCCTTCCCTTTGCTTCCATACTTTATCCCATCTGTTTCTCTTCCCTCCTCTTTCCTTCCTCTGTTCTCTTGTTTTGGGGCATTCCTTTCTTGGGAATGACCCATAGTTAGAAGAATGAGTCAGCCTTCAAAGGGACAACCCAAAGTCATACTAGCCCCCACAAGCAGACTCCCATATGGCACTTTGTCAGATATACAAGTCGGATCCTGATGATTCCCTCTGGAGCAAAGCTACAGTAAAGGATTATCATTGCCTTAATCCCTGCATCAAATCAGGTGTTCAGTCCAGTGCTTCTGAAGGAAAGAAGGACAGAGTGAGAGCACAAAGCCACTTTTACTTACACGGACACCTTTAGGCCCGGGACGACCTTGTGGGCCAGCTGAACCCTGAAAGAAAGACATTTTGTTGAGGATGGGGAAGCAAAAGTGAAATAGCCAAATCCTGAAGAGCTACAGAAAAATCCTGATGCCAACAGATATACCAATTTAAACACTGCATATTGTCTATTTCATTGTATATTCGTTTTGGCAAAAGAATTAAGCGTTGAGAGAGAAATTATGTTTGCGTTTTTCACTGCACCTGCCTGCCAGGGTAACCTGCAGATCCAGCTTCTCCAGGAGGTCCCTGTACGCCCTGCAGCAAGGGGAGAGAGTGGGGATAGAGACAAAGTGAATGAACAGTGAATGGGGAGATTAGGTGGATGGATAAAGTGAAAGAGGAGAAACACAGACTTCCATCGGAACAGCCTGCAGGAATAAAGCAAGCACTGTTCATTCCAGACAATTCTGTCAACTAACTGTAGCTTTCTGCAAAACTCCAACCCACCTACTCCCTCAATGTCTCCCTGTTTCAACCCACTCTATTGGGGTTCATTACTTCTTAGCACTTGGCTCGAGAGTGTTTCCATCAAGGTAAGAGGGTGCACAAAGGATAAAAAGAAACACTGACTGGAGGGGGCAGGTAAAGATTTCATCCTTTGTGAAACAAGCTGTGTGTTCTTGTGCATATATTTAGTGATATATATGCTTTGCTGCACTTTCTATCCTGGTAAATAGCAAATCAGATGCAAGATGGCCCTAATACATCAATTTACATGAATATATACATTATACATTCATTCTGATAAATTTCTTTAACACTGAATTAAAGAGGAAGTTTGGTTTAGGTTCAGTGGTGTCAGCATCACCACTGAACTGGGCAACTGTCACAGCTTGTAGCATCTATTTGTAGCACTTTTGTGAACATGCTTGGTTTTCTTAATGTTTCTGAGCTGTAACATTTGGTTGAAAGTATTCCTTTGCTGACATGAACAATTACTTACTTGTTCCCCTGGTGGTCCGGGTGGGCCTGGATAACCTTTAGGACCCTTGCAAATGAAATAAAACAATTATAGTTCTGAGTGCATTGTTGTCCGTACCAATGCAGCGATGGGCAACACTTGACATACAAAAAGCTTTAAAAGTCGGTATGACAACATTAAGACTAGTTGTCCAAAATATCATAAAAAAACAGTGGTGCAGTCAGGGATGTAAGATGATCACATCAATCATCAGGTTTGATCCTTTTGAAAAAGCAAACTTTCACAAAATTGGAAAAGGCTATAACTGATAATCAATTTAAAAGTATCTAATTTTTAAACCCTCAGTTAAGTTGAACTTATAAAGGTGTTAATTAGGTATTTTGTGGGGTTTTAATTGTTGTTGTTACTCCTTGTGCAGACAAACGGTTGTTGTTAGTACAAGATCATGGTTAAAACTGGAACCCAGGCATGTGATTTTGGACAGTATTGGGCTAACCACAAGCACAACTACCATTTCAATCTATTTAACATTTAATCTATGTCATGAAGAAGCCAAAATTCATGTTTAGTTGAAGAAGCAGTATTTAAATTTACTCTCATCAAGATTTATTGTTCAATAAATCATGTGCTTGTTGGAGACCTTCAAAAAGTGCCATTGAGTCTATTCTGAGGAAGTGACACATGAACCTTCACACTCAATAAAAAAAGCCCACATGGGGGCAAGAAGTGCAGACCTTGAGTCAGTCATTTCCTAAAAAAACACTTGATGAAGTTCATGTGTTGGGTATATTAGGTTCAGAATCTGCAAACACTCGTGTGGCCTCCAGGGAGACAGGGTTAAGGCCAGATATGTGGAGACCATTCTAAGAGTTTCAGTACAGTTGTGTGGACACAGAACTGAGAGTGAAGGTACTTTTTCAATCCCCAAAAAGTTACACATTAACACAAAAGAATTTGGATTTGTTTACATGTATATAATGTATGGCCATGTGATAACCACACTGCTAGGCATAAGGTAAATGCCAGAGATCTTAGAATATAATCTTTAAGTATAATAAAAGAAGTCTATATCACTGCCCCTGGGCTGGGTGCCTTTCCTCTTTTTAGAAAACCTTTGACCTGGACCTCAGCATCAGGTTTAAACATGTTGGTCCTATATCCTACAAGCCTGCTTTGAAGTTTATACTGAAGCAGAGAAGCAGCAACACACATTCAAGAAGTATAAAGATAAAGGTATTTTATGCATATCTAAGCCATGGGGTAACTTGGAAGGAAGAAAACAGCAGCTAAAAAAGTTCTAAATAAAGTATAAATAACATATTTCCTTTTATGAAGTAAACTGGAGATTTAAAGACACATTTTGGTACTGAGGATGAAAAACAAATACATTGAGATTAAAAGTAAAATAGGCGCTTAAATTTAATAATCTAATTACCATGAGCAGTTTCTAATATATAGTGAGTCATAAGATAATTCCCCTTACCAGTGGGCCTTGAAATCCATCCGGTCCAGGGAAACCAGGCAGCCCAATGTCTCCCTGATCAAAAGTAAAAGAGAGTGGCAGCACAATATTGATAATGGAATTAGAGAAACAACACAGAAAACATTTTAAAAAATACAAAGTTCTGTACAAAGTTAAAGCAATAAATTGTATAGAGACCATAACACCAACTACATTCAAATAATTTTCCTTTTCTCGTTTATCTTTTTTCTCATACATATTCATTAACAGTGCAATAATGGTTAAAAAATAAAGAAACATTTCATTAAGAAGTGAATCATAAGTTATTGAGAATGACATTTCAAAAGCAAATTTTTCCTCAGGCAGTGTCTACCATCCACTTTATTTATTTCAAAATGGATGCCCCTCATTATAGCCACATGCAGAGAAATGTTTAGCTGTCCTGAAAAATCAGAGAGCATGTGGGGTAAAAGTCTGAATGGAAAAAGACACAGTATGCTTTTACAGACGAACAAAGAGGGGAAAAAGAGGCTCCATCTGCAAAACACAACAAAGAAATTGCGCTGGCTACACAAAAGGCTAAATGTAGCCCGCACAAAACATGAGAAGAAGCTTCACTGATATTTAGAGAACTTAAATCTAACTTTGACCCACATTTTAATCAGCAACAGCACAATGATTCATATGATCTGCAAATCAGACTCTGAGCTAAGAATAGCTTTCCATGTGTTCTATCCCAATACACTTTGAAGAAGAGAACAAGGTTTGTTACTTGTAAATGTGTTGATGTGACACACATACAACACGCACACACATAAATACAAACTGATTTTTTAGTGGGGATTTCTGTGAGTAAAAAAAGAGAATTAGGAAAATGTTTAATCTTGAGTAGAGATGATTCTTTTAGATCATAATTAGTTCAAGATATTTAGCAGTGCCTATCCCAAAAAAATATTAATGGGATTGAAAGAAAGACTAAGAGAAAACAGCTCTGATGAAACCATGCAATTTTTTGGTCAAAGGAATGCAAATAAATGCACAAAAGTGGGTTAAGCTATTGAATAAAGTTAGCAGGAAAAAGAAAATAGCCAAACTTTAAAAAAAATATTCTTTACACTTTACACTAATCAAAAAACGCATTCCTAATTTTTCTATATTCTTATGCAGTATGTTTTCCTCCAACATCAAAAAATATTTTGAACAATTATCCCAATGGTAAAATATATAGCTGGCATGTATATAAAAACAGTGAGCAGAGAGAAAGGACCTTTTACCTTTTTGCCTGGTGGAGCCTGACCTGGAGACAGCCCAGGGTCTCCTTTTGAGCCCTTGATAAAAAAAAAAGATAAAAAAGTCAGAGAGTTGTAAGTAATTTGAAATCTTATAGAGAGCACTGTGAAATAAGCTCATTTCACAAAGCCCAAACACTGAGGTTGGGCCAAATGTACAGCTGTTGTGTAAGGAATTGTTTTAAGAATTTCTTTGCTCAACCGTAAAATAAAATGACAAAGAGTTTACATTTTTTTTGTAATGGAACTTTGAGCTGTCTCTTAGTTGAACTGTAAACAGCCATGAGATGACCTTCCAACGTGTGTGTAAAAAAACTGAATATAACTTAACAAAAAGCGGTCAATCAAATTCTCCAACTTACCATTGCAAACACAATAGTTTATGACTAATATGACAGTTTTTAAATTTGTTTGATGAGTCCACTTTGGAAACAACAAAAACCAGTCTTTACACTTTTTATTACATTCTGCAGCTGTCTATAACCACTTCCAACAACTCCTGTCTGCCTACACTTTGAGCATTACATTACCAACGTTTTGACTCATAACTAGTGAAGCGTGTCGAGGTTTAGCAGTGGGTGGGCAGAAATCCTGCCACAGCATAAACGCTGAGTTCCTTCTTGTTTGATGAAAACAGTCGACAGTGCGTGAAGAACATAAACAAGTCATCCCATTTTACACAGTGCTTAATGTATATTAGCTGTGTTAAACTTAATTTACTACTGAATATTCATCACTGTGTGTCCTAGAAACCAAACACATTTGAACAACAGATGGTTTCCCCAACTAAGACAGAGTCTTCCAATCCCTTTTCTTCCTCCAGAGAGAGTTTCAGAGAAGTCTGACTCACCATTGCAGTCTCTACGGTTTTGGACAAACTTAGGTTTTGTCTGCATGAATGTGGGTGTATAGTTTAGAAGACCAGAATATGTTGCCAAATCTTTTACAATAGCCAATCAATGAACCTCTGTCAGCTGTTCACAATGAATGAGCCCGTTCAGATGGGATGCAGAACAAATTCATCTCACTCTTCTCTTTCAGTAGTCTAAACATCGAGCACTTCCATGTATAAAGTCAATATCTTACCTAGAAAGTATAGATTTGGGATGTGTTGGTTTTGAAAAAAACTGCTTCATAATTACTGTTTCGCATTGATGAAACAGGATGAGTGGGACAATGTTTTTCCTGTTTCTCCTTCTACATTCCACTGATTGCCTGGTGTATGCAGCCACTTTGTGGCAGCCATTCAGGAATACAGGTCCCACAAACATCTGAATGAGGTAACCCACATCCTCACCAAGTTGTACCTATGCATCTGGTCCCATGCTGGAAGAGTTAGGACCGGAGCAATTATGTAAAGGGACTAAAACAGAGAGACAACGATGCAGGAAAAAAGGTATACAGTTTAGGTCATCCACAGCCCTGGGTCTCTTCTACACTGTGACAATACAATTGCTCTTTATTGCTTGCCCACATCTGGCCGTGTTTGGTTCAATTCCATTTGCACATACTCTGTTCTCTTTCAGGAACAGCATGACGATCACGTCAGTCCTTCTAATTGATACCATTTGCTGTATCATAAAACTTTATCAGCAGCAGAGACAATTTCCACCGGTCTGGAAGACTCATAGGACAAGTCAGTGATGTGGGGATATCACTACAATAAAAGTCTTAATAGGACACAATTTAAGATGTTTAGGTTTCCTGCAAAATGCCTAATTAACCTGTTTAGCCCATCAGGACCTGAAAGGTGAGGAGGGGAAAAGGTTCTTTGCAAATAGTTACTTGTCTGATAGGATGCAAAGGTCCATTTCTGTATGGAACTTGCCAAAATGAGATTGACTTATCAAAAATAGAGCGTGCACTGTACAAACAAGATAATTGAGAAAGTGTGGACAGCATCGGCGACATAACCCACAAGTGTTATGTGGAATGTGGAATGTTTCTTAGATTTTTTTTTGTCAGTTTATGTCCAGATACTCTCGTTGTCACGCCTGGGTTTTTTTTTGTGTTCTGTCATGTCTTGGTCTTGTCATTTCCTGTTTTATTTTGAAAGGTACATTCCCTCGTTTTCAGGTCAAAATCCTTGCCTTGAACCTTCCTTGCCTTTTCCTCATATAGAGCAATTATTTTTTTGTGTCCATAGTTTTTCCTCCTGAGTATTATTTTTGTATAGTAGTAGCTTTTTTACTGAGTGTTATTAATTTGTACTTTTTTTGTTCTGCCTCCAAGAGAAATTATTTTTTTGTACTTTGTTCAAGGCTTTGTCTTCCTAGTTTTCGACAGTTTATTATTTTGTACTTTTTGCCTTGTCGTCCACTCCCTGCGAGCGCATCCTTTGTATCAATTAAAATCCAAGTTTTGCCCAAGATCTCTGCGACTGAGTCCTTTTTGAGTCTCGATCTCACACTCGTGAGCTTAAATATTTCACCTCCCAAAGACTGCCACTTACCTTGGGCCCCGGTGGTCCAGGCTGTCCTGGATTTCCTTGTGGACCAGCTGGACCCTGGAAAGTAAAACAAATGAATTGTCGTAATTAGAAATAGATAATGTAAGGTCTCCTTCCCAGACATTTATGAAAGAGGTAACATAAGGATGTACTTGTGATAAAAATGCTGTACGTAAGCTGGAGTAACCAGAGAGAACCCACACAGGCAAACAAACAGTCAATGCTAGAAAACATCTACTTAAATTCTAAACGCTAAAAAAACATCTACTTAAAATCTAACACACAGTCAAAGCGCACTGCTTTCAACTTCCCAACACACAAAGATCTGAAACCTCTCTCTGTTTCCACTTTATGACATGGCCTATGGGGTTGAGATCGTGTTAATGCTTTCCAAGCATTTTAGTAGGAAACATGTTTTACTGCACGCTGCCTTTTTTTCTGTCTACCATCTTTTCAGCCTTCCAGCATACTTTTCAAGCTGTCTGTGAGACGGAGCAGCACAGATGATCAGATTCAGATTAACAACCCGCCCCCGCCATCAGACTGGAAATAATCTACTGGCACAGAGGGGATGCTAGTAAAGGAGCTCCAGAAAAACAGCGTAGCATCATCTGACCACAATAATAAATGGTTCTTAACATTACTTGAAACCATAGGGATGTCACTGAGCAATTTGCTAATGACCAAGAACATCCATACAGGCTGGAAAGTCACTGTGACATATTTACTGTTAACCATACATTTGTGCTGACAAAGAAAGTAAGTTTTGAAAAAGTTTTACGAATCATAAAATAGAACTGTAAACTACTTAAATGGCATGAAATGCGTGGACATCCAACAAACTATTCTGTCTTTATAATAACAATTACAGCAAGGTCTTCTATATCACTCGAGATTATTATTCATGAAGTTTAAATTGGTGTATAATGGAGATTAAAGACAAGAAGGGTATCTTATACCTTCCCCCTTACATATAAAACATCACGTTGTTGAAATTTGCCTTGTGCTGCTCCAACGTGCCTTCAGGGCTTGTGACATGATAGTACCATTGCATCATGACAGACTTGGCAGTTGCCTCAAGACTACTCTTTACATCAGACTGTAGATGTATCCGGTCCTTACTGAATATGTCCACAGGATCACTATGTTCATTTACTCCAAACAGTCTGACAAACTTGTTGTAATGTTTTCCACATCCTAAAAACAAAGACCTCCCTGTAATATACCTTTTCTTGCTTCCGTTTTAGGTAAGGCTTGCACTAAACACAAAACACACATGACTTTTCTTTGGTAACTGCCATCATTGATTTAAGACCAAAAAATTACTTATTGACACTTCTCTTTTTAACAGGAAAATAAACATTGAAAAAAGATACTTTTTTAATATTGCTGTTCAAAAATTAACACACACCAACAACATAAGCGTCATATTTTACTTCATGGGTACTCTTAAGAGCCAATTTCCTAACTATTATGCTAGTATGCCTTCCCATTCCAGCAATTCTTCAACCATATTACATTCATGCAACAGTAAACTGCTCCCACATAACAGATCTCACCCATATAACAGCATAACCCCCCTACATTTCTACACATCTCTACATATATTGATTACTTACCCTCAAACCTCTCTTTCCTGAAGGACCAGGTAAACCAGGGGGGCCAGGAGGACCCTAAACCAAAGAGGCAGATGGATAGTGAGAGACAGGGAATGTTGTAAAGACACACAGAGAGAGGGAGTGTAGGGAAAAGAAAAGAGAGATTGGGTAGGTTAATAACAAGCAATAACATGTAGTTCACTGTCGTGGGCCCTTCAATGACGAGCACGTGCTATATTTATGTAAGAGCAAAGAAGTTCAAAGAAAAGAACCAAGTTTTTTTTTACTAAAAGCTCTATTAACAAAACTAGCAGGAGGCTCAGGTTACATTTTCCAGAGGAGACAGATACCAACAGCATTTAGAAAGACAGTTGAATTTGCACATTATTTGTTATGTAACCATCTATTACAAAATGTATCTAACAAACATATGGCATGTTTTGGTGAATAAAAGTCACTTTTAAAAATGTTTAATAATGAGCATACAATTTTCTATGAAGCTCAAAAATAAATTGTACTCAATTAAAAAAAATTTGGATTGTAAATATTCCCGCCACTTATGTAAACCAAATGTTCCACACATTTGATTTTTTTGTTTTTGGTTTATTTGTCTTAGTGCAAAATAATACAGAGCAATTAAAACAAGTTCAACCTGTTACTTCAGTATACTTCAGCCTCCAGTTATGAAACATCTGGTCATAAATTCCAAGTGAAAAATCATGAAGCCTGAACAATAGATTTCCGACTTCTTACAGCATTTCACTCAGGCTTCAGGCACTCAGTTCCTTTGTCACTACATTTTTCGGAAATTAAACATCCAGCTCATAATACCATTTCTGGTCTTCTCCTAAAGAATCCAGGTTGCAGCGACTTAGGCCAACATGGACAGCGCTACATGACCTTGTCTGTGTAAGAGCCTGATGTGGACGTGACAAGAGGGAAAAATACTCAGTATAGCATTCACTAACCCAGTATGAAATCTCTGAGGGTTGAATGTTTTTGATGGTGAAACGTGTGCTATTCTGATGGCTGTTTAGCTTTATCTTGCCTGTAGGCTCTCTTCAATCTAATAGTAACCTGTAGAATCACAGACTATTCATAAGGGCTACACACAACCTTACTAAAGAGAAAGATTGTCACATAGTTAGAGCAGCTTTCATGCTTAAGCAAGTCCATGTAGTGCAGTTACATAGATTTAAGTGTATAGTTGTGTTGTCATACAATTTTATGTCTTATGTCAATGAACATGTTCTCCATCTATACGTTACTTAAAATGTGGCAAGTGGGAGTCCTGCCTTCCTAGTACAACTTCTGTGAACAAACAGCTCCAGCAGCTGCTTTTAAGGAGTGACTAAAACGTCCACACCACTTGGCAAGAAAGACTGAAGATTATACACAAGGTAAAATCTCTCTCCATTACTGGACATCATCAGGGCGCAACTGCCATTTCATCCCAAAAATGACATCCACTTAGGACACAATATTCGGAGGCTTGGTTCAGAACAAGTATTTTACGTTTTCATCACAGTTTAGTTTTTCAACAGTAGCAAGAGAATATTATAGGAGTCATGGCCCATCTAGATTATTTATCAGTGCAGTGAATGGGAACTGAGGGACATATTAATAGACAGCTGTTTGTTCATCTCAACTCCCACACACAGACACATGGAAACTGTGAGCACACCAGTGTTTGGTCACAACAAAAGTGCTGAGAGAAACCAAGACATTCACACAGCAAAATGATAACATTCACATGCTTTAAATGTGTTGCCAAGACAGGGGTCAACTCTTTCCAACAGTCAACTGAGAAGTCTGCGTTCTGGAAAGATGACGGACAGAATGAATCACCGAAGATTTGGAGCACAGTGTGACATTAACAATGCACAATGCACAGTATGCTATTACTCATGCAAGGCTTTGATAAGTTCTCTGTTGTGTGTAACTAATTGCCTTACTAAAAGGGTTTCTTTGACATGTTTTCCATCTCATTGCTATAACATGCGGTCACCTTTGTGGTTACATTAAAATTTAAGTGAAGTGCTAGCATCTTTAGAGGAACATCAAAAAAATAAATGCAAAGGACCAGGCGAAAAGATTAGTTTCTGCATTCTGTGGGCTCAGAATAACCACCACAGTTTAATCCTGAATTCAAACACATATTCATGGTGAAAGTTGCTTATCAACACACTCAAATATTAATCAGGCATGTTAATTAACAGCACTACTTTGACTAAGGGTGCCTTAATCAGATTTGTCTTCCACTGTTTGTGACCCATCAACAACATCAAGAAAGTAGATTGCAGGTTAGGCTGAAAAGAAATTAATTGTATTTTTTGTGTGAAGTTTTTTTTTCCAGTTCTAATTGTATAACTTTGACTGTTTAAAAGAACTTTGAGTGTTAGGTACCACATTTGAAACCACTGGAAGTCGCAATAAATCATGTGAATAACCACAAAATAAACGTAACCAAAGTCAGTGGTGAGTGGAAAGGTGAAGCCTCTCATCTAGATAAAACTGACCTCTGATAAAGATCACGTCTCTCTCTCTATGTGGAAGTCTTCCTAACAGAAGCAGTGGAGGAAATGCTAACATTTTTCTCATTCCAAAGAGCACTTGCATGCACAAACACACACACACATGCGGTTGTCCTGAACAATTAAAACTAAAAGCTTAAGGGTAGGACATATGAGGCACACGCAGGGGAAAAGGCTGCACACTCTGCTTAAAAGAATACCCCCATAAATTCAGATATCAAATCCCTTTTTTTTCTTAAACAGGATCTCCAAAGGATGCACTTCAGCATCTTGGGGAAAAAACACTGTTCATTTTTGTAAATTTTTCAAAATCTCATATTTCAGATGACATACTTGATTTTTATGTAATGTGACAACTCTGCATATTTGATGTATCATTTGATATGTTACTTCAAATGTTTTGTGCATGAATTCATAGATAAGGGAGAGCCCTTCTAACAGTCGAGAGCTAGTTTTTTTTCCATTTTTCTGAATGGCTATTCAACGTTGTTGGTGTACTGACCACCAGCAGTTCAAGCACAGGTTTGTTTACACCTGTGAACAACACATTTGGTGGAAGTTGCTATCTTTTCCAAAAAACGGATGATTCATCCTAAGTGTCAATAGATCATTTCCAATCATTGTAACAAAAAAGATCATTTTTAGGCTTTTCTATGATTTTCTGCCTTTAAAAATGTGAAACAATGCCCTTTTTTGCAGCATCCAAAACACCCTGCATCTAAACTCTGAAAACAGTCAATATGCACAATACAGACTACATGCAAAACATGCCCACACAAAATCATCTCATGAATGCAATAAAATGTATGCCAGCTAACCCTACATGCATATATTTTTCATTAGATTTAGAGTCACTCGTGAAATATTCTTTGCCACCCTTTTTTTATTTATTTTTTCTTAGAGTCCACAGGTGGAAGCTGGACTGATGGAGAGGCTGAAAAGCAGGCACTGTGCTGCGTATGAGGCAGAGAACTTTACATCTTAAATAGGCAGCTTAGATTGGATTGGTGGGACGCATTTCGCATGTGGCATGGAGAATGTGTGACAGACCACATGGGAGGCAGCAGAGCAGCATGAGGTGCCTGCCTGAAGTAGCCTTTTCTGTCGGAATATAAGTTTATGCCAGTCCATCAAATTTGGAGTTTTGTGGTCAGTGCAAGTTCATCGGTAACAAAAGATTGTCTTAAATCGCTCTTTGAAATAACGTCACTGTAGAGACATTGGAAATTGTGTTCAGGTAAAGAAGGTTATGAAGCCAGTGCAATTTTTCCATGGCAAACTTTCCTGCTAATTCCTGTCGTACATTTTTACAAGGACAGGACCTGTGAGCATCCGGCAAATTCACAGAGATGGAATTTAATTCACACATTTCTGTGTTGCGTGACTTTGACATGCTTCCACGTGACATGAATGTGCTCCTACACAGACCAGTAGACCCTGCCCTTACCGGGAATATTTTGAACTCTTTCCTCAGAAGTTGCCAAAGCTTCCCTCAAAGGCACTAGGAGTTACAGTAACTCAGCTGTAATAGTGGTCAACAGCACATTCAAATTGCCTATCACCTGGACCCACCCCCACAGTTAAATTCTGCAGGGACATCCAGTTGCTCCAACAAGCCTGTTGGACTTTATAACCGAATGTTCTGGGTACTGGAAAACGAATGAGTCACATTCAAGTTAAAACAGATCACACAAAAACATGTAACAAACCATACTCTTGGAAACATATGTAATACTTGTCAACTATATGAGCAGGTTTGGAGGCAGGAATTTCATGGAAGGAGGCTTGCACAATCGGGCTAGACGATGCCAATTCTCTTGGCAGGCTATATTTCAAATCCTAGCCCATGATAAAAAGCAGTGTTATTTATTGCACTTCAGCACAGAAGAATGAGTTTAGAACACTGAACAAACTATCACCTTAAAACCACTACATCGTAACGAAAACAAATATATCTTATACTTTCTGTGTATATTTTAAAGAGACATATTTGCTTCTGTCTGAAGGAATAGGCTGATTTATATCTAAGCTCTATGCTTTATGTGTCCTCATAGCTCGTCGCTCATATATTCAGTAACTTACCGGAGGACCTGGCTCTCCTTTGGGTCCACGTAAGCCATCTTCATAGTCATAAAAGAAGTCTGGCCCCTCATATCCATAGTCATATCCTCCCATGTCTACATCATCATAGCTGCCATCCAAATCATGCAGTTCTGAAGTCTCCACTTGGTTCTCCCTGTACAGAGTGGTGCCGTTGGCTCTTAGATGAATCTCTGGGATGTGATGAGTCTGAGAATTGGTGATAGAGCTGTTCCTGAGTCCTTCCTTCACTTGACTTTCCCCGACTGAATAGATCAGGCCTTGGGAGGAATCTGGAGCCTTCTGACTCTCTGTGCTGTTCTGAGAGAGATCTGTGTCCTCTTGGGGTCTGTCACCTTGTGCAAGCACATTTTTGGTCTTGGTGGTAGTTGTGCTCTGGGCAAGACCCAGACCTGCTCGTCCATCTGGAGGAGCTAAAGTGGGCCTGTCAGGCTGAACGGAAAATGTGGCAGAATAGGCTAAATGATCCAATGTAGGAGTGTAGCTTTGCTCCCTTAGATGTGGTTGTACAGATGGGCTCAGAGTTGAATGCTGTGTCCTTGAACTACTTGGGGACACTTCATCAGCTCCTGAAAATTTGAAAGGGGTACGAGTAGCTGCTTCTCTAAGAGGGGTCATTGTCAATGGGTTAGATGGTGGATCACGTGCCTCAATATCCAAACCAGGACGTGGTAATGTCGATCGGTAAGTGTCGGCCAGCCGGCACTGTTTTTTAAGATAGCTGCAGTAGTGGGCAGCAGCCTGGGCCGAGGGATAGATATCTAGTTGGCAGACTCGACCACCGAAGGGCGCCGCCTTTGAGTTCATCCTCCCCAAAGTGAATAGACCCCCAGATTCCCCAAGTGTTTGGGATCTCCCCAGGGTCTGCTCTTGCTGCCGCACCGCACCACAATCCGCATAGAAGGACACCGAACGCGCACGAACACCAACCGCAAATGGATGCTGGCCACCATCCTCCCAGTTGTAGTTGAAGTAAATGGAGGCTTTCTCTGAAGTATAAACAACTACTCTTCGTGGTAGCAGTTGAATGCCAAAACGCAGTCTGTCCTGGGCATCCTTAACACTAAAAAGAAAAGCATTATTTGCTCTCCAGGAGCTTAGGCTAATCACAACCGAAAACTCGTTGCCAAATTCTGCAGGGAACAGACTGCTTGCTGGAGCCTCATAGAGGGAGCTTGAGTCGAGTAACACTCCATATCCAGAACTTTGGACATTCGAAGTTGAAGGAACATTGGTGTAAGTGGTCGGAGATGAGCTTGTCCTCTCGTGAGGATTGTCCGTGCTGCTTTGAGCTGTGAGCCCCAATCGATAGAGGATGTCCACTCCTGTGAGACAAGAGACAATGGTAAGTTTCAAATTCTAAAGCTGGACAACCAACAAATAAGCAATAACTTTGTACTTATTTTCAAGATACTTTTGTGGAAACATGTCAAATCAAATCGGATATGGGAACTTGGTCTGAAGTTGAAAAATGAGGATGGAGTATTACACCATCTGAATTTGTAAAAAGTCCATACATTATTTAGAGCTGGATCAAAAGTCGGAAAAACAAAAGAGGCAGTCTGGCACCAGAAGTGGCAATAAGCCTTAACACTGTTTAAACAGTGTCAGATGGATAATGGTGATATCATTTACGCTTTGCTAAACAATGGAGGGGTAAGAAACATCAAGCTAAACTTTGAAAACACAGTGATCATAACCCATGTCGTCACATTTTAAAGCACTTCCTTTATAGATTTTTACTCAAAATCAGCCTGTTAGTCACTGACATTATCTTGCTCTTTTCAGATTCTGTCTCCATACTCCAGTTGAACTCAAGCCGTCATTGTGATTTCAATTTTTCTGTTTTCAGTCCACAAAAGAAATTGAAATAGGATGTGTTACAATTACACATCACAATACAAACAAATCTCCAATGATCATATTTAAACCTTTGTCAACATGAACAATACAATAAATGTGGTAAGATATGCTTTAGTTTTGTAAAATAAATAAATTAGAAATAAACTTTTTAAAGGTTTTTCTGTGATGAGGAAAAAATGTCAAGCTTTACTTGCCCCCACACAGAGAAAAGTCCAGGGACTAGGCTGTTCAGTATGTTGGGGGCGATACAATCATATTTGCATAACGTTAAAAGGTATCTGTACCACACAATATTGATAAACTTAATTCTAGCTACTGTTAAATGTTGAAGCTAATTTGAAATAAAATCAACATCAACTCCCCTCTTCTAACTGTGTTCTCTCATTGCTGTTTTTTGCCAACAGCACCACCATAATAAGTAAAGATTACAAACAATGGCAAGACATCCTATCAGAAAAACAAACTTGCAGTCTGGTACACACAGAAGAATCCATTGTTCAACGTCAATAATACCAAGGAGTTGACCATTAATTTTAGATAAAGGAGAAAAATGCATCAGTTTGATGGGCTCACTAAATATCTCTGCCCTGGAAATGTGTTATTAAAACTATACAGAAGCAACCTCCTGAGCGTTTTGCATTTACTGCAACAGAGAGAAGTGTGCTAACTGGCAGCATCACAATTTGGCATGCAAACCCAAGCTAAAGACAGGAAGAACCTGCAGCAATATGGCATCAGTGTATTTTTAGTCATCGAGATTAGAGCCAATATTAAAGACAACAAGCAAACCGACAAAAAGGGCTTCTTCTTTGCTGGATACTAAAGGGTCCAAAAGGAAAACATCCACACGGGTCAAGCCAAAATCAAATTTATAATGTGTATTTATGCCATCATGAATTATGTTTTAAAGTAAAAAAGTTTTAAAATAACTGATAAAAGAATCACGCTTCACATGTTCAGACTCCAGAAAATGACATGTCGCAGTCTAAAAAATGCAATCTACAAATGAAACCTAAGTAAATGTAGGAGTTTAGATACGTAAAGGCATATTTGGGATTTTTAAACATGCATATAAACTCTGAGCTGCTAGAGAAGGTTGAACCTTTTGGACAAGAGTAAAGTGTCGTCGGTTGAATGGAGTAAAGAAAATATAGTACGGAAGACAAAGGAAAAAAATCAGGGAAATTAGATACACAGAACATTATCTTGGACGTGGCTTCACATGGCTTTTTGTACTGCAGCTCAGATACAAAAAACCATCTATCACAGTTGATCTAAGCACACACTAAGATGTCCTTGACATACTTGGCCTGAGGTAACATCCACCTAGATTCCAATTCACCTGTCTCATATGTTAAGACAAGCTGCTCCAGCACTCATGTGCATTCCTACACCCCTCATTATGATAGATTGATTCTTCTTGGAGGGCAATTATCAACTTTACAGTAGTTAAGCGGAGAAGATGATGATGCAAGATGGAGAAAGGAGAATGGACTTGGAAGTTGTTTACTCTGTCAGTGAAAATGTCAACAACATACAAACATGTGATAGTTACAAAATAAGAACAATTATTAGTTTAACATTAGATCTAGCTGTAGCACAGAACAGTCTTTATACAGGAAGTGCAAATCAGGTGTGTTCAACAAACAACTTCTCAACTGCAGGAAGCGTGACATTAGTTGAGTTTTCATTCACCAGCAGAGCAAAACTTGCTTTTCAAAAAGCAGCGAAAACTGTAAGGCTAATTAGACAGACCAGGCAGCAGTTTAGCTTGAGGGTAGCAATTGAGGCTGTATTGTTAGTAGCTGTTTACATGTAGAGGAAGTAGTAGAGACAAACAACAAAAACTGCAGAGGACACCTGCCAGTAAGAAACGGTAAGAGTTTTTCTCCAGCAATTTCTTTTATCTCTGGGACTAAGCTGAATAAAGTATATCTAAGACAGGTTTCAATTCACTCTGAAGAGTATGAAACTTAAACATAAAATACACATCCCAAGTGAGAATATATACTTCGTTTTGTCAATAAACTGAAGTTTTTGCTTGTATTTTCACCACTTCCATTCATGTTTTCTTTTTCAAACTTACATAACTAAAAAGGCAGTAGAGCCTAATTGTATGAGAGAGGTAGTATAGACATATACATTTCTACGCCATGAAACAGTGACGATAACAATAATACTCTTAAAGTGCATTAGCACTCTGCTGTTTACCTTGAGCAAAGTAGTCTTCTTCTCCAGAGAGTACTGCTGAGCATACTGACAGGAGCAGGAAAATGTTCCACCTAGAGGATACACAAAACAAGAATAGTTTAATTTTTTGGGGAAAGTAAATATTATAAATGTCAAATGTTAATGATTTCTGTGCAATTTTGCAGCTAAGAACTTTGTCCCTTAAAATCAGTACATATTGATCTACTTTTTTCTGTTATGCCACCACACGGAAAATGCTAAACTTTCTTGAGAAAAACAAAACAAAAAGGATGATAGAATTATGCTGCTATGGCATTAGGTCATTAGGTCATTGGCATTAGCCAAATATTACGCTAGATGTAGAGAAAACTGATAAAATGGAACTGGAGCAAGCAGTTCAGAGTAGCTCAGTGATACATATGTTTTCATGACTCATTAAGATTTCAAAAATCTTCAAATGTTTTACTAACTTTTAAAGGCTGATTAGATTTGTTCACCCATCTAAGACATACTTTTCTCTTCTCACTTGTCTCAGAGCAGCTACACACAGATCTGATATATCTGAGGCCTCTAACCGATCAAAGTCAATGGTTTGACTGATCAGTTATTTGCAGAATAATCCTTTAATACATTGCTTTCCAACCCTTGTCCTCAGGGCACACCGTGCTGCATGTTTGTCTTACTCCAGCACACCTGACTTAGATGAATCAAAGCTCTGAATATATCATCCTCGTGTATGACTTCTGGTGATAAGACGATAACGACAACGATGACGAGACTATGTTTTGCCCATCAGGTTGTTTTTTTAACTAAACAATACACTTTTTCACCAAGATCATGAGGAACAACTGATCAAAAAACAAAACAAAAACACAACTGAGCATCCCTGATAATAATTTCAAATGACACTTGCAAAAATATCTTCAAAGAAATCTTACATAGCCTTTACTCTCCTGTTGCATAAAGTTGTGACTAATCAGAATATTAGATGCTTATGTTTACCGATTATTTTTATAGTATATAGAGGAACATAAACAAACTTGGGAGTCATAGCAGTCATCAGATTAACCTTCAGTGGTCGTGGTCTATTACATATTAGCTCCTGATTTAAATGCATCTTAGTCAAGTCTGCCACTTGTAGCCATGATAATTACATCTTTACTATTTGTTCCTTATATAATAGCGGGGTAGTCAGGTTGGCAGGCTGTTCACTAAACCACATGAGCAGTGCAGTCCAGCCAGAGGGATCTAGTTTGTGAGGAGGCTCTGCTGATGACTGATCCTGCTTATAATATATCTCATATCATAAAATACAATCACAATAAAATGTGTTATTCAATCTCCATTCCTGATTGATACGGCTGCTACAATACAACACATTGTGATGTCTCATTCTTCCCTTTGACGTTTGAAACTTACTGAATAAGAAATCAGCCCAAAAATATTTTGATTGGTTAATTGAAAGAAAAATACCAACAATCAATGCTGGGAAAAAACAAGCTGTTACAGAATGCGAAAAAAAAAAGAAACATTTTTTAAAAATACAAGTTATATTGTCTTAAGGCACTCAACTTTGACATTTTAATGACTGGAAATATGGTTCCAAAGCCAAGCAGAGAGCATAACTGTGTCATGTTTTATTGTTTCCAGACAATGATAGATTTTGTCTCCAACATAGTTACTAAATAACAACTTAACACTAGAAATGAGGGCATGCTTCAATAAAGCTGTTACAAAAAAAACTAAGATTTAAACACACAAGTACTGAGCCTTAAAGAAGTTTTGAAGTTATAAAGAGCTATCTGCACCATGGATATTTATTCCCGAAATGATGTGAAAAATCTTAAAAGGATTCATGTTTTTCAGGGAAGCCCTGGATTTAATTTACACGACTGTTAAATATCTGCTAAATCTAAAACATTTTCAATTTCAAGTTGCCATCTTGACTGAGACACACCACACATGTTTACATATCAGCAACTTAAAATGATCAAATCAGGCATAAGGATCTATTTGGCATAGCTGTGATCCCTCTCTGTTATTCATCCACAATTTTTCTTCTGTCTTGACCCTCACTGACCTAACCTCTAGATGGCACTACCCACCACAGAGGTAGAGACACAGGACAAACCTTTGAGATTAATAAATCTAAATAGATCCAGAGTATGGCGCATATACATGAAAAATAACCTAAAGACAGCAGCTGTAAATGCAATATAAGTGCTGACAAATATTCTTCATTATTCCATTGATATTCATATTTCGTGTTTTTAGCTCAGACACAAACTATACATTATTAGTGGTATATCTTTTAAAGAAATTCACTCCAAAGTCAGAGCTTTCACCATCCCCCTAGTATTATACTGCACTTCATGATTACTACTTTTGAAATTGCAAACAAACATTGACTCTGTTGAGCCTTCTTTATTTGATATGATCACCATTCTTATGTATATCTTATATATGTAACATTTGTCTACATTCTCAAACACTTAGGTGAGGAAATTAGAATAAGGAAGAGTCAAATAAACAAAAGAAAATTATTCACTTTGCAAACCTGAGAAAAACAAAAAACAGATTTACATGAAATCATACTTCCTTTATGCCTTCCTGGTGGAATAATCAACACACATTATGTGCAATAAAGGTTCAAAGCCTACTGCTTTATATTTAGACCAAATCAATCACTTAACCAGAAACAGCTGCTTACACAACTTAAAGTGGATCGGGAACTAGAGCCATCATTTTCAGCACAGACACAGTCTTAAAGCTGTTCAAAACACACAGGGAGACAGTAGTCCTGCTATTTCAATATGCATCTGTGTAAGACTAAAAAGAACACTGTCAATCACGGTGTGTTGTACTCCTTAAACCATCAGAGACTGTTATTTGTGATGGCAGAACACAGCATGTGTGATGGCAGAATGACACTGAAGACATGCTTCAGTTCATGGTCACTGTGTCCGGTATGAATGCAGCAAAAAAAGTTTCAAGTGAGGGGAAAAGCTCAGACAGACAGCCGTATTTGTTTTCCCTGATTAATGGGGCCCTGAAGAGTCGAACAGAAGAGACATAATTAAAACTGGACGAGAGCATAATATCGTGAGAGCGAAGAAAATAGGAGTCAAACAGAAATGGGGGGGGGAGAAACTTTAAGCAGAAACAACATGAGCGTTGTGTGTCACCTGTTCCCCATTGAGAGTGGTGGCGCGACATTCCACAGCTAGGAACACAGATACATCCCCAAAACCGGGAAAAAGCAACTGAGAGAAATCAGCTCTGGATGAATCAATACAATGAATTGTCTGATAAATTCACTTGACATTCAAATGCCTCTTAAAGGTTACCAGCTTTTAGTAGGAAAAAAAAGCTAAATATAACTTCTAACAATAATTTCAGTGTGTGGCTCCTCTGCTGCCGATTCAGAGATAATTTTTTGCCCTCTCAGACTCTCTGTTTGAGAGCTATTTAAAGTATCCCTGAGGCTATCCCGTCATACGAACCAAAGCTGTTACTTCAGCACATTTCTAGTGACGCACGTATAAGTGGTGGTAATTTTCTGGCACCTTTAGACTTACATTTCCAGATTTCTGTCCCTCTGTCCCTGTGTGGCATTGTGAGTCAAGATATATATGGGAAAGAGGGTTGCATCATTTTAAAAAAAACTGTGAGTAAAAAGGACTGAAACCAACTAACTGGCAGCATTTACATTCATATTTTACCTTCAAACAATTAAAGGTAAGATCTTGTATAAGTGACTACACACTTTGAAATGCTTCTAAAAAGGAGTTAATGGAAAAAAATGCTAAAATCAGGACAAAGCTTCCCAAGCTGAGCTCTGTTGACTAAGGGAAATACCACTATGTGGGGCGTGGGTGTCATGTCAAAAACTATAAATAATCACCACTTAGAACCCCCCTCTGCAGTGAATCGGTTCAGCTTTAACAGATCTTGCCCCTCCCCTACTTCAAAATTAGCTTGGATCCCAAACAATGGTTCATTCAAGCCAGAAACAGGCTCAGAGGTACATGGAGAGGCGAAGTGCTCAATTAGGTTTGCAAACATGAACAACTCATAATTTCTATTGATAGTTTTCATATGAAAAAGGAAACCATTGTCTTGCGTTTATTGCTGTAAGAAGGTGAACTTTGGAGCAGTAGCATTCAAATATACATCTAATTTGGAAGGCTTCCTCCCAAGTAAATCTATTGGTGGAACACAAAGCTGTCATTGGAATCTTACACTTATTAAGAATGATAGGACAGAAGAAATACAACTGTTTCTAATCTAACATTAGGTGAAAAATGACAAAGCCAACACTTGATCTTCTTTGTTTTTCTTTGGCACAAAATCAAGGTCATGTTGATTTGTAGAAACATAATGGTTCATCAAACAAATGAAACTGGAGGCACCTCAACAGATTCATTTTAGTCTGACAGTCTGTTTCAGGATATCAGCACAACAACTGTTCTTCCCTTTGGAAAAGAGCTGCTAGCTAGAGTTATTATTCATAATACAGAGGTTAATAAAGCTTGCCCTTTGGTGCATGAGCCAACTGTTATACTGTATAGCCTTTTATTAAAAAAGTGACTTAGGTCAAAGCTTAAGTCAAAAGTAAACCCATTTCACAAAAACTCTATGAACATACTTCATTCAAGGACAAATACTGTCTATTGCAAATAAGCAGTCTGTTCCTGTTTGCTTTGCTTCTCATTCACAACAAAAACATTCTTGGACATGAGGAAGCAACTGATCTGCTGCCAGTATCTGTAACTGCTGGCTGCGCTTCAGCATTAGTATCTGTGTCCTGGCAAGTAACACCTCATTATGAGTGGACTTGTCATCTCCAAATGGCCAAAAGATAAAACAAAAAGGCATATCAACATCTACTTGCCAAAGCTTGAAAGACTAACAGTGTCAAAACAGCTCGAAGCATTTCATAAAGAAATCAAATTTACATGCAATGTATAAGAAGCTGCGGGTCACGTTATCGTGAAACGCACCATGCTCATTTGTCAGCCCACTCAGTGGAACCTGGAGTTAAGGGGTCACTGCAGACTAGAGCAAAGATTGACTTAGTTCACAAGACAGTGAACAGACAAAGAGCTGTGAGTAAACTTCCACGGGTCTTTATTGGTTTGCCCTTTTCCTGTTGCAGATGTGAGTAGGTTAAATAGGCACTCGGCACAGGGATGGGCAAAGTGTCCCCACAGCCACCAATGCAAAGAGGATTAGTATGTAGCTGCAAAAGGAGTCATTAAGATATTATTCTTTTGCTAATGGTAATATTTAATGTGATTACAGTTGTTGTGGAACATTTTTTCTTGATAACCAGCTCTTTGTTTCTGTAAAGACACCTTGCTGGTGAGATGCTTCCACACAGTCTACTTCGACCACATCTTCAGTGCTTTCATACTGTACATTGAAACATCTCTGCAGCATGTCCAAAACGCATCACAAACAAAGGCTGTGACCTCTATCAATCACTAGAAAAAAGGAAAACTGGAAGCAACATCATACAGAGCTCCATATACCATTCTTCATGTAGCGAATCGAGGGAGCTATCTCATGAACCTTCAATCATACTACCGACTTGTTGGTGCTGAAGTTTAAGCAGAAGACCATCAACGCTACAAAAATCTGCTGTTTTAGGTGGTACATGGTCCAAATGCTTTCAGCAAGGAGGCAGCGCTGCCCTCAACAATAAGCGATTGTCTGCAGCTCAGAAGCCAGTTGACCATTGATGCATACATACTGAAGTTGTCTGTAGACCCACAGGAAGCTGCATTTGCTCTCAGTCAGCTTTGCTTTCTCTCATTCTGAATGGATTTCCCCTTTATTTACAGTTTTCCACAGTTATTTGCTTTGTTTTCAATTGAGAAAACACATTTTCTTTAGATCAAATCTGGAGGCGATGGATACTAAAATGCAGACAGCTGGGGCTCATTTGTGGGCAGAAATAATACATTTTCTATTAAAAAGCCTTTGAGGATGTGCACATTGCACATTGCACTTCCTCAGGGAAGTTGAATGTAACAGGACAACAAAACCTGGATGCTAAATGTCAATAACACACACTTCCATGTGGAATGTTTAGGTTTAAAGTTCCTTTCTTTTTTTGTTGTTACTTCAAGCCCAAATACTTCAACAGAAGTCCATAAATGTGACTTGAGCCATTGAAAGCTGCTTGAATGTTTATATGCCAGGACAGTATTAAAGGACTTGTCACTTGCTGACCTACTCTTTCATTCTGTCTAAGTTGCTTCAGTGTTTCGTTTTCAACTTATTGCTTTGCAAGTGAAACGTTGCTGCAAACACATGGTTTTTCTGCAGATCGTGTTCACGTGCTGACTTCAAAGCCAAGGCTTCATCTGTCAAGTATGAAACTGAAATTGTGCGTCAAATATTCACATCCTTCAACTTTCAAATACACATGTCTAAAAAAAGTGATCAGTTACAGATGTGTTTGGTAAGGCTGGACAGCAATGACTGGGTTTGTTCACTACACACTGAAACTGATCCACAATTTTAAGAGAAAAAGATCAACTAAAAGCTGTGTCAAACAGGACATCCCTCCAAGGAAACATTAATAACTGAGACCAATGATTCCAGGATTAAACTCCACTTATCTTGAGTTGACTAACAGCTTATAGTTTCAGCCAGGTTTTGATGGCAACAACCTGTAGCACTTGGACTATTTAAATCATCTTACACCCCTCTCAGGAAGAGAAGCCAAAGGATCTGAACAGAAATAACCCTTGTTGCTGTTTCCAAAAAAGATTAAATGTTTCGGAGATAGTTGAAAGCATGCATATGTGCGCACACAGTGGCCACTGCATGGCCACCAAACGTCCACTTACGTTACTGCCGCGGAAACGTGTCCACTCCTTGTCCGTTGAGCTCCTAAATGCATTTGTATGCATTTGTCCAGGCAGCAGAGATCTGGGTGAAAACAGAATCACACTCTAGGGGATACCTGCACATGGGCTAGCCCTTTGGTAACAGCCAAAAAAATGGACGGAGAAGAAGCCTACTGCCACATCAGAATTCCCTCATCGCACTCCAATCCGGAGGAGAGATCTCTCCCTCTTTAAAAAACTGAAGTCGAGGATCTTGTGCGCTCTGTGGCGCGCAGTTAGTCGGTGTCTATATATTCAAAGTGGAGACGCACAACAGTTTGCACCAAAAAAGAGGTTGCTCGACGACTAAAAAGTTCCTGTGTGGTAGAGATAAGGTGTCTGCTCTGCAGAATACAGAGAATGAGGCTTTGTCTTGGTCTCCTGCACGACAACCGATTCTCTCCTGTGCGTCTTTACCTCCAGGCGGTGGTTTCTGCTATGTGCCTGGACTTGCACTGATGCAAGTGGACCCGTATTCACCCCATCACAACTCCAACCAGCTGGTGGTGTTAAATTTCACTAGTTACTGGCTCGTGACATCACAGATACAGTTTTGGCTTATGTTCTTTGGGTGCCTGTTGTCCACTGGATTTTGTCTAAAGAGAGTCCAAAGAAAATATGCTTACAGTATACTCACTGCTCGCTTATTGTGAAAAGTAGCATGAGCAACCTTGCACAAAGAAATGTTTAACTCATACTTGGAAATATCTAGATAGGATGTTACTAATGACGACCAGAAAAGATCATTTAGTTCAGTGTTTCCTGATGACAGGCACATCTGCCTGAAGGTCCTGCTCTGGAAAAATAGCATTCATGATGGGCATGGGACTAATTTCAACAGTTTATTTTAATACAAAAATACAATAACCTTAAGTACCCTAAGAAGCTCAAAAGTGGAAGTAGTTTTACAGCTTTTAAACATTGGTGTTGTATTACAGATAGTTATGTGAATAATCCTACACAATTTCAGATTTGGTGTCTGAAAACATTGTTTTAAACATAGATTAACTAAAAGGTTTATCATCCCTGTCTGAAGTTGTCTCAGAGGTTCAAATTTCCCATCTAATTCCTCTGTAGACATTTATTGGTTGTCTGAACTCTGGCAGTTAATAAAAAAAAAACGCTCTGGCATTAACCATATTTGGACATTTGTGTCATTGTAACTGTAACCTCTCGCAGCATTTCCTCCCCTAACTTACATCATTTAATTCTGTAATCAAAAACACTGATTTCTCCAAACAATCTGGTTCCAACTTGCTTCCAACAAAAGACATCTCTTAGGGTCCCGTGTCCAAGAGAGCTCCCCCTTCCCCCACACACCCCAGCATCCTCCTCTAAGCTGTACAGGCTCAGTTTAGTCTGGATAGTGAGGCACTCCATATGGTTTCCAGTTTAGGGAACAGGGGGATGCTACAAAGAGACAGAGCAGTTCCTGTCTCTAGTCCCAGGTGAAACTCACATGGCTTGTCAACCTAAAAATAAGTAAAATGACAGTTACAGTGAAGGCATAGAGTTCTCCAAAATTGAACTTATAAGGCCTTTAAGACTGAAATGGAAAATTTCATTTGTTGCAAATGATGGTATATAAACAGAACAGAATTAAAATAACTCAAAGAAAAAAGAAAGATTAAAAAAGTTACAATACCTGCAAATGGAGAGATGTTAGAGAGGTCAAACTAACCTAACCTATATTAATGCTTCCCTTAATGAAGACTTTGTTGTGCTGGGGTAGTAGCTAGTAGAGGTAGGCAGTAGTAGTAGAGCCTTTATGGTACAAAGTCTGTCCATGTCTGCAACAGTGGGTCAAACTCTTTTCTTCATCAAAGACATTTGTCTGCTCAGAGGAAGCATGGGATGCATTCATTTCTCTGGCTTTGTCATCAGCCCGCATCTCAGGACAGTAATGCTTCAGCCAGATGTTTTCTTCTACTTCCTGGAAACAAAAATGTTGTGATGTTGATTCTCTGAAAAGAATAAACATCTTGAATTAATTGGTGACATAATTACGTTGTTGCAAAGAACTGACAACACTTAAGTGATATTTTCCTCAGAGAAGTAAAGCTTTTTTCATTTGTCCAAGATCAATTGTTCATTTTTCATTTGTTTAGAATAACTTTTTTTTTTTTTTTAAGATAGACATTGTCCTGTAGATGGACATCTTGATAAAGATGTGGCTTCTCTTGCAGTCGAAATGCCCTATAAAAGTATTTACTGTTTTATCCTCACAAATATGCCGCTATTGACAGCAAACCTTTCAAGATTAATTATTTCTTTTTTCTCAAGTCCAGATGTGCACTAATCGCTCCAGTGAGCACTGAGCAGCAAGACGCACAGGCCAAGGTAGTGACTGCTGTCTTGTATTAAGAATCAGATCATCACTCAGATGACTTTGGTGAAGAATGGGCAAAAGCAGAATGACGTACATTAACCCTCCTTAAGTGGTATTTCCCGTCCAGCTGTTTTATTACACAGCCAGTGAAATGTCAAGGGTTGTGTAATGAACTGTAGATCTCAACATGTGCTCTTAGATGCTGATAGAGTTTTAGACGAGAAACAAAGGTCAGATATGATTCTGATTACTGCAGCATGTGGTCACAGACAAATTCTTTCCATATGATCAAGTCTTACATAATTCACGTGCAGCTTGTGTCTGTTCTCACCCATCTTTGTGATGCTGAAACATACAGTAGCTAATAAAAGTGTTAATAAATAATTCATAGCTTTGAAACTATTTTTTTTATTGAAAAAAAAGCCTTTCCTGATCCTGTCGCCAATGATTCATGTGTAAAGAATTGATATTTTGCTTTAGCTGGCAGTGCAATGGAGTCGGTACTTTTGGAAGCAGCATTGTTGCTGGCCCCAATCCTAGCAGCTGCTTGTACAGTGCATATCACTGTCTACACACTCCTATCTCTTCAGGGATTTAGGCTCCAGAGCTTTCTATTGGAAGGCCTGAATCCAAATGTGCTGGTGAGAGTGCATATTACCTTTCAGGTTAACTTTTCACGATACAGTTGCGGCTTGTAAACGCGGAGAGTGTGGTGACTTGCAGCCTCGTGGGACCGAAAGCATAAAGTCAGCCAAGCTGATTAAGGAGCAAAGAAGAAAGAGAGAAGAAACTATGTCAGTAGCCGAGTGTAAAATAAACATTGTCCAGTAACAAGCTGTTAGACTCAATATGAGTGGCTTTTCAGGCTCAGAGCACATACTTTTCTACTAAATGCAGCAGACACAGAAGGTTAAGTGTGCCTCATTAGGTAAACATCTCATCAGCGAGTGTTTGCCATGAATGTGGGTGGGGGAGGGTTGGCGTGTGTCTGTATATCCAGGTTGACAACTGACTACCTGCAGACTGACGAGATCCTAACCTACCTCTGTCTCTAATTAGCAGACATGGCCCTGTGTAATTTCTGTCTTGTGTGCGTGTCACCGGCTTGTAGGGCTATAATTTTGCAGAGCGGGGAGAGGGTGGGCAACAGATGGGAGAGTGCTTAACAGATGCTGAAATACAGAGCTCTTGATAGCTGACACAATGCTTCATCTAGGGGCATGTGTGTGTTTGACTGTGTACGCAAAGTAGTGGTTTGCAGTGCTTGAGGGATCACAAGAAAGTGGGGAGAGAGGGGCCAGGGGAGTCCAGGGTGAAGGGGATGTTTAGGCAGGGAGGAAGTTTGAGAGTGTGCAGGGAAAGTGAAAGTCTCTGTGGGGTCACGAGGGGTGGAGAAAAACACGGTGAAGGAACACACACACTGCACGGGGAGGTGCTTCTTCGTGTTTGGCTTTCAATTTAGTTGTAAAGCCTTGTAAATGCCATCAATAGTTTTTTACAGGAATGGCTCTTGAAGCAGTGCCTGGTTCCTTAATGGTTCATTAGAGCAATTTCCCAAAACATTGGCAGAAAACAGGTTAATTTTCCAATTTTGTTTTAGCCTGAACCTGTTTAAGACTGTGTTCTGTTGCTAAGATTCACCACAAAAAGGTTGCTTTAACTTTTAACTGTGTGCCTGCACCAAATAAAGGTTTGTATGTCAAAAGTTAGTTTAGCACATGCTAAACAGAAGTCTGCTCAGCCCACAAAACCATCTCATTTGTAAACTTCTGAAAACCCATGACATCCAACTGAAATCGAATGTTGTGGGATCATAAATTACTCAAGTTTAATAATTGATGGTTTCCCTACACCGTCTATTAAGCATCATAAGAAACCAGTGCAGTGCCTGTACTTGAATTTGATTATACCCCAACAGAAATACATGCCTGGCAGGAGCAAGGAAACATAAATAAAAACCTCCACGGTTTAACTGTGGAAGTGATCAGCGATCCTCCCCAGCTTCTTAGTTGCTCTAAAAATCACCTGTTATTTTTTCAGGCCTCATCAAAAGATTTCAGATTGCTTTTCCATCCGAAGGGGGACCTGAGGGCAACAAACATCATGACAGAAAAAACATGAAGGGAGATGGCTTCACTGAGTGGGCTTGTTAGTTTGGATCTGCATTATGTTACAGCTAACAGTCATCAGTGTCTCTAGAGAGTGCACACCTGGAACTTGGAAGTTTTTTTCCACTCTCACCGTTGGATTCTCTATCTCAGATTGGCTGGAGAGTCTGCTTCATGCAAATGGGGTTTAAAGTTTGGGTATAGCTGGGCCACCTCCAGGACATTCAGAGATGTATTCTAAAGTAACGCCAGCATTCTTTGATGTCTTCACCTCAGTCGTGTGCTGATGGGTAAACCACTGCAGTTCTTGCACTCTCAAGTAGGATCTCTCCATCTTTAGCTATGCTCAGTCTTCTTTAATTCTGAACAGTCACCGTTGTTGAGATTAACCTTCACAGCCCCATAGCATGATGGTTTTTAGGAGTTTGACAGTTGAGTTCTGCAAAAAGAGATCTGTCTGTGACATCTCAGATCAGCGTTTTTCCGTATGTTCTCTAAGTCCTTCAAATGGAATTTGGTAAGTCACCCCAAGCAACTGTCAAGTTCATTTTAATCAAAATGAGCTTGAAACACTGCAGAGAATATGATTCATTCGACAGGTTTTTAGATCTCCACAGACCTCTGCTGAAGCTCATGCTTCACTACTAAAAGTATTAATACAATCAAGTTTGTTGGACCTGCAAACTAAATATTTTTCATATTTTTTGCTCTTGTAATACTCACAGTTTGC